AACTGTTTCATATTTGGATGTTGTACTAGAAAAAGGATGGCAAACTAACAACTATACTTTATGATAAACGTGATGGCTACAACTTTTCTATTGTCAACTTCTCTTATTAATGTAGCAACATACCAATATCACCTGCATATGGGGTCTATGTTTCTAAGTTAATTAGATACGCAATAGCTTAATTCTTCATTTATTTCCATTTTTATCTGAGAATCAGCTCATTTTGACCCTTTTGTTTTTGTTATTACATGATATAAATAGTGTTCAATGTTTTATGTAAAAAAAAAATGGATAGAAATTTAATATGATTATATATTAGTTTTACACACAAGAATCATCGAGATCGGCATCCCAGAGTGTCGTATGTTCGGTTGGTCTTTCACTTATGATTCCACAGTTGTAAGTAAGAAAGTGTTCATAATAGAAAAATAATAAGAAATTACTGTTTTATCGGTGATAAGTAGAGTTGGGCATAAATAAATATAAATAATGATCTTTCTGTACCAGTCAAAGACTAATTCGACGAAGTTGTGACTCGAATTTCCTCTATCGTGTTTCTAATCTTATCTCGATGCATTTTCATGTAAGCTAGGACCGTGAATGATTTTTCATATTGATGAAGAAATGGTGAAGAAATGTTGTTTTAATTTTCTTTACATTTGGTTTTGAAATTCTATATAGTTCCCTATCCCGTTCTGGGAAAGACGAAGATTTATTTGTATTCTTAAATGAGGCCTGTACAGGTGAGCCGAGTACGGGTCTGGTATAATCACTAGATTTAGCTAGATAGCCAAAATTACCTACATAGCTTTATTTACCTACCTGAAGTAGCTTTATTCAGCTATAAAATCAGACTTGCTTTTCAAATTAGCATTTTTCTCAGGCTGTGCAGAAAATCACACTTTGAACAGTTACTAAACAATGGAAATACATCTTTTGCTTAAACGCGATAAAAGTGTTTAAACACAGCAATGTTTAAACAATCTCTGCTTTGGATTGCTTTTTAAATATCCTCTATATAGTATAAATATTAGTCGACCTGTTCTTGTGATTATTTATCTAATTTAGATAAAAAGCAAAGTTATGAAAAGTTGTAGTGAAATAGCTGAATAAAGCTACCTGAAGTAGCCTAAATAAAGCTACGGTAGCTAAATCTAGCTACTTAGCTAAATGCACTGATTGTTCTGGACCTGCTATACTGTGTATACAACTTAATATCCAACTAAGAGGTCAATTGTGTTTTACGACGAAAGCAAATTTATACATCAAGGTAGTTTTAATATCTATAGATATCGATCTGGTTATGTTAGCCTAAGAGATATTTGGTATACTTAAATAAGTCATGTCTGTGGATACAACAAATTATGGACATTATTAGAGTGGAGATGGGGAGTGTGAAGTTTATGAAAGTCATTTAGGTAATATAAAACTTTTAGCTTATAAAACTTTATAATGCGTAATTAGGTGGATCTCCAGGTTAAACCCGATGCTATGCATGTCTTCGTAGTGCATGTAATTGAGTGCTAGGCAAGATTCAATGAAAAATAATAGAATTGATAAATGTATGATATCCATTTGCCTCTGTTTTGCATTTAAAACAACTTAAGTATACAAATACTTATGTAAGGATATAAATGACATCTTAATCTTTCATTTTTTTTAATTTTTTTTTTTCGGAGATGAATTTTATTTGAAATAAATTCATTTAAAAATTTCACCTTATTCTCTTTCATCCGATGATGTGTTTCTTGCTTAGATAGATAATAAAGCCTATTGTTAGAAATGCTAATACCTTTGCTCGCGCACTAGCTTGATATAATACACTGTCTATTATATTTACAGAACTTGATATAAGGATACCAACAGTCTCGTTTGAAGACATCATTTCAGAATGATATATACCTTGTCAGCAGATGTAACCTATCATTAAGTCAAATGCTGATTGAAATTTTTCCTACTAATTGTTAGAACATTATTTACACACTGAATTGTCTACGGATTTTTCCGGGTTTTTTTCCGATCATGACAATGAGCACAAGGCGGATGTAACCGGTAAGCAGGGGATGCTCATTCCTCCATGACACCTGATCCCACCTCTGTTTTCAGAGGTCCGTGTTTCCTCTGCTAACAATTTGTATTTTTGTAATTGGACTTTGAGCATGATTACTGTTCGTTATTTTCACATTTGATATATACAAAATAAAAAGTATACAAAATATGGAGAAAAAGCTATTGACAAAATTTTTTCAGCTAAAAGTCCTGCTCTCCCTTAATATTTTATTAAAATTGTATTTGAACATCCAGTAAAACGTTTTTACGGTTATTGCTTGGATTCCGACATAAACAAAACAAGTAAGAAATGTTAGATTTATGTAAAGGAAAAATATAATTATTATAATTATAATTAAAACAAAACCTCCTCTTTCCCCATAGGGCATCTAAACGAATGCACAGTAAATATGTATCTCGACTGACATTTTCAAAGCTTTAACGTATGCTTTGTTTATTGATAGTTTTGGTTTTTAAGAATAAATTTGTCTGTTGATGATTTCTTGATAACATTAGTAATTCTCGTATGAAATATGAAGATAACGAACAGTGATCAATCTCAAAAGTCCACTGAAACAATACAAATGCAGAGCAAACAAGAACCTCTAAAAAACTCCAGAGGTGGGATCAGGTGTCATGGAGGAATGAGCATCCCCTGCTTACCGGTTACATCCGCCTTGTGCTCATTGTCATGATCGGAAAAAAACCCGGAAAAATCCGTAGACAATTCAGTGTGTAAATAATGTTCTAACAATTAGTAGGAAAAATTTCAATCAGCATTTGACTTAATGATAGGTTACATCTGCTGACAAGGTATATATCATTCTGAAATGATGTCTTCAAACGAGACTGTTGGTATCCTTATATCAAGTTCTGTAAATATAATAGACAGTGTATTATATCAAGCTAGTGCGCGAGCAAAGGTATTAGCATTTCTAACAATAAGCTTTATCATCTATCTAAGCAAGAAACACATCAATGGATGAAAGAGAATAAGGTGAAATTTTTAAATGAATTTATCTCAAATAAAATTCATCTCCGAAAAAAAAAAACAATATTTAAAAAAGAATGAAAGATTAAGATGTCATTTATATCCTTACATACGTATTTCGATATCATGGTATACATTATTAAGGTTTGAGTTCAATAGAATTAATTTTACACCCCTTATGAATGGGTCTTGTATTTAAAAGAATTCATTAATAAACACTGAGATTATTAGAGTTATTAATAGTGTTATCAAATCAAATTTTAGTAACCGGTTACTCGCTTATTTTTCCGATCAAGTAACCGGTAACTCGAATGATTTTTCATGAGATCCCTTATACATCCTTTATATACCAGTATTTTTAAAACACAAATGTTTATCTTTTTAATCTTGACTATCACAGGTTAAATAGGGTAATTACAACCAAGTCTTCAGAATTTGAATACCCTCACCACACAACAACGAAAACCATGATAATTACTAAATAAGATAAGCTGTGAAAACTAATCAAAGCTAAGCGATCCCATTTGTGAAAGCTTAGATCAGATCTAACGGTTTATAAGGGTAAATAAATTTGGGAACGTGTTTGAATACATTTATAAACATTTTCAATTATTTATTTTGTAAAATGTATATACATGTATATCCGATTAACAGAGTAGCAAATTTACTTACTAACCGATACTCGCATCGTTTAAATATTAATGGGTTATCCAGATACTCAAAGACAACACAATTTTTTTTAATCAATTACGAATGAAACATTCTTTGCATTAAAACATATTATAGCAAATATAATTAATGAGTGTATAAAATGTAGACGGAATTAGCGTTCTTAGTTCTTTGATACTAATAAGACTTTCGAAATTGATGCAGGTTTGAAGTTTTGTCATCTGTCCACAGTATTTTCAATGTTAAAGATGCAATTTGACTACAGTTTATTTTAAATATTTTTAGTTATATCAAAATGTCTATGACTAATCAATTTATTTTTAGAAAACTTATGCAGAAAACCAGGTATCTATGCATCCCAAAGCTCAGACAGAGAATATCTTCCCGCAGCAAAAGCTGTTGACGGTTCTTACAGTCAGGAATATAAAAACTGTTCACATACTGCGCCAGGAAAAGAAAAAGCTTGGTTTCAGGTGGATTTAGGGAAGTCATACAGACTGAATTCCGTGAGAATATTTTACAGGAACGGTAAGTACAAAGTCCATTATTTACGTCGATAAATAAATTAAAACCTATTTGCAAATGTATGAAATTACATGTACCATTGAAACCCATCTGAGATGAAACTGTATATATGAATAAGTTCATTTCCTTTGATAATTCCAGGTTTGTTATAACGCGAAAGGTAATAAAAATGCAAAATGTAATAAAGCGGGATTATTGCAATTTACTTTATTACATTTCGCATCAAGTTCAACGCAAAATATGATAACGGAAAATGTAATAACACGATTTTTGGATTATTACATTTTGCCTTGTTATATTTTGCGTTGAGCTTGAGCAAAATGAAACAACGTAAAATGTAATAATACACTTTTTGGTAAGCCAGGTTAAGAATAATTTTGAACTGAGTAGGAAAAAATAAACATATGCTAATTCTTACATTAGATCCTATTACATCATATATTGATTTCATTGGCCATTTAAAATCAGCTGATATCCAAATCATAGTGTTGAAAATTAGAAATGTGCATGCGCATATGCGTGTGTGTGTGTGGGGGGGGGGGGGGTCGGCGGGGATATCGGTGATCTGTGTATCAGTTTTCTTCTTTTTGACAGGCACATGCATGAAATTTAGGAAAGAAATTTATTTAATTTTACTGGCAGGTGTAAATAAAGCGGGAAGGGGATTTCTTGACAATTAAGATTTCATACTGTTTTTCAAATCATGTGCATTGCAGACCAGCAAAAATAAAATTCTCTCTCTCCAATAATAAAATGGATTTCTTAGAAACTAACTGGAGACCTTACCGGTTTCGTCAGTTCTACTTGGATGTATCAAACACATCTGCAGCTCTCTCTGCTACATTAACACCACAGAGCTCGAGGGTGCGATGTTACAAGGACAACACTACGTACCCAGCCACGCCCCCTTCTGTGATTGACATTCCGTGTAGACAAACAGCACAATACGTCATCATAGAAACCACATATAATGCTTCTGAAAATACAGAAGAGACTGGACCTATGCTAGAAATCTGTGAAATAGATATTTATGGTAACAGTATCCATAAAATATTACAAAGAAATAGTAACTTATATGAGATATAAAGAGTTCTATAATTTTCAAGTCAAATGATAATGTGAACAACATCGCTATTTAGCTTTACAAACAATATAAAAAGTTAACTTAAAAATATATATTGCTGACAAACCTTATCAGCATGATCAGTTTAAACCTGAAATTGTTCATTCCAGTATAAGAATTATAAGAATTAGTAAGTTCACGTAGAGAAGTGTTTGCAAAAGTTGTATGAGGTGTGCAAAGATTGAATATAAACTCGAATTATATAATAAATTTTACGTTATATATTAGTTGTGTTGGGATATATATACTTCTTATACACTTTAGAAGTCTTTCAGGATGTCACACTAGATGTTTCGGGGATACATGCTACTCGAATGGTGAATGCGACACATGTGGAGGAGGACACTGGGGACAAAGGTGTCAATATAGCTGCTCCTCACGATGTTATATCGGGTCTTGTGACAAACATAACGGAACTTGTAATCGTGGATGTCAACGTGGATTTTGGGGAAATAACTGTACCAAAAACTGTAGTGGACATTGTCTGAATGATATTTGTGATTATGACAATGGAACCTGTATTGGTGGGTGCAAAACCTACTTTACAGGAACTATGTGCCAAAGTAAGTATGATCAAAATAAACATCATACATTTATTGACCTGGTTCGAGGGTAACATGCGTTTTGTCAGACCCAAGAACCAAACTATTTGCCTGAGGCCGTTAGGCTGAAGGCAAAAAGTTTGGTTCGAGGGGTGACAAAACGCGTTTTTCAGGAGAACAAAATCAATAAATGTTATTTTTTTTGACATACATGTGTCATGTGCAAGGATTCCATGCTGTGAATTTTCTTTACCTGAACTAAATCTCGGTCAATTCTGTCATTGTCGAACACAAATGAATGCAAACAGGATTTAACTGAGCCCACAGTGTGACGGAAGCGATCTAATGTCTCATCGATAGGTGAAACATAGACTTTTCATGTCCGCTCAGTAAAACTTTGGAAATGTTACACGTTTTTTAGTATGGATTTATATAAAAAGTAATTTTTAAAGGTATAACAATAACAACTTTAAAGGTGTCAGAAACCGATTTTGTTTCATTTGATTGTTTAGATGAATAATGAAGAGCTCACACTAATTACGGACATGCATTTGGTAAATGAAAAACTGTTTTTTAGCGTAATTTTTTTCACGAATATGAAAGCTGAATTTTTTAAGAAGTCTAGAAAAAACAGAGTTAGACACAGCTGAGTTTTGAAATGTAAACATAAACAACAATATTTCTTTTATACATTTTTATAAATTTTCTTCACAGTTTACTAGTATTCAGCATTTGCAATTAAATCCAACAATTCATCTCATTTTTGTCAACAAACTGAATAAATAATTGCTTAATTGTATGAAATAAACTTTAGGAGATTAATACGTATGAGGAGTATTGTTATAATGATTTTATTTTGACAGATTGCCTACCAACCCGTTATGGAGGGGATTGTGAGATGTCCTGTAGCACTAATTGTCTTAATGAAACCTGTCATGCAGACAATGGAACGTGTACCTTTGGTTGTGATGGAAATCAAGTTGATGCCAAATGTCTTCAATGTAACGACAATTAATTCTTTACATATAATTCTCTTTTTCTTCTCATAACCTCCGACAATGAAGTTTGTAGGGAGTAATAATTAAACCGGTGCTATTGAATCCGTGTGTGTGTGTGTGTGTGTGTGTGTGTGCTCGCGCGCGCAAAGAAGACAGTATATAAAATTAAATATGGGTAAAAAATAAAAGCAATTGTTCAATAAAGAATGGACTTTAAAGTGGATTAGTATAATAAAAGAGAAATATGTTACCTTTTGAAATACAAAGTATGTTCAATGACATCATTATATATACAATTCAATATAATTATCTAATCTTAGTTTTGACTCGTTCGTATGAAGATAATTGGATTTTCAATTCCAAGCATATCATGTACATTGGTTCTGCTGGTGGTGGTGCTGTTGTGCTGCTTTTAGTTGTAATTGTAGTCGTCATTTACTTCAGGTAATCATTTTTATGCCCCCGGATCGAAAGATCCCGGGGGTATATTGTTTTTGTCCTGTCTGTCTGTTTATCTGTTTGTCTGTTTGTCTGTCTGTCTGTTGTCAACTTTAATCTTGCCCATAACTTTTGATTGGTTGGAGCTATGACTTTCATATTTCACAGGTGTATTCCTTTTGACAAGTCCTTTCTTTGGGTACCATCATATTTGACCTTTTTACCTTGACCTTGGAGTTTGACCCACTTTTGCAAAATTTTACGAGACTTTAACCTTGGCCATAACTTCTGAACAGTTGGTGCTTGGGGTTTCAAACTTCACATGTGTATTCTTTGTGACAAGGCCTTCCTTTGGATACCAACAACTTTGACCTTTTGACCTTAGAGTTTGACCTACTTTTGAAAAACCTTAACCTTGGTCATAACTTTTGAACAGTTGGTGCTTGGAGTTTCAAACTTCACATGTGTATTCCTTGTGACAAGACCTTCCTCTGGATATCAACCACTTTGACCTTTTGACCTTGACCTAGGAGTTTGACCTAATTTTGAAAAACTTTAACCTTGGCCATAACGTTTGAATGGTTAACGCTAGGGCTTTCATACTTCACATATGTAATCCTTGTGACATCACCTTTCTTTGGATACCAACCACTTTGACCCTTTGACCTTGACATAGGAGTTTGACCTACTTTTGAAAAACTTTAACCTTGGCCATAACTTTTGAATGGTTGGTGCTAGGGCTGAAAGCTCAAGTGAGCTTTTCTGATCACCCATTGTCCGTCGTCCGTCCGTCTGTCCGTCTGTCTGTCTGTCCGTCCGTCCGTCTGTAAACTTTTCACATTTTCAACTTCTTCTCAAGAACCACAGGGCCAATTTTAACCAAACTTTGTACAAAGTATCCTTGGGTGAAGGGGAGTTTAAATTGTTAAAATAAAGGGCCAAGTCCCCTTACAAGGGGAGATAATCAAGAAAAGACAAAAATAGGGTGGGGTCATTAAAAAATCTTCTTCTCAAGAACCACTGGGCCAAAAAAGCTGAAACTTGTGTGGAAACATCCTGGGATAGTGTAGATTCTAAATTATTATGACCCCCGAGGGTAGGGCGGGGCCACAATAGGGAATCCAAATTTTACATTGAAATATATAGAAAAAATCTTTAAAAATCTTCTCAAGAACCACTGGGCCAGAAAAACTGAAACTTATGTGGAAACATCCTGGGGTAGTTAAGATTCTAAATTGTTAAAATCATGACCCCCGAGGGTAGGGCGGGGACACAATAGGGAATCCGAATTTTACATTGAAATATATAAGAAAAATCTTTAAAAATCTTCTTCTCAAGAACCACTGAGCCAGAAAAGCTGAAACTTATGTGGAAGCATCCTGGGGTAGTGTAGATTCTAAATTGTTAAAATCATGACCCCCGGGGGTAGGGCGGGGCCACAATATGGAATCCAAGTTTTACATTGAAATATATAGGAAAATTTTTTAAAAATCTTCTTCTCAAGAACCACTGGACCAGAAAAGCTGAAACTTATATGGAAACATCAGGGGGTAGTGCAGATTCTAAATTGTTAAAATCATGACCCCCGGGGTAGGGCGGGGCCACAATAGGGAATCCAAGTTTTACATTATAATATATAAGAAAAATCTTTGAAAATCTTCTTCTCAAGAACCACTGGACCAGAAAAGCTGAAACTTATGTGGAAACATCCTTGGGTAGTGTAGTTTCTAAATTCATCAAATCATGACCCCCGGTGGTAGGGCGGGGCCACAATAGGGAATCCATTCAAATATATAGGAAAAATCTTTAAAAATCTTCTTCTCAAGAACCACTAGACTAGAAAAGCTGAAACTTATGTGGAAGCATCCAGGGGTAGTGTAGATTCTAAATTGTTCAAATCATGACCCCGGGGGGTAGGGCGGGGCCACAATAGGTATTACAATCGAGGAAATCTGGTAAAGAACAGCATGGCCAAAGTTACTCAGGTTAGCGATGTGGCCCATGGGCCTCTTGTTTATCTTTTGGCCTGGATTTTGACTTGCATTTGAGAAACTTTAACCTTCGCCATAAGCTGCCATACGACCTTCCTTTGGATACCAACAACTTTGACCTTGACCTTAATGTTTTACTAACTTTTAAAAAAACTTTAACCTTCGCCATAACTTTTGAACAGTTGCTGCTAGGGCTTTCAAATTTAACATTTTTTATCTTTTGGCCTGGATTTTGACTTGCATTTGAGAAACTTTAACCTTCGCCATAAGCTGCCATACGGGGGCATCAGTGTTTCACAAACACGTCTTGTTTTTTTTTATTATTTTCTTACATATACTAGACAAAACTGCTGACGCACCATCACAATCAAAATGTCAATATATACCTTTCCAAAACTTGTATATGCTGTAGTTGATGTATAAATGTGTTACTATAGTTAGAAGTGATTTATTGAAATGCCCAAAATGATACGTGAATTCAATGTTTACTGAAGTGTAACCATTTTCTAGAAATTCCTGAAAGTTGTGATAGCACTTTTTGGAGGAATAATTTCTATTTTCTTCTTTCTGTTTGTGTTCTTTATGTCTGCATTCATAAAAAAAAGTCAGCAAAAACCTGACGGGGCGATTGACCATAGAAGAGCGTGGTAGGGCAGTCAGTATGGTGGCTGCACGGTTTCCTACTGAAAGATTTGTAAAATAAAAAAGTAAAACAGTTTTATTGTCATCTCCCTCGAATGTAAAATTGTTTTCTGTAAGTGACCAAGGCATTCAATAGACAACACACAACTCTGCAAATGTGTGCTAAGTTCGGTGGACCTGGTACGGATGCCAAAGCACTGGACGACTAGTAAGCGATATGATAAACATACTGCTCTACATTGTTTCAGAATAATGGACACCGCCGCTGTTGCAACCTTACTGTAGCAACTCGGTAACAACCATCTTATCATGACACAAACGGTGCTGAGTCAGCTTCGAGAAATTAGTTTGCGGACAAGAAGACCATTTGAGCGTCTTCTTTTGACTCCAGGGCATCCGCAAATACGGCTGTATTCTGCAATATAGCATGTTAATTTTACTTGTGCCGATTAGACAAATATTCTATATAGATGAAAATAGTGAGTGGTGTGTTAGGATTTTTGTCTAGTGTATATTAAACGTGATTTTTTTTTTCTGCATTGCAATATTGATAGATTTCTAAATTCTTTCTGCTTCGGGTTTCAATAAGGATTATAATTTATTTTTCTGTTACACTAAAGTACTTAAGTTGTAAGAGACTCTTCATTCCTGAATACATTTCATTTCAAATTTTTTATCTATCTGCTCCTAATTAAACGTTATGTTGACAGAGCAAGAAGAAAGAAGTACCCTTATTCAACGTCTAGTGTTGTCTTTAAAAGAAATAATTACGGTACACTATGGATTTTGTAGAAATTTTACACAGTTGCTAAATTGTACCGATTTATTTGTAAGTTTTAGACTGCTAGTTTACCTCTTTTATTATGCCTCTACTGATTTTTTCCCTATATAACATTAAATCGTTAGATGTGGCTAATTCCCTAGAAATCGTTATGAGTGGACTAATCCCTGCTTCGAAAGCTACTAGTAATTCCCCGTTATCCATAATCCTCTAGATTTTACTTTTACATTGGTATGAGACATGTGAGCGGACTAATCCCTCAGTATGCTAATCCCTGCTTTGAAATCACGCTATATCTGAATCCTATAAATGTTACGTTTGTATCGGTATAATAAAACAGTTAAAAGTATATCATTGCGGGAGTTCGCAAGATTCCAGTTTCCCTCGACCAGGACTATTTCCTTCGGCTTCGCCTTGGAAAATAGTCCTGGTCTTGGGGGAACTGGAATCTAACTAACTCCCTCAATGATATACTTTAACTGTATACTAATCAACATATGTTAGTCATCCTTGTGAGTGTTGTGTAACGTTTGCCATGCAAATGTTAAACTTTTCGATTTTTTTACTTCTCTGGAATAATATCAATTGGATCAGTTTCATCCATCCAGCCCGATCACAAAACATTTTTTGTAAAGAGGATTCAAGTTTGTTCAGTGAAAGAGACACATTGTTTCAAGGAGAGAAAACTGAGAAATAGAGTAAGCTCGATTAATTTTTTTAAAAAAACAACTTCGGTAGAATAGATAAAACGCTTTTTCAATAAGTATAGATTGTTTGTTGTTTGGGGGACAGAGTTTTGCATGGGATATCAAGAAAAATCTCTTTTAAAAAATATTTTTTTTTCATATATGGTCATTATTATTCATATTGATAAGCAAACATCCTCTAGTAATTCAAGTTTGTTTAAGCAAGTGCAGAATATGACTACCGTAGAAAGGTTTACAAGGGAATTTATAGGAAAAATTGTTTAAACTCTTGTCAAGAACAGTAGGTCTACATATCAATATGTAAGCATTTAAATATAAGGCAATTCTTATTTTTTCTTGTGTAGCTAATTATGAATTAATTTTTTTGGTATTTGTATGAAATTTGATATTTTTTTAGTAGCAGGGTCACACAAAATTACTTTGGTCGAGACAATGACCTTTTCATAAAATATAATCTATCATTAAGTCGAATGCTGACTGACGTTTTCATATTAATTGTTAGGCCATTATTTACACACTGAATTTTCTACAGTTTTTCCCGTTTACCCGATCATGACAAGGAGCACACGGCTAGTGTGACCGGTCGACAGGGGATGCTCACTCTTCCATGACACCTGATCTCACCTCTGATGCATTTAGAGGTCCGTGTTTGCTTTGCTCCCGATTTGTATTGATTTAATGGACTTTTGAGCTTGATTACTGTTCGTTACCTCCATATTTTATTTGATCAACTCCCCAAGCTACAGTGTATGTTGATACTTTTTTTAAATCACGGACTCTCGTGTTAGGGAGAGGCTAAAATTTTTAAGTTTTACTTAAAGCATGCATAACTTTTTTTTAATCATTATTCCTCTTCATCAGAACAGCAAAGCCATATAAGTCATATTGATATTCAGCATCCCCGTTTCGTTAATTCGGGAATCCATTTACAATGAAGCAACAATATGGCAACAAAATTTTTCATTGGAATTTGAAGAGGCAAATCTTACCCAAATCTTCCAAAAAAAAAAAAAAAGCAGGTCCAAGGTGATTCAGATGAGAGTTGTGGCCCACGGGCCTTTGGTTTGGTATCAATTTATCGCATTAATCAAAATTATAATGCATTTAAGCTAGAGTGACACAACTGCCCCCCCCCCCCCGGCTTAAAAGAAAGTTATATGTGAAAGTCCAAGAATTTGAAAACAAGAGGCCCATAGGTTACATCGCTCACCAGAGTTACTATGGCCCTGCTGTTCTTCATCACCAGAATTTTTCTTCTTCATATATTCCTATGTAAAACTTTCATCACATATTGTTGCCCCACCCTACCCCAGGGGTCATGAATTCAACAAATTTGAATCTACACTACGTGAAGTTGCTGCCATATCAGTATGAAATACTTTGATTTGAACAAAATATGTATAACTTTAATTATGGCTTTGCTGTTCTTCAGTTGAAGATTTTTAAAAAAAAAATCCTGTATGTTCCTATGTAAAACTTTGATTGCCCGCTGTGTCCCACTCTTCCCCCGGGAGTCATGATTTTAAGAGACTTGAATCTACACTACCTGAGGATGCTTTCATATAAATATGACTAATTATGGCTTTGCTGTTTTTGAGAAAAGATATTTAAAGATTTTTCATATATATCCTTTGTAAAACTTAAAACTTAAACATATTGTGGCCCCATCCTAGATCCAGGGGGGGGGGGGTCATGATCTGAAAAAAAGACCTGAATCTACACTACGTAAAAAAGCTTTCGCACGCATAAGTTTCATATTTTCTGGTCCATTGGTTCTTGAAAAGAAGATTTTAAAAAGATTCAATTAAATGTTCACTAATACTCAGTCATCTCACCTTGAAAGAGAAATGACCCTTTATTTGATCAAACTTGAATTCGCTTTACTCAAGGATGCTATGTGGCAAGTTTGGTTGAAATTAGACCAGTGGTTCTTGAGAAGTCGAAAATGTGAAAAGTTTACAGACGACACATGACTGACGACGGACGACTGACGGACGCCGGACACCATTCGATCAGAAAACCAGCTCTCTTGAGCTTTAGACTTAGGTGTGCTAAAATAAATGTTTTGTTTGTTTGATTGTTTGTTTTTTAAGTCCCTCTCGAGAATTTTTCACTCATACGGAGACGCCACCACCTGCCAGTGGAGAGGTGCAAATTTTGACCTATACTCGGCACTCGGGGCCATTGAGAAAGTGAGGGATCTTTTTCGTGCCAGCATCTATTGCGACACGGGACCTCGGTTTTTACGGTCACATGCGAAGGACCAGTCCCCACGTCCCACATTCGAACCCGATTCGAACCCGCGACGTAAGGATCAACTCCTTACTCAGCGACTCTAGAGCAAGCGCTCTAGCCACTGCGCCACGAGGAATGGCACAAAAATAAAATATTATACTCCTGCTTGTGTTTTCAGGAATAAGTTGTCTATGTCTCATTATACTTAAGCTACATGAAATGGTTAACACCTACAAGCAAAGTAATAAAATTGCCCAAAAACTGAATTATTAGAAATTTTAAGGGCCATAACTTTTGTTAAAATGGGTCAAATAACACGAAACTTATATTCGATCTGTTAGTCATCAATACAAAGAAACAAACAGATCATTATCTAGAAGCAGTGCCAAAAAAAAAAAAAAATACATAAAACAGTGAAAAACTAGGAGTTTTAAAGGTTCAAGGGCAATATCTTTCGTAAAATTGGGTAAATCATCACGAAACTCTTCATAATCAAAAGACATACAAAAATCAGCTCTATGAACAAGCACAGAAAAAAGTCCTGAGAGCAGTTACCATAAACGTACTTATTTCCATGGGGTCATAATTCGGCGCAATCGCAATTTCTGTTCAATCCGCGGGTTGAGAATTATGCGGATTTCTTAGATTGCCACTATGTGTATTAAATGTGCTTCAAGTATAGTGGGACAAATTTCCGGGGAAAATTAGTGACAGCGCACATAGCGTAAATTAATACAACAAGGAAATAAGTGCTTCTACAGTTTTTGAATTTTAATGTCTAAGGTCCAAAAAAAAACAACTTTTATAAAAATGAGTTTATCATCACGAAAGAGACATCCCAAAATGAAAGAAAAAGTGAGCAAGCTCACATACCCCACGCTCCCCCAAAACTCGACAATGCAACACGTAATGAATTGCACATTGCATTTTAAATACACAGTATAATTCAAAAAGGGGCATTACTTGCAAAAAATCATCACATCAAAACTTCTTGCATATAAGGACATTCAGATCTTTGTATATTACAAATTTAATTGGGCTGAAGTTTCTAGATAAATAATGGAATCAAAAGTTCTTGGTAATATACAAATCTATACATTGTATCTGAAATACCTACAAAGTTTCAGGAAATTCAGTGCAGGAGTTATGCTGACAAACTGCTATCTACATTCCTCAGTGATTTCAATTTGTTAATGAGAGTAAGTCCATGTCCAACACATGACAATTTACACATTAAAATAATTGATGGAAACAAAAGATGAAGTCATATGAATTTGTTTACATACTGTACTTATGAAATTATTTAAGGCAAAGCACCAATTTGAGGGGGGGGGGGACTATCCAAGATTGTGTGTGGGGGGGGGGGGGGTGTGGGGTGATGTGGGGTGTTAAATCATTAATATTTTGATCTCAAAATCAATAGGGGTCTTTTAAGGTCATAAAATATTTCACATAAAATTTCATTACAAAAGCTGATTCCAGTGGATTTCCTTATTACCTAGCTGGAAAGTTTCTTCAATAATAGGCAAAACTCTTAAGGCAAAAATAATGGAATCGGATTTTCCTGGTAATATGCACATCTACACACTGTGTACTAAATATCTGCAAAGTTTAACCGAATTCTGTGCAGCGGTTTAAGAGGAGCTACACTAACAAACTGTTCATCTCTATATTCAAGATATGGCCAAAAATCTACGTTGAAAAGTGCCGAAATTCCCAGAAAAATAAACGAATCGAAATTTCCTGGTAATATGCACATCTACACACTGGGTCCTCAATATCTGCAAAGTTTGACGAAATTCTATGCAGCGGTTTAGGAGGAGTTACGCTGACAAACTGTTCTCTCTATATTCAAGATATGGCCAAAAATCTAAGTTGAAAACTGCCGGAATTCCCAGAAAAAATAAATCGGAATTTCCTGGTAGTATGCACATCTACACATTGGGTCCTAAATATCTGCGAAGTTTGACGAAATTCTGTGCAGCGGTTTATGAGGAGTTGCGCTGACAAAAAAAAAAAAAAAAAAAAACAGGACTGACGGACTGACTGACTGACTGACGGACGGGTCAAAAAACATTATACCTCACGCAACTTGTTGCTCATAATCTGCAAGCATAGCGAAAAATAAATCCTGAAAACGGTGAATTATTAAAAGTTTTCAAAGTCTGAGGGCCATAATTCGTTGAAATGGGTCAATTTACACTAAACTAGATCATTGATATCGAGAGATATGCCATATTAAACACAAGATACATACATTGTATGCATGTTATAAAAGCATAGCTTTTTTGAAAACTGCATTTAATTTTCAAACAAATAATAATTGAAAGATTGAATTGAGTTCCAGATCAGATGAATTCCAGTATTTCTATCGATGCTGATGACAGAGAGGATCCCGAGGAAGAACCACAAGCAGAAAATCCACAGGAGGCTGTGTACTATAACGACTTGTCTGTAGCAAAGGACATAAATGTGTCTGATCTTCTCAAGATCATAACACAGAAAGGGGCCAAGGAGAACGAGGGATTTTTAAAGGAATTTAAGGTTGCATTTATGATATATACATATAATACATGCTAAATAAAATTAATGCTAAATTTCAAGACCGCGAATGGAAGTGGATAGGGGACACAGTGTTTGTTATTGTAAATGTAAGAAGAATCGGAACTTTCAAACCCCATATATTTGATAAGATATATACTAGAAGTGCACATTTATTAATTTGTCATAATCAGTCAAAATATTTTAGGTTCAATCATGGTGTCGGCTTAATCACCATGTAACTGGAAGGATATTATGTACCTTTTGACTGTTTGCTACTTATGAACTTACAAAAATACTTTCAGCGCGTCTTGGATGGCAAATGCTAGAAAAAAAATTAAAGTTCATTCAAAGGTACAATGTAGGGCGTTCGCTTTGTGATCGGAGTACCGGATTCGATTCTCGTTCTCTGCGCCGTGTCAAACATAAGACCTATACAGATAGTAACTGTTCCTTCGACTTGTCACCGGTACGGGTCTTTCGGATGAGACCTTCAAAAACCGAGGTTCCATGTCTCTGTAGGCGTTGGCACGATAAAGAACCCTCACTGCTTACAATATGTAATTGCCCTGAGTGCCAGGTATAGGTCTAAATTCGAAGCCCCTCACTGGTATATAGTGACGTCTCTATATGAGTGAAAAATTTTCAATTGGGACGTTAAGTAACATAAAATCAATCAATCATCAAACGTCCTTAAAATTGTTGCCGAGGTAAAAGTTGATCTTGCAGTAAATCTTTCAACTGCAGAAAATATTTTATCGGATGTTATATGTATTTGTATAGTATTAACGCTTGTTCTAATTCATTTTTCGGTCACCTGAGTCACTAAGGATGATGCATGAAGGGATGAAAACTCTCAAATTTGCTTCAGATGCTGGATTTGACCTAGATTTTCTGGATGATAACCTAGTTTACAGATTTAGATAAGTCCATTTCCAAGTAAATGCAAGTCCTTTCAGACAAAAATTGCATCAATGTTGCCTCTAGGGATGCACAATTACTAGATTATAAGTTTAGTGTGGGACTTTGCCTTTCTTAGGGACAACATTCGTTGAGGTGAGGTCTGTAATCTCTGATTATCTATGTTTGTATAGAGTATCTATGGGCAAAGAAGAATAACAATTATGACGTGGTCCTCCTCCCTCACCCCGCCCGTCCTCAGGGCTAAGGAATTGGACCATAACCATCAACATTAATGTAATTTAAAAAATATCTTTTTTACTCCTGGACATTCAGCAGTCAAACTATTGGCATAATTATAATAATGAATGAGTCCTTTAATGAAATTGTGAAATTTATGGTCCCAATGTCAAGGTATCTGGGTTGATTATATAATTATATAATCTATTGATTATATAGTAAACATTTTTAAAGCTTCTCCCCCCCCCCCCCTCCGTTTTGAAGATAAACTATGTTTATGTCGAGCAAGGATGCCTCTTACAAAAATGTGAAATTCATGGCCCCGGGGTCCGGAGTTCTGGTGTTAGAATGGGGCTCCATTGATTATACATGTAAAGTGAAAATGCATTATTTCATTGAAAATCTTTTTTCTGCTCCTTTGGTATTAAGCATACAAACTAAGTTCATGGTTATAATGAGAAGGGTTGCCTCTTCCAAAATATGAAATTCATGGCCCCTGGATCTGTGGTCTGCTGTTAGGGTGGGACTCTCTTGATTATAAAGTGAAAATGACTCAATGCTTTGAAAATCGTTTTCGTTGCTCCTGGGCATACCAGAGTTGTGAAATTCTGGATCAAGTGTTCTTGTGTTGGACAGGGTTTTATTGATCTTGTAGGGAAATTCTTATACTATTGAGAGAAGGTATCCCCGTTTGCTATTCACCCCAATCCCAGTTTATTACATTTTGCGTCGTTATTACATTTCGCGTTGTAACAGAGCAAGTAATTAAATAGATCTGCTTGATGTTTTGATACTTAGTAGTAAACTAACTGCAGTGTTGATTCCTGACCATTGTATTTCTCTTGCTTTTGAGCAATCTATCTTCTATCAGTTTATTTTGTTTAAGTGTTATACTTCTGTGCATCCTTTACAGTGTTGCATTATACTTTGGTGACAGTTAAGGCCCTTGGGCTTCGCATTTCTTAATTTTATTATGGAAATTATAAGCTTTACGATGAATTGCCTTATGTATGTTTTCCTTCTTTACAGTCACTTCCCTATGGAGAGAGATTTAATTGTTTAACGGCAAAACTGGAAGAAAATTTGCCTAAGAATAGATTTAAAACAACGTTTCCCTGTAAGATTATTAAGGATACTTACTAGATACTTAGTAGAACTGAATAAATTTGTGTGTTAGTAGTATACTTATTTTTCTTTTAACACAGCTTAATATTTTTTTAAACTAAAATTTGTTCATTAATGTTTTAAAATAGTAAAGAATATATTATCTGTTTCTGTATAAAGACGACCATTCCAGAGTTGTATTAGAGGTTGGATATGGCTTCACGTCTGACTACATTAATGCAAACTATATAGAAGTAAGCTATATTAGAATTACATTATAGAATATCGAGGAAGAGTAAAAAGTAAATACCTGTAATATACCTGAAATATTTGAAACATTCTTGCTTATTTATAATCTTTTGGATTAAGAATCGCCTATCGATTTTCTTGCTTATTTATAATCTTTTGGATTAAAAATCTTATATCTATTTTTTTTAGAATATGGATGGACAACATGAATACATTGCTTGTCAAGGTAAGAAATAAAACTCTCTCAAACTCTCTCTCTCTCTCCTGTTGGCATTTTAGGATTTTTTTCCAATCTTTTTATTAATTCAATTATTTCATTATTATAATAATTTTTGGCATGATTAATATACTAAATTTATTTGAATTACATTTCCCTCAATCTTCTGATAGAAAATTGTCGTAATTACAGAAAAAATCAAAGTCAATGAGTAGTGAATGTGTAGGTAGATATTGTCGTCCAGTATATTGTAGTCGGCGGCAATATGCACCTAACTTACCTGCACATATTGTCGTCAATAGGCACAATGCCATATTGTCGAAGAATTTTATATGAATGTTGTTGCTAGCTACGATATATGTCTACTCTCACTGCACATATTGTCGCCCCCCCCCCCCCCCTTTGGTGTTGTTAAGGCTTCTTTTAGTAGTTTTGTGAATGTAATTGATGTACGCGTTAATCACACAGTCTGGTAGGCATATTTCATGAAGTGCAATAAAGCGTAATAGTTACCTTTTGTATATTTATATTGTGAATTTACATTAAAATTGTATTCAAATTGAAAATTTCATCCTTAGTTCTTTTTTTAGATTGCATGACCACTGATTAATTCAATAATTTCATCATACAATTGTCATTTTCAACTTTAACGAAGCAATTGCAAAAAATGGTATGATTAATGTACTAGTTGTACTGTGAAGAAAGAGAGAGAGAGTAGTGCAGTTTCTCTCTCTCTCTCTCTCCAGTAACAAAAATCTTCAAGTAAAATTTTTGGCGACATACGCAGATATGCAAAGTTTCCCAGCATATATCACAGGTGCTTGAGGACAGGACCCCCCCCCCCCCCCCCCCCGATATAGACCCCCGGGTTTTTCGACTTTTTTCTCATAAATTATCTTTCAATGACATATTTGTGATATAATCTATACCAACAATTCGAAAAATTACCTAAAACAAACATTTTATAAAATCTACCCCGCTCTCTATATATAGTTCAACAATGGGTAGTAATTTCTATAAAATATTTGTTTAAGCCAATTTTTCGAATTGATGATATAGATTATATCACAAATGTGTCATCTATATATAATTTATGAGGAAAAAGTCGAGCAAGCCCTGGGGTCTATATCGGGAGGGGGTCCTGTCCTCAAGCACCTGTGGCATATATCGCTCCCAACAAAGACATGTAAGTTACATTTTGTCGCCCATTCTTCGGGAACAAAAAAGCCTCATCTTGGCAGATATTGTTCCCAGTGTCAATATGTACCGACAGAAGACAATATGTGCAACAAGGATGGGTAGATATAGTCACCAGCGACAATATGTACAACCACAGCGGATGGTTCTTCGTCTTGTCTAGATACCATTCATTTTACACCAATGGATTTAATTTTTTAAATTAAAGATTGTTACATTTAAATGTGATTAAGATGAAAAATGTGATAATATCGAAAAAGAACGTCTAGTGAAATGTAATATATTTTGGCAGCTCCACGAGAATATACTTTGGTTGACCACTGGAGAATGATTTGGCAGGAGCATGTAGAATACATCGTTATGTTAACAAATCTGATAGAGGGACCAAAGGTTGGAATTAAATTCTACCCTTCTGAAATGTCACATTTGTAATGCCATAGACATTAGAATTTATGCGAGGTTTTTTTTTTTTTTTTTTGTTTTTTGTTTTTTTTTTGTTTTGTTTTTTTGTTTTTTGTTAAAGAATTTTTTAAGGGAACAAATGTGTTGTAGGTTTTGTATATTTGTTGATTCCGTAAGTTGGTTTTTTGAAATATCCCACTAAACATTTAATGAAAGTCTGAATAAAAAGGTAAAAAGTTACCAGTACTGGCCAGAAGAGGATGAAGAATTGGACATCAAACCTTTCCGTGTAAAGTTGATGGATAAAAAAGTATACGCCTATTTTGTTATAAGAAGAATAAACGTGCAAAGGGACGGAGTAAGTGTATCGATGCTATTTATCGTTCGCATTTCTTTGAAAAATTCATGGTACAAATGTAGTTATTAATTCTTGTAACCTCCAATCAACTTTATAAGAAAGTATGTACCGAAATAATGACTTTAATCCTGCCTAAAGTTAAAGATTTATTTTGTTGTGCATATTATGTTTAAAACAGGAACTTGTAACTTGTTTAATTTAATATTGTTTCCTATATGGATGTGTTTCTATTTCTTGTACCTATCCATAATTTTATTAATGTATAAGAAATTTATCAGGAGAAATAAAAAAAATTATTTTGAGCAGAAAATATTTTAGGAGGAACTGTAGATTAACGAAAATTTGATATCGGTAGATATTTTGTAGGTCAATGGGTCAAGGACAATTGTACAATTTCACTACACAAAATGGCCAGACCACGGGACGCCCAATCCGATAGACCTGCTGACATTCCTACGTCACTTTCGACACCAAATACAACCATCGCCACATCCTATCATTGTGCATTGCAGGTAAAAAATTCATTGCAGATTGATATCAACACATTAAATACATGTATCTTAAAATTTCTGTTCATGCTTTGTTACTAAAGTACTGAAATTTTGCACAGTAATATCTCTGCTTTACTTCTTCAACGGAAGTATTTCCTGTTTCGTGCCAGCACCTACTGCGACACGGGACCTCGGTTTATACGGTCTCATCCGAAGGACTGGTCTCCACGTCCCATATTGGGATTCGAACCCGCGACGTAAGGATCAACTTCTTACTTCGCGGCTTTAGAGCAGACGCTCTAACCATTGAGCCACGCGGGCGACTCACATCTGTTGTAAGGTTTTGTGTTGTAGATACTTAAAACTCAAAGAAACTATAATAGAAAAGAAAAATCACAAAATTTTACAAAAATCAATATGGCATCAAAACGTACAACTTTTCAACATATTATACAACCATTTCCCGTGATAAATCATTGTTCAGGCTTTTTGACATCATAAACAACTGCTTTTTCCATAAACACAGAACTCGTATATTTACATACTTTATCACTGCTTATCTGCAATCTTTTTTTGTTAGAAAACACTCTGACAGTATGAATGTAGATTTTGAGATCAAGTCTTCCAACAATCTGTTGGAATTCCCATTGGTACCAATTGCGTCCCGTTATTAGCAGACCGATTTTAGTATTCATATGATGCAGAATTTGTTCAAAAACTTCCACATGAAGAAAGTCTCTTGATGTGGTCTTCAGCTCAACATTTAGATATATCGTCGTGTATTTTTAATGAACAATATTCACTTTTATTTCTACCTTGATTTAATATATCCCTTTGTACTCGAAATGAAAGAAATCACAGAGTCTGACACATCTGTTTCATAAGTGGGTATTTCACTGGAAAAAGACATACATAGCAATTTAAACTAACTAACAACAAAACTTTATGATAAACGCAATGACTTCAACTTAACTCATTTATGTAGCAATGTACCATTATCACCTGCATATAGAGTTTATGTCTCCAAGTTGAATCGATACACAAGAGCATGTTCTACGTACAAACAACTTCTAAAACAGGCAAGCTATTGACAAATAAGTTAATTATATAAGGATATCAACAGTCTCGTTTTAAAGTCAACATTGTGCAAATTCTATACCCGATACATTGAGCATGACCTTGTTAGCCAAATTAATACCGTCTATTGTTGAGTCAAATGTAAAATTGACTGACTTTTTTCATACAAATTATTATGCCACTATTTTCACACTAAATTGTATATGGATTTTTCTGTTTGTCCGATCATGACAAGTAGCATACGGTGAATGTGACCGGTCGACAGGGGATGATTACTCCTCCATGGCACCTGATCCCACCTTTGATGTTTTTAGAGGTCCCTGTTTGCTCTGCTTCCAATTAGTATCGTTCCATTGGACTTTTGAGCTTGTTATTGATCTTTATCTTCATAATTTATTATTGCATTCAATATGTAGGTATTCAGAAATAATCCCATCAGGTGTAAGGTTTTACATTCTCGGCTGATAAACAGCACTAAGGAGGAAAACAATTGCCAATAAGCTTCTATTCATTTTTGTTTTGATTTAGTGCCGGGGTAGGTAGAACGGGTACATTTATAGCCCTGGATGTTCTGTCCAGATATGGGGAGATTAAAAGGAAGGTCAACATTGTGGAGTTCGTGAAGGCCATGCGCCGGAACAGGATGACAATGATTCAAAACAGTGTAAGTCTGGGACATTTCTGATTTGTGATTCACAACAGAGGTACGTTATTTTTTTTTTATAATATATCGATACATTCCCATACTACGGGATAATTTTTTTACTCCCTTAGTGAACATGTGTACACATATATACTATAAACTAATTATCACATTCGCTATAATTTCTTAATTTTAAATCAATCAGTAACAAATAATTTCCGCGACAGAGGAAATATTCTACATTGATATGTAGGACTCCAAAGTGCGATGGGACTCCAAAGCCCCATGGTCACGCCAAAGTCCGATGGTCTGCGCTAAACCCCGATGGTTCACACGCCAAAGTCCGATGGCGCAGAAAAATAATAATTGTTTATGAAGTCATAGTACCAAATTGCGATGCCGCGCCACGCCAAGGTAAAAAGGTTTAAAATAAATTAAATAAATTTTAAGTATTTAAACGCCAAAGTAATATGGTTCACTAAAACACTCCAAAAATATATATACTGTACCACTAGCCATAACTTCTTAAGTGGTTGCGATGCTAACCCTAATCTTTCGGATGGGTGCGAGGCTAACCCTAATCTTTCTGATGGGTGCGAGGCTAACCCTAATCTCTCGGATGGGTGCGATGCTAACCCTTATCTTTCGGATGGGTGCGAGGCTGACCCTAATCTCTTGAATGTGTGCGAGGCTAACCCTAATCGGTCAAAACGTCTGTAACATATCCTGGATGGGAGAAAAACTAACCATAATCTGTCAAACCTCTTTTTGGGTGCGAGATTAAAATATTCAGTCGAATAGTGTACAAGGATTAATCCTTAATGTCTTGGGTGGGTGCAACCCATCCTATAATCAGAGTAATATTGTGCACAAGGACTAACCCTTATCAGCCAAGTGGTGTGCATGGACTAATCCTAATAACTCAGGTGAGTGCAAACAATAAGTAAAATCAGTCAAATTGTATGCGATGACTCATCCTAAATTACTTGAATTACGGACAATGGCGTCGAGGATTGACGTAGAAATATTGTGACGTCATGAACGTTAATTGTTTCTCCACACCATCGTACTTTGGCGTGTCAGACCACCGCACATTAGCGCACGTGTATCATAGGAAACGAGCCATCGGACTTTAGCATGACCATCGGCCTTTGGCGTCCGTACCGACGTCAAACCATCGAGGTTTGGCACAGACCATCGGACTTTGGCGAGACCGTCGGACTTTGGCGTCACCATCGGACTTTGGAGTCCTACAGATATACAATTATATAAATAATTTGTGGCAAAAATATTTTAAGTAGAGGAAGATGTCGCGAAACTCAAGGATATTTGTTGCATGCAAATAAAGATTAGTTTACAATATTACAAGTAAATGCTACTGCAGACAGATAAACGAAAAAGTAAGATAGTTTGATTTTTGTGTGCGAATTACCGACTTTGATATATGGAATACACATGGGGTTAAATGATGAAAGTGTAAATTGTACTACATGAAATAGTTGCATGAAAAAAGAAGGTGTTTGTATTATGTTGTATTGAAAATGTGAGGATATTGAACAGTAATCATGCTCAAAAGTCAACTTAGACAATACAAATTATAAGCAGAGCAAACAAGAACCTCTGAAAACAGGGGCCAGGTGCCATGGATGAGTGAACATCCCGGGTCGACCGGTCACACCTTCATTGATCTCATATAGATTTACATGTACATCTCAAATGAAAGAAACATTTGTAATATAGCGTGGAATTGTCATTGTTCTTGGGGGACCTTTACATTCTAACGAACGACAACTTTGTCAGTGTATCGGTGTATCAAACCATTAGTATTTATAATTTACCGAAAGAAAGTCCATATATCCCCCCCCCAATAAAAGATTTCCACATTAAAGTGTTTCCACAGTATATTTAATAGACCTGTTTGACTGTGTTTTGTTGCTTTTTATATTTACTGATATAACTTCCAAACAGGTTAACGATGATAAGAATTTTGAACTAGGAAATCGTATTTGACCCATCTACATCTTCTATCTCTAAAGAGATTATTTTACTTGACTGTTATTTTTATGTACATGTAAATTAAGAAAAAAATACATACCATATTGAATATTTTCATCAATTTTAGGAGCAGTACATTTTTCTTTACCATGCGCTCTACGAATTCTTCAGACGACAAGGACAATTTATCGGAAAGGACACTTTTCTGAAGATGTACGGAGAATTGGATAAACCAGAAACAAGGAAAGATCTCGCTAACGATTTCAACGTAAGGATTCAATGATTCTCAGAGAACATGATTTATAGTTGTGAAGTATTAGTTTCTCTGATGACATACGAAAAATATTTCTTTTAAGAAAAGTATTGGATCTTATAGAAAATTAGAACAGTTGGGTACAGTCCACTAATTGTTTTCCCATAGGCGGCAATGTTAACGTTTCTTCACATAGCAATGTCCCTAATTTTCGTTCAGCAGTGAGTGACCCCTCAAATCAAAGCACATCAAGTTGTCTTTCCTTGGTTAAAATCTCGAGGTGGCATGTCAGATTCGTTTTCCGGCAAAATGCGTCTGTCTGCGTTAACCTCTGAAAATGAAAGTGAAAGTAGGGGAATTCCAGACTTCTCACTGGTGTTATAATACATAAAATAATTCTGCTGATCTTATTGATAAATTACATCTGCCAAGCTTTTTTGCAAGGGAACATACTCCTTATCAACAAGTGTGAGGCTCAGTTTAATACATTATCGGAGTTTTTTTTATTCAGGTCTGCAAATTAAGGAACTTGTAATTTTTTCTGCACTACTTTCTCCCCCTACCGATTCTAAAAATAATTAGAGGTACGTACCCAGTTCAACATTAAAACTTCAATTCATTAGATGCCTCTAAGTTTAAGAGATAGAAATAGGAAGGCACTTTTAGAAAATTGTTATCCTATGTACAATCAACTTGACTCATTTTTACAATATATCTTTTCAGAAATATATATTGATATAAGTACATGCATATGCATTGGAAAGTATCGACATTCCTGCTGTGTTTAGTTTAATTTATATGTATCGTGTTCCAAACAGGCTCTCACATGTTTACGACCGAAGTACGAAGTAAAAGATTTCAAGACTGGGCAAGCTAATCCAAAGCTAAATAGGACACAGAATGTTTTACCAGGTTTGTGACCATTGAGTTTAACTTTCCTTTGTAAGTGGAATAGAGAAAGAATATTTAAAATATTATAGGAGTATGGCATGACCTTTGCCAAAAATGATGTCATAAAGAAACAAATTTCCAGAATTCATTATATTGTTTTTTTCAATTTGTTTGATAAAAAATCATAAAATAGTGATTGAATATGTTAAAGAAAGGGCAAGATCTAAAATTCGTGCTCGTAATTAAACATATCATATTTAAATGAATTGTATTTTATTTGTGGAAAAAAGTTTTTGGTCCATTGAGATTCGTTTATTGAATTTATTCGAACCTGAAGTTCAAAGCATGATTTGAAGTCTGCAAAAGATAAAAAATGCAATAAAGAATTCTATCATTAATCATTAAATTACATTTGTTTTTAACTCAGTTGAGAAGTATCTGGCCCACTTAACATCTAGCGTAAAAGGACGAGGAACATACTACAATGCCGTATTTGTGTCGGTATGAATACTAGTTCAAACGTATTCCATCTATGTTGTTTACAGAAACAATATCCTTATTTTTGAGATTTTATTATACAAAATAAAACCAATGTTCATTTTTGAAGTCTGAAGCCCTTTGCTTCATGTCACAAATCAGATTTATATATAAAAAGGAAGCACAAATACAAAAAAAATTTCTTTTATTTGAATGAATAAGTCATTCACACAAGCTGAAGAGTTTATTTCTGCGCAATATCCGGTGACCGGTGCTGCGATTGACCTTGTTCGCCTACTGGTTGATCATGAGTCTTCTTTTTTGGTTTGTCTCAACTCTTTGACCATTATAGAAGAGGTAAGGCATTTGATACAAATGTTGATTAATCTCATCTTCAAGCCAACAGCGTGAAAACATTTCAATAAGCATTTTATACGTGTTCTCTTCATATCAATGTCCGTGTTTGTAGATCTATACTTTATTACTATCTATAGTATTGTCTGAACTAAAATGATTAAAGATCCTCTACTCGCAAAAATGAATTTTGGTAATTTTCTGATACGAAATAACAGTTAACAGAATATACCAATGGGTCAAAAGAGGCAATCTGTAAAATAAAGTTTAGTTGCCCTTTCCCTACTCAGGGTAAAAAAAAATGGCTGTGTAGGTAGGTGGGAAAATTTTTCCAAATGTTTCTACATATATGCTGAATTTTCAAAATCTGTTAAAATTGAAGGAATCATAAGATTAAAATGGTTGTTGACGGGATGAGAAAATCCCGGAATCAAAAAAAAAAAAAATAAATAAATAAAAAAAAAAATCGTTTCCTCTACGCTTAAAATTTTTTGAGTAGGGCCATTTTAGCCAGTCGGTCGGGGAAGGGCAAACAATTTTTAGCTCACCTGAGCCAAAGGCTTAAGTGAGCTTTTCTGATCAAAGAGTGTCCAACGTCCGTCTGCCGTGTGTCGTCCGTCGTCTGTAAACTTTTCACATTTTTGACTTCTTCTCAACATCCACTAGGTCAGTTTGAACCAAACTTGCCACAAAGCATTCTTGGCTGAAGGGGATTTAAGTTCGTTTAAAGGAAGTGCCACCTCCTCATTCAATGGAAGATATTTAAGAAAAACAAAACTTTGGTGGCATCTTTGAAAAATCTTCTCAAGAACCACTGGTCAAGAGAAGATAAAACTTATGTGAAAGCTTCATTACATACTCTAAATTTAAGTTCGTTCATATCTTAGGGAGGGGTCACAAGAGAGGGTCGAAGTTTTACATAGGAATATATATGAAATGTCTTTAAAAATCTTCTTCTCGAGAACAGCACAACCATGATTAGTCATATTATTATGAAAGTATCCGCAGGTAGTGTAGATTCAAGTTTGGTCCAATCATGACCCCTGGGGATAGGGCAGGGCCACAACATGGGGTCAAAGTTTATCATGGGAATATATAGGAATTATCTTTAAAATCATCTTCTGAAGAACAGCTAAGCCATTATTAGTCATTTTGATATAGAAGTATCTTCAGGTAGTGTAGAATCAAGATTGTTCAAATTATGACCCCATGGGGTTGGGCGCTGACACAACAGGGGGCCAAAATTTTACAGTGTAATGGTTAAGGGGCATTTGTGTAAAACGCATTGAAGGCTTCAAATAGTGGAATGACCTGACAACCCTTGGAATGGACTAGCCAAATTGTAATAAAGCTTTGGGAATCTGAGGTATTCAGAAGCTAGGCGAAGAAGTTGGCTGTTAAATCAGCAATGAAGAAGTTAAGGGTAAGAGCAAAATAAAAGTATATATGCTATTAGCACCAGTGGCAAGTATCCTAGGGAATTGAAGTTAAGTTCTGGGTGTAGTAAAGCTGAAGAAAATTGAGACAGCTGGCTGGATCCAAGGGGAAAACACGGTGCAATTACATATTACATAGGAAATATCTTTAGAAATCCTCTACTCAAGAACAACTTACTCATTATTAGTCATATTTATACAGAAGCATCCTTAGGTATTGTAGAATCAGATTTGTTCAAAATATGACCCCCAGTGATTCGAAAGGGGGGGGGGCAAAGTTTTACATAAGAATATATAGGTATCATCTTGACAAAATCTTATGCTCAAGAAGAGCAAAGTCATGATTAGTTATATTATTATAGAAGCATCCTCAGGTAGTGTAGATTCAAATTTGTTGAAATTTAGGGTGGGTAGGGTTGGGCCACAATGAGCGATCAGAGTTTTACATAGAAATACATAGGGAAAAATCTTTAACATTCTCCTGCTCAAGAACAACAAAGCCATGATTAGTAATATTGATATGGAAGCATCCTGAGGAGTGTAAATTTAAGTCCCGCCTCCTCCCGTAAACTTTTCAATGCTGAACTGATTTCTGCTTTTTCCTAGCCAATGTGTTCAGGTGAGCGATGTGGCCCTTGGGCCTCTTGTTTAAAGATGGTCTGATTTAAAAACTGTAGAGTTAACGCTCTTGGCAGAGGGTCATACATGTATTTGCATGTAGAAAAATTGATAGTAACAACTTCCTCTGAATATGTTTCTCAATTGATGTTAAATTTCTTTTTGCGTATAGTTAAAGGAATGGGCAGAAAGAGAAAAGAAGATTATTGAGTTAGGACCATACAAAATAGCAAAAGTCATACAGACAACACTGAACGAAACGATACGGAAGACCAGGACTGAAATACAGATCAGAAATGTAACGTTTAAATCTCTTAGTGAATAATTGTCTAAGAATATATTATATCCGAGAAAACTATTTTTTATACATTACATCGATGTTCATACATTTCATTAACTGAAACATGACTCATTTCAACAAATAATATATTACAGTGTATATTAGATTTATTTGTAGACAAAGGAGAAACATGTGGTTCAAATATTTGAATGTCTTGATTGGAGTTTAAACGAGCCTTTTCCGGCAGAGAACTCATCATTAACAGACTTGATAAAGCATATTAGCCTGGATAGAAAATCTTGTTATGATGGTCATATCACTGTTTTATCGAAGTACGTAAAAAAAAGAAAGAAATATTCTCATATTTAAAATAAATGGGCAAAACTCGATATATCGCACATTGCGGGAACTGCCAAAAAACATTTAGCTATCTTGAGATTTCGAAAAAGTGGATGATATATGGAGATAACGAACAGTAATCAAGCTCAAAAGTCCATTGAAACAATACAAATCGGGAGCAGAGCAAACACGGACCTCTAAAAGCATCAGAGGTGGGATCAGGTGTCATGGAGGAGTAAGTATTCACTGTCGACCGGTTACACCCCATGTATGCTCCTTGTCATGATCAGGAAAACGAAAAAATTCGTAGATAATTGTGTAAATAATGGCCTAACAATTAGAGCAAAAAAAATATATCAGTCAGGATTCAACTTAATGATTTGACTGTATTTGCTGACAAAGTCATTGTATCTACCATAGAACTTGCCAAATGCTATCTTTAAACGAGACTGGTGACATTTTTCTTTCATCATTTTTTTTTTGTCAATAGCCTTGTTTTAGAAATTGTTCATACGTAGAGCATGCTCCTGCGTATAGAATCAGGAGAGATAAGCCCCATAAGCAGGTGACAAGGGTATATTGCTACATAAATAATGGAAGTAGTTGAAGTCATCACGTTTATCATAAAGTTTTGTTGTTAGGTTATCATTAACGTCTTTTTCTAGTAAAATATCTTAATATGAAACAGATGTGTCAGACTCTGAGGTATATTTTATTTCAAGTTCACTGGGATATATATTGAATCGACGTATGAATGGAGGTAATTATTGTTAATTGATAATACGTCGTTGATATATCGAAATGTCGAGTTGAAGGATTACCACGTGCAGAATAAAGCCTTTCATAATTCAGTGTTTGTTTTCGTTTTTAACATGCTATTTCTGAAGATGTAGTTTTGCTCTATTTTACAATTTTTGATTTTCATGTAATTTTTTGAATATCTTATTCGTTTTGTTTAAACAGGCATGTAGCAACGGTTTTAAGGAGGGGGGGGGGGGTGCAACTTCACTAAAAAAGACTGACAAACAAACAAACAAAACAAAACAAAGCGACAAAAAATTAATAATACGATTTTTTAAAATCTATACTTATAAATTAATAAATTTTGCAAATAAACTCCGAAACGGGTGCACCAGAGTTCTTACTTACTCCTCTAACAATACACTAGATACAAGATGATGTCCGTAAACTATATTTAGATTTCACTCGCATAGTAAGTATCGTACATTAAATTAAAAGTCTACTTTCATTTTCTATAAACAGCCATGAAATAGCTAAAACGTGAGTATGGTGGCGTTTCCGGTTGGCGGATCTAAGTTACTGGCAATTTTTAATGAAACTGACAACAAGCAATCGTTTATTTATTACATAAAACGTCATCACTCAATTATTCAATCAATACTCGATTTAAATGATATAAAAGAAATAAGTTGTGATAACCGATTAAAAAGGGAAATGTTCAAAATATTTTCGTCATTCGCCGATCTTTATATTGACGGAAGCTTCTAGAACATCATATAGCATCGAGCCCGATGTTAAGAAAAAAACGAGGCGATTATATAACTACATGACCATAAAAAAAGCTTTTGTGTAAATGGTCATAATGGTCATAATTGGAATAATGGTAAATCACTGATAACACTATAAGTTGTGAATATAATTATGTATATATCGAAAGACTATTACATATACGTTTTCCTAATAAATTTATCGGTAAAATTTGTATATATTCCTTACTGAGAGCATCGTGGCAACGAACCCGAAGTACAATTTGTACTTCGTAATAAACTTGCTTACATGAAAAGAGAAAATTAATGAATAAGGTATTGTTCAAATACAATTAAAGATGTAAAATTTTGCGCATTAATCAATGCACAGTTCATTTCTGAATACAATCTTTTATAGCTGCAATTATGTAGCCCCCTCCTTTTTTGAGGGGGGGGGGGGGCGGAGAGAGAGAGGCCAGAAAATATCAGATAAAAAAACAAAAAAAAAAAAGAAAGGGCTACATTATTGCAGCTTAGTCTTTTGTATCAAATACTCAGCCTATTCATAGGGCGTTAAAAGCTAATTTTTACACAGGTACTTGGTCCTTGGTTTATAAATATGTATGTACCTTATTGATAGGTAAAAAAAGTAAAGTACATTTTTACATATCAATAAGGTACAAACATATTTATAAACCAAGACCCAAGTACCAGTGAATTTTTACCCCCCCCCCCCCATCAATTTATTAGTAAAATGTTCATATTCCTTGCTTTTATCCTTGACAGAAATGAAATAAGAGCATCGGAAGTACAATATCCATAACATAGTATAACAGGTTTCACAATAAACGTCAATTAATGAAATTGCTATTATTCAAGTTTAAAAAAAACAAACAAAAACAAAAAAAAACACAAAAAACGGGGGGGAGGGGGGATAGGTAAATCTACTTCATGCGGGATTTTGAACAAAGTATTTGTTCCTGCTATAAGCCTGTAGGCTGTCAGTAGAGAACTACAATATATTTTCTGTCGGTAGTGGTATAAATTCAATTTCCCGCGCTTGCGCGGGATTTCATCTAGTATTAAATAAAAGAAAAGAAACCGTAACTGCCCAAATCCTGAAACTTGCCAGTTTTCAATCTTACAGCAACAGAAAGTAATGAGGTGGGGAGTGCAACCAGCATCGAAATAAGAATTTACTGAAGCAAAATACTCAGAAAGAAGTGGGGGCGCCCCTCCTGCACCCCCCCCCCCCCGCCTTCTAATGGCCTATTAAAAAGCACCGTGACACTCATAATGATGAAACCACACCCTCCAGCGTGATAGGACGTAACAACAGTCAACATTGCTTGACGACGAACATTCTAAAAACAATTTGACTGTACGGAATATAGGATTCACCATTATAATTATTTTTAGTATAAAACATTCAGTACTGTACAATATAATAAATATTGCCTGTAGTTGAGAGTAAAATTGAAACTTTTCGCCCCTCGAAAATTTTCGATGCTATCACCAACTACAAGCATGCAATGTTAATATAATATGTACATAATACTGCATTTCTTAAGGGACGGGGCATCATGTTGTGGAGTATTCATTGCTGTTTATAACGCCATACAACAACTACAACTGGACAACGAGGTGGACATGTTTACCATTGTACAACAACTACATTGTCGCAGACCGGAAATGATTTCCACAAAGGTTTGTTTCTATTTATTCTTTACTGGATTTTTAGATATTTAAGTATTTGTTGTAAGTTGTCTCTTAACTGTTCAGAAGGATCACATGTTTAAGTAATAAATTATCAATATAATTCTTTTTACAGGAAGAATATGAGTTCTGCTTCAAGTCCGTTTGTAATTATCTCTGTACGGATTGTACGTATGCTAACACTTAACTTGGTGATACAATTTGCATTTTGACGATGCAGGAGTATTTTATTTAAAAAGCAATTTGTTCAAAGATCCTCTAATCATTTTTTTTTTGGTGAATAATGCTTTAAATATTGTTTCTTGTTTTTGTACATATTTATTGATATACCTTTTTCATGAAAGTAATATGTAGCAATAAGTAAATATTTGCGATGAAATTCAGTGACACATATAAATTTGATAAAATGTTTTACTCTTCTTTTTTTTTTTTTTTTTTAAGCAAAAATAGAACTATTTATATATTATGCAATAAAGTTTTATCTAAGTATCTTTTAAAATCAAGATTTATATTGTTTTATACATGTATTTGTAATCAGAACACCAGAAAACCAGAATTAAATGTGAATAATTATTCAATTTGCTTGTCTGTTGTATAGTTTTTTCCCCCAGAAAAAAGGCATTAATTCTAAGTTTTAATTTTTTCTATCATTTCAACTATTTAATGACATACAACAGGTAATTTGTTATAAAAACTTATGCCATTATAGAAGAAAAATTCCTTCTTTATGCCTTTCAAAAGTGGCAACTCAAATTGCTCATTCGAGTTTATTCAATATAGCCCTCATTGAAATATTTTATATGTACAGAAGCTCCCGCCTCCAAAACAATCAATCTATAATCATCAAACACTAACAACATGGCAGCATGAGCAAGGGTGTCTCTTCCAAAATTGTAAATTTCATGGCCCTTGGGTCAGATGTTCTGGTGTTACGGCGGGGCTCTATTGATTATGTAGTAAAAATGCATTTAGGTCAGATGACACGTTCCTCAATAATATATAATTTTTACCAAGAATTTGTCAATGAAGTATTCTTTGTCTCCTTTGCTTATGTAAATAAATAGTTAGGTCACATTCGTATCAAACTTTACTCTGTCCCTTTGAAAGTTTCAAATAATCTGGGATACAGGCTCGGATCTGTGATTATGGATATTGCAAATCATAGGCGTTTTAAACCGCCACGTTTTACGAAAGAAAATACTGCTAAAAGAACCCGTTTTTATTCTCTCTAAACTCCAATATACCAACAAATGGAATTGACGCAATTAATATACGTAATATTCTTAATCACAAAAGTGTCCAGTCTTGTATTCAACCATATTTCAATTTGAACTCAAGACCTTGTATTTCTTACAAATACATATGCTTTCAAACTTTTTAATTACAAGAAAACTCTACAGTGCCTAGACGAGACGAGAACGGATAGCAATAGGTCACCTGAGTGACTCAGGTGACCTAAAAATTGAATTTATAATTTTCCTGAATGACTATAAACATGGAGGTTTAATTCACGAAGTGTTCAGTCAGACAAAGAAAGAAAAGAAATAAGGATTTAAAAAAAATGATTTCTTGAAAATAAAACTGTTTAGACAATTATAAAGTTACTGATTTTTATTTATCAAAAATTGTTACGTGTATAACTCGTATATAGAATTTCTACATGTATTACTTTTTTTACTGTTAACCCTTACATGATAACTATTGGATGTAGAATTTCTACATGTATTATTATCTTTGCTGTAAACCCTTACATGATAACTTTGTCCCTGTTAGGGTTGCGGCTTTGCCTTTATGTCACTAGGGCTTGTTAGCAAGAATTTTTGGATTTGGGAGGTTGATTCTTCTGTGGAACTATATACATTCTAGGATACTATGCTTCAAGATTTATTTTAAATTGGAAGGTTATAGTCGTTTTGTCTTCGCAGTCTTATTTACCCATCTTCTCAGTTATTAAGAGGCCGGGACTAGATCCATAATTTTTTTTTCGGCTCAAATATCTCTTTTATTTGAAATATTTTGTTAAGGTTTATTAAAACCAATATTCTAATTCAAAGTATACACGAAGGCCACAAGAGGATGACAAATTAGAACATTAAAAAAATCATGAATTCTAACGAAAAGTAAAATATGAAGATAACAAGTGATTTATCTAAAAAAAAAAAAAAAATCTGCAATCAGTACAAAAACTGAGAACCGGACATAAAACACAGACCCTGGAAATTCCAGAGGTTGGATCACGTGACTAGAGGGAGTAGGATTATCCTTTGTTGACCTTCAGCTCTTTTAAGGGAGCTGAATGGGGTTTTCATTGCATGACATATTACGATCTGAGCAAAACGTCTTTTGCAGTACTTTTAAAAATTGCTTCAAAATGCGAAAAAATGACGCTCTCATATAAAATACTGCAGTAAATATACCAGCATTTTGAGACAGTTCCTAAGAATACCAAGATCTCAGATTTTCTTGAAACTTAGCATGTTCACTGAAGTTGGTATAGCTTAAATATGTTGTAAAAACAGAGTTTTTCTATTGTAGTTTTTACACACTAACCCCCCCCCCCCCCTCCCTCGACTTACATGAATTTTCACGTAAAGTGGGATTATCACAAATTGTCATTTTGAACAATTCTGACTGAATTCATTCAAAATTCTCAACTGTAAATTATCACAATTTTAGGTGCTTTTTGATTTTTAAATTATAAAACATGTACAAGGGACCAAATTTTGCCGTTACCATATGTTGTCCTATGGTTGTACTGTATGTTTTTAATGCTGAAGAATAAAAAATATAATTATAGGATCCTACGATTACACACAACTTGTTAATTAAAAACCTCAGTTGATAAAGGGGACAAGTTGAAGAAAAGACAATGCTTGCAAGGAATTGATCCATCATTTATTAAATCTATTCATAAAGCCAGTGATACAAAAAAAAGGAGAAGAAATGAAAAATTGAAGCTGTATATTACATTTAGCACAAGAAACATTAGAACTCATTTAATATAACACAGTCTGCATAAATACAAGTTTTCATGAGAAATATGAATAAATCAAGGGTTTTCTAAATATCAGACATTTGTCTTCCACACAACCTAATTCTTATAATCACAGACATACTAATTATTTCAAAATTGTTATAAAACACCTGCAACCTTAGTTCACAACCTTAGACATGCACACACTACTCTGTATACTTTAAACACACTGAACAGACATATTATATAGTAGTTTTATCTTTATACAAATTCAATATGAATAATAAATAATAATACTACCATGGTGGAGAAAAAATGGACAATGTCAGAAAAAAGGTTATAAAATAAATATTTGTAAAAATGAAATCTATAGCTTTGAAATTATTACATTACTGAACCTGAGAAGCAAAGTAAATTATATTCAATGACGACACAACTTTATCAGTGAGAGATACAAAACAACATAAATTATAATACAAATATGTATCAAACTAATCCAATTAATACCAATCAGGCCAGCAGTGAATTCTTTCAAACCTTCCTCTCTTATTAAACTGTGCCTCTGCTCTTAATCTACTGGTAAATTAATAGATAGGTCTCTTCACGCTGTCAAAGTTCTGCTAGCTTCGTAGGTGAGGAAGCTGCTCAAAACATTCGTTGCAGAATTTCAGCTGCCAGATCTTCCCTGCATACTGGTCAAATTTGTCTTTTCCCATCAGTTCCACCAACTGAGGCTGTTTATGAAACAAGAAAGAGTATTGTTAACAAATACATTTGTAATTAATTTGATAAATGATAAAAACTATCATGACTACATATGTCAAAGGAAATAAGATGTGTAAAAAAACGTATGGTTACAAAAGAATACATATATCAAAATCTGTCCAGTGAGAGAAAAGTCTAACAAAATATATTGATGGGAGGTTGGTGAATTTGAAAAATAAGTTTTACTTCACAACACTTGTTTGCATGCTTGAATTAAAAGAAACACTGCATTCCATTATAAATACAGATGATTGTTTTCAAAAAAGTCTTTTCAATCCTTATTAAAAAGATATGTGATTTTTACATTTATATGTATATATATATATGTACATCTATTTGTTAGCATCACAAGTTTGATAAACCTCCAAGCTCATTTTTTATTTTGCTTCAAAACAAGTTCTCTCTTTCAAGTTAAAATCATGATCCACATAAAATGCAAATAAGCAGATTTATTTAGTAGTATATAAAAAACCAAATTTAAAATTCTTCATTTGTACTTGTAAATTCCAAAACCATAAAAGTATACATAGCAAATGTGAAAATTAATCAAGGGCTTTTTCTGCACGCTAAATAAAGATTATTCTTTCTCTGCATATCATATTCTCAGTTTTGAAAAACAGATTTAAGCTGAGTGAAACGTATGTCAGCAGAATAGAAAATATGCCCTACAAAATTTTTCGTAGCAATAATGCCATTAACAAAATTTCCATATTTAGTACATGATTATATTTCTTGATATAATTTTTTATTAATATGAGTCTTAAGAATTGGTTATATCCATTTTAATAGCTTCTACAGAATAATTATAGGTTTCAGTTTGTATTTTACATGTATTCACAACATTAGCATGTTATTTAATAAAGCGTTAACCTACTGATAAACACCAAAAGATGAAGTTGACCACTGTTCTTCAGTTTTCTTATTTGTTTATTTTTTTTTTGTCAATACATTTACACAACCATATAACAGAGAGGAAAACAAGTATACTTAAATGATCACACTTAGAGATTTGAAAGAAAACAAAAGAGTGTGGGAAATTAGAAAAGAAGTGTGATCTAAAAAAAACAATATAAACTCGGTGCTGAAACCAACACAGTACCACTGTATTTACCAAAACTTTTTCTGCCACCTAGAATACCAAGCCAGACAGAAGTTACAAGTTATGCTGGATATAAAAATCTTTACATGCAGGAGCTACAGTACTAGTGCTTGATTTTAATAAGGGATGCTGTTTTCTAAAACTTTACAGAGACTTTTTTCAGTCACTTTAATGATATATCTTTTTATTGATTTAAATCTGCATAAAAAAAATCTAGCTGAGGACATTATAGACCAGAAACTCAGTTCTAAAATTAATATCTATTAAAAAGAATATCCAATACCGAGTATCATGAGAGATCTTTTGCAATTTGCTTTGTAATATATTTAACGCTTTAGAGGGACTCAGATATAAAGAAATCTCGGTTAAATGAAAGTTATATCTCATCCCCATTCCTCATATAACAATGACCTTGTCAGCAAATACAACCTATCATTAAGTCATGATCATATGCTGACTGATGTTTTTCATACTAATTGTCAGGCCGTTATTTACACACTGATTTGTCAATGGATTTTTCCGTTTTCCCGACCACGACAAAGAGCACACAGCGGGTGTGACCGCTCGGCAGGGGATGCCCATTCCTCCATGGCACCTGATCCCACCTCTGCTCTGCTCCAAATTTGTATTGTTTAAATGGACTTTGAGCTTGGATACTGTTTGTTATCTCCATATTTCACTATAACACTTTCTTATATGGATATAAATTAAAGAAATTCAATAAGGAACTTAAATTTCATGTCCCCAGGAATTCCTTAATATAAGCAAGCTTTACTGTATAAATAGAAACAGCGACTAAAAATCATATAATGTCTAAACCTGGTGTTTTTATCTTATCATAATACATGAAAAGAGAGAATACTACACACAGAAAATATAAAAATCTATGTACTGTGGAATCAATTTAATTTGTGGAGGGTCAATGTTCATTGGCAAGCAAAATTTTATTAGTTTGTGGGTAGCTCGTTTACACAGAAGATTCAATGAATATCAAATAATAGCCAAGAAATGTTTACATAATAATAGTTTGTGGGGATGTTTATTGATGGGTGACGGTGACCCAAGAAATCCATGAATGTTGGTCTCCCACGAACAGTGATGATTCCACAGTATATGAAATAAAAAGCTTTAACAACTATAATGTTTTGATTTTCATCCTTACACCCAGGCCTACATTTAGAAGTATAGATATTGTGTTTATCACAGGAAAAAGTAAGATGAATACTTGTAGATTTTTACCTCCAATTCATCATCTTCTATGTTAGAGAGGATTGCAAAGGCTTTATGTAAAATCTCAAATCCCACTCCACGAACACAATCCCTAAAACAAAGACATTCATTACTGCTCACAAGAGTATTATACTTTCCCAACATTTCTCATAGGTTTCATTTCAGTAGATTGTAATGAAATCATACATTTATAAAATATCAAAACAGCAACAGTATTTTATGACATTGTATAAGACTAGTCTATAATACATGTATCAAGTCCTTCCTACTCAGGGAATCATACAATTCATTTCCTTTAGGAGATACTGAGCATAAACTTGAGTGCATAAATATTCCTGTTTGCTATATTACAGAATAACTTTCTGACATGGCCCTGATTTTTCCCTGTGCTCCTCTATGTAAAATTTGTAACCCAATGGACTCTCCAATAACATAATTCTGTTGACCAGATACAACTCAGAGAGTCCTATCTTCTTGTAAACTTCTTACCTGTGTAAAATCTGTATCCGGGTGGTCAGTCTGTCAGCATTACACAGAGTTTCCACACCTGCAATAGGTAAAATAAGTGCACCATCTGAATCATTATGGTTATATAGGGTATGTGTCTATGTACAAGTAAAATAAATTTTACACAAAAAAAATCAGTGGACAATAATTGTTCAAACACAGGTTTCTGTGAACAACAAAATATGTAGAAATATAAACTAGGCTCTATAGCAATAAAAATATCATTTACTAAAACATTGGTACATGCAAATTGAATAAATGTTGACATCTATGGGACAAATGAGTTCTACAGAACCTATAAGTACTTCACTCATTAAATTACTGCATAGTATTTTTTTAAGATATTACTTGGCAGTGAGGCACTCTTGTGGATTTCTGACTGGGATGGTTTTGATGGTTCACTGACTCGTCGATGACCTTTCCCCTCATCATCATCATCTTCATCCTCTGACTTGTCATCATCTTTGTTCATTTTTAAAGTTGTATCCAGCAGAGAAATGAAATTGTTCATTTCTTTATTTTCTCTACAATAGAATTCAAGTTCATACATTTCTGAAAATCTCTAATAAATGTTCTCTACTAAGATAAGCATTTAACAGATTATATTGTCTTGCTAAAAAAAATTATGCAGCAACACTTTATTTACCAGATATTTTTCTCCACCTGACTTTTGCTACATACCTCTGTTTTTCTCTCTCCTTTTTGAAATCCTCATTTTCTTTGAGTGTCTCCTCCTCAGAGCTTGAGCTGTCTTTAATGGAGGGTTGCCTCACCCTCTTTGAATTGGATTTAGACATTTTAGGTCCATACTTGAAATTTAAAGAAATACAAGGTACAGTGTAATGTAAATGTCTATCAAAATTATATCCTGTGAATTTCGCTTGTTGAAATATAAACTCAGACATTTTAAATTAATTCAATTTAAACAGATTTCAGTACATATACATGTACAGGTATTCAAAAGATAAAACATTTGACTTATACAATCAATGTGACACAAATCTAGCAGACTGTGAGAAGAAAAAATGTCGCATTTTTTAAGGAAATATTAAACCACACAAAAAATGTAAATATATGATATTAAATGTTAAAATATATGAAATAAATGTGCATGTAGTCATATAGTGAAATTATTATAAATATTTCAGGGACCTGGGAGTGGGGTCTGTTTAGCTGCAGAACTGTAGCGTTAAGGTTTAATATTTTAGTCTTTGACCATAATGCTACAGATACCCTAATGCAAATGTGGTGCAATTTATGGCGCAAGATTATCTGCGCACTTTAGGGATGTATTTCTCCACTTTCCAGCATTGGACAATCAACTACTTTTCATTCCCTAATTCTAGACATATTCTTTTACCAACCTGTATATTTTATCAACCTCCTAACCCTTTATAGTTGTCTCTACAGACCAATAAACTCGCTTGTTTTGAATTTTTTGTCAGATGGCAGAAAATTCAAAACAAGCGAGTTTATTGGTCTGTAGAGATGACTATAAAGGGTTAGGTGGTTGATAAAATATAAGGTTGGTAAAAGAATATGTCTAGAATTAGGGAATGAAAGGTAGTTGATTGGCCAATGCTGGAAAGTGGAGAAATACATCCCTAAAGTGAGCAGAAAATCTTGCACTGTAAACTGCACCATATTTGCATTACGTGATCTGTACATGTAGTGTTATGGTCAAAGACTAAAATATAAAACCTTAACACTACAGTTCTACAGCTAGGATCAGCTGTAACAGTTATGTTCTGAAAGAATGTTGACAAAACAATTAATTACAACTATGTGAAAGAAAAAAAAATTCATTTACAATGCATCATCATATTTTCAGATCTTAATAACAAGTTAAGGTTTTAAATTTCCTTTTTTGATTTGGATTATATGTATTGAAAACAATATTAACATAGTTCATAGATTTCAAGAACTGCACTAAAAATTTTGATTTGGAGTTAACCGAGTAATTTACAAATCTTTTTTTCCATAAAACCCTTTGATGTTATCTACTGCACAAAAATAAATATCTAAGGTATCAAAACATTGAACTCAGAAACCAAGTGAATTTGTGAATCTCACACATTATAAACAGCCACAATCATTAGACTAAGTGCAGTATGACTTTTTAGCACCCACACAATCATGTGTTCAGATCAGGCAGTAAGTCACACCACCAATTCCTTGACTTACAGGTTCACATTCCCAAATATCCACATCCCCCCTCGGGGTATAACTATCTTCCCTATAAGGTCTACTGTAATACTCATTTCTAGGTGTTCGAGCCGAGTCTGGAGCTGAGAATTCGTTCCAGTGTCGATAAGCCTGTCATTGCACAAATTCTTTTCAACATAGACAGGTAAGTATATTAACTCTTTCTTTTCTTTTTTCAAATTTTGTCCTTTAAAAAAAGGGGGGTTATAAAACAAACACGTCCTGCAACAATATCATGGAAATGAATGTCTCACAGACAGACTTACAGTCTCAAATAAACATCCTTAATACATTTCTTTTTTTTTTTTTTTTTTTTTTTTTTTTTACAAACCTACATTGGTTACTTACCTCACTCTTCTCAGCTTTTGTCACTCGCTGGGACTCGTGGCGAGATGGGGCCTTTAAGTGAATGCGGGCTGAATTAGGCCTTTCCAATGCTGATAAAAATTGAACACATAAAAAAAAATTATCAATTGAATGTCATTTTGACATTTACAATTCAATTGAGTTTTTCAATTCAAATTATTTAACAACTGAAATATTTTTATTTCCTGAGCAATACATACAAGATCCAGTGGGATTTTTGGCCCTTCGTCTTTGTCTTGCTGAGAGATTGGGTTCCTGTAAAAATTTGAATTCAATGAAAATACATTACAATTAATCTATTATAAATCTAGAGTTTTCACACGTAATACATACATGTATACATGTAAGTAACATAACTTGTGTGAGTTATGTTTTTTGTCCAACTCTCATTCTTTAATCTTTTCAATTGTCAATAGACACTAGGCTTGCAGAGTGTCTTTTGACATTGACACTAGGCTTGCAGTGGTAATTTTGATTTAGAAGTTAGGGGAGTGATGAAATATACAGTGTAATTTTGATTTAGAAGTTAGGGGAGCGATGAAACATACAGCATAGTTTTGATTTAGAAGTTAGGGGAGTGATGAAACATATAGCGGTAATTTTGATTAGAAGTTTGGGGAATGATGAAACATACAGTGTACTTTTGAGTTAGAAGTTTGGGGATGATGAAACATACAGCGGTAATTTTGATTTAGAAGTTAGGGGAGTGATATGAAACATATAGTGTTAATTCTGATTTAAAAGTTTGATCAAATAAATGGATAGTTTCAGAATCTCTGATTTGAATTCATTATAAGTGTATTTGCTGTAACAGTGTTTTACTGTTATTTTTGTGTTAGGAACTAATGAGTATGTAGAATGTTTACTAGTAGTTTATAGATGCACCTATTTTATTGATATACTACATCTATTTGGTGTTTGTTTAATTGTTATCATTTATAATTATCATGATACCATGATTAAATACCAGCTAGTAAATCATACATAGCCTTTACAGTGATCTGATTTTTATTCCGTGTAGTTTCAAAATGTACTATTAACTTCACGGATGTAATGATTTACGTTCATAAAGAATCAGAATTGGTCATCCTTGGCACTTTGCTATAGGCATCTTTTACCGTTGTGTCAATTACAAGTCCATTAGTAATGAATATCAAATGATGTCACACAATAGTATTTGCTGCAATAATTAATATAAGTTAATATAAATAAATACAGATCTGTTTTTTTAATGAAATTTTAATGCATAATAACCAAAATTATGACATAAAATAGCACTGAAAGTATTTACGTAAAATAGCACTAAATTAAGAATAAATTGATAGTATGAGACACAGATTATTATAATCATCATTACTTTATATTCTTTTCTTATTGTTCTTGAACTCACCCTAGGAGTTTCTAGATCACATGATTCATCCTTAGAGCTAGAGGTGCTGGATGATTTGTTGTTTTCCACCAACTTCTCCTCATAACTAGGTCGCCTGACGGGGATCCCTGCACTTTCACTGACCTTTGGGGGCGTGGGTAGGGGGCGAGGATTACTGACTGGCTTAGGCTGCACATTAACAATGAAAAGTAATATTTTCTAATCAAGAGATTTTTAAATACTCTTTTGCTTTCAATGTAAATTTTTTTGTAATTCTAACCAAAGAAACCTTCAATATTCATGACTGTTGTCAACTTACATTGATTTCATTTAATCTGTTTTTTTTTTTTAATCAAGGAAACTAGATATTTAATTCACTCAATTATTTTCACTGACGCAAGAAAAATCTTTCTGCTAAGAGACTGAACATGCTGAAGTAAAGTAAAAATATATGCTTCTTTTTTTTCTTAAATTTGTGAAAAGTCAGTAATTCTTAACTAACTCTTAGAAACACAACACTACAATACCCAAAATTGTTAAGAATGTCCAAACTGAATGCTGAAGTTTCATATTAATGATTGTATGAAGAGAATAATATTCTTTTCATATTCTTTAACTGTTTGTCACTCAGAATATAGCAAAAGTAATAATAAGAATTGGATAGATTCCTTTTTAGTTTAACAAATTTTCCAAGAAAATAATGACTTATTAATAGAGTAACTTCTGAAAATAGTGATGAAAGATAAAATCTAATATGCAATGCAAAAGCAAAAACATATCTTTGAATTCTATCTCTACAACACAGAATGATAACAGTTTCTGTATTATATTTTTTTCCCTTCTTAGTCACTAATTACATGAACTCAAAATTATTAGATCTTCAGAAAAGACCTCTTGGCATAATGCAAGACCTAATCAACAGACAAACAGACAGACAAGAAGATCTCCATATTTCTTCTCTCTACAGCAAGCAACACAAAATGTATGAAAGCTAACACAGACTTCCTGAGGTATGCTACAAGCCAAACAAGAAATCATGGTCACTTACGTGACTAGAGCTTATAGAATCCATGTCAATTATAGGGCCAGAACTTACTGAATCCCCACTCCGCTCTAGTGTGTCCTGTATTACGATATCAAAGTTGTAACTATATTATCAGTGTCATTAAAAAAGATTTTATGACTTAATAGTTTGTTCTCTGAAATTTATAAAAGCAAAAAATTTTTGTCTTACCACATACAGTATATTTGATTGATCAATTAATTTTTATTTTACAGTGTAGCTTTCAATTGTACATGACTGTATTATGTATTTACAACAGTTCTGCACTGTTTGAAAGTTCCACTTTCCGGTGAGTTTTGCATGTATAATTAAACAATATTAATAATATATGTACCTCTGGAAACTGTTAATTTATTCAACTGTTACAGAAATTACACAGTAATATGCATATACTAGTAATGCATCATCTTTTTGCAAGTTTTTACATACTTCTATTACTATTCCTTCACTTTAAGCCCCATATTAATTCCACCAGCAAAAAATTAAAAAAAAAAAAATAAAATCTCTACTTCATTCCATGTTACATTTATTTATTGTTAAGAGTGCCTATACCCCAATACTTAGTACAGAGTTATATACCTTGTGGATTCTGGGAGACAGATTACTCTCCCTTGGAAGATACACCTATATTATATAATATCTCATGATTTTTAATGAAAGTTTTCAGTATCTATCAGACCCTGTCATTCACCTTTATATAAACAATAAAATGCTTTCTTTGGTTGTTAGTATGGGAATTAATGTCGCAGCTGTTGCAGAAAAAATACATAACCCACGTAGGCGGGTTATTAGCAAATAGCAGTCTATCTATGGGGTTTAAAAGGTACATATACATTGTCAAAATTGACTTAATGCATTACACCCTAACACTCAACAAAATATAAATGCGACATCACATTGCATGATTCATGCTTCCAGATCTGAAGGGTTTATTATTATAGTAACTGTCTAAAAATCAGTAAATGTGAATATTTATCAGTATATAACTAAATTCATTAAAAAAAAATACTGCAGCTGAAAGGAACAGTTCTTGGTTATTTGTACTTACTTTTTTAAATACGTCACTTTTGGCATAACTAGAAGCACTTGAGTCAGATCTCGCACTGAGATTAGGCTCAGATCTCACACTCGGAAGCGAGTCTGTGTCACTGTCACGATTAACTTTTCTCAAAATGTTCTTTTTCTTTTTGGGAGAATTTCTTCCGGGAGGTGATTCTTTACTTTTACTTGGTGGAGACTGGGAATCTGATTTCTACAAAAAAGACACTGGTTTATTTTTCCAGTCTTGAACTTTGAAAATTTTTTTCTGTTTAACTCCATAATATAAAGAATTCAAGGCAAATGTAAAGAAAACAAATGTAAACCAAATTTTACTTTTATTTTGCACAAAAAAGAGGGGGAGGGGCTCTAGAAGTCTAGGAGCTAGTTATGTACACATATGAACTTTGTTAATTTAAATAAAAGGATTACAAATACAATAACAAATGCTTACACTTATCCCAACAATTTTCCCACTAACAATTATCATCAACAGTCAAAGCCTAATCAAAAAAAACCCAAAAAATTCAGCACTTGGTACTGTGTTTGGAATCTCGCTGACAGAGGTACCTCTTTGACTGTATTGTTTTTCACTGTATCCTCAGAACTGGTGGAGGATCCTAGATTTTTCTGGTGGTTATCACTGATAACTTTATCCTCTACTATGGGAAACAGGTCCTGCTTGGCTCCATCTGAAGGTTTGCGGGCATGACCAGGTCTTCGGAGAATAGCGGGCTGTGGTACAGCCTATTTGGTAAAAATGTGTACATGTGTATAAATATAATTAGATCATTCTCTTTTACTGAAAACTATCAAATCTGCAAACAGAGGCATTTCTTATACATGTATTCTACAAATACTTAAATTTTTTGATTAAGAGAAAATAATCATTTTCTTTGGAATTTCTAATCCCATTATGTTTTTGCAAAATGCATGACATTGTGTGTCTAAATAATAATATCATGAATATTGTTATATCTTCTAGGTATCAACTGTCAAACTATGGAAAATTCTTACCATCGTAACAAGGACTGCTTCTATCAGCTTGATATTCTGACATTGGACTACTTGCTTCTAATGCAGATGATTTTAACACTGTCTTTTAACCAATCTGATTTTGTTTAATGAACAATATACAGTGCATGTAATACACAGTATGTGATTTCAACCCTTACCTGTGCACTATCTGCCATTAAACTCTTTCCTGTACACTATCTGTACTGTCTGTGGTTTAAACCTTACCTGTGCACTATCTGTGTTGCTATTTAACTCTTACCTGTGCACTATCTGCCATTAAACCCTTACCTGTGCACTATCTGTGTTGCTATTAAACTCTTACCTGTGCACTATCTGCCATTAAACCCTTACCTGTGCACTATCTGCCATTAAACCCTTACCTGTGCACTATCTGAATTATCTGACATATAAACCCTTACTTGTGCGCTACTGCCTGTGGATTAAACCTTACCTGTGCACTATTTGTGTTGCCATTAAACTCTTACCTGTGCACCATTTGTGCTGATTGCCATGTGAACCTTACCTGCACACTGTCTGTGCTATCTGTGTTTAAACCCTTATAAATTAACTCTGCATTACCAGGGCTCTATGTGATATAACTCTTACCTGTGCACTATATGTGCTCCCTTAAATGTACCTGTGCATTTATCTGTGCAGTCTGTGATTTACCCTTACCTGTGAACTAGCTAAGCTGTTGTGATGTAACACTGTGCACTATTTGTGCTGTGTTTTAACCCTTGCTAGTGTAATGTCTGTTAAGTCTGATTTAACCTTTATCTGCATGTGCACTATCTGTGCTGTCTGTGATTTAACCTTTACCTGTGCACTATCTGTGCTGTCTGTGATTTAACCTTTACCTGTGCACTATCTGTGCTGTCTGTGATTTAACCTTTATCTGTGCACTATCTGTCCTGACTGTGATTTAACCTTTATCTGCACTATCTGTCCTGTCTGTGATTTAACCTTTACCTGTGCACTATCTGTCCTGTCTGTGATTTAACCTTTACCTGTGCACTATCTGTCCTGTCTGTGATTTAACCTTTACCTGTGCACTATCTGTGCTGTTATTTGACCTTTACCTGTGCACTATCTGTGCTGTCTGTGATTTAACCTTTACCTGTGCACTATCTGTGCTGTCACCTCCTTCAGATTCAGGAACATGGACCCGTATTTTACCGGCAGAGTTGTTATTGACATTGGAGACATCACCGGAGGGGAGGGGTGCAGGTGGGCGATTAGACGGGGCAGTTCGTGGTCTCAGTCTTTGAGCACTGCTGGGGCGACTAGCACTAGATGGACGGCTACAATTAACCAATCATAACAAACTGTAAGAGTTATATCCTCTACATTGAATAGAATATCTATTAAACATCTGGAGATAAAAAATTGCAACTTTAATATTTTGGATGAGTTAAATGGTGTACCAGCTGTGGTACAAGTATATACTTTCACATTGGCTGGTTCAGAAATCAACAGAGTGTCCTCATATGAAGACAGTCAGATCAAGATAAGATACATGTATAAAATTTAATCCCACCTCTTCTTGGTCTCCTCTAAGAAGACGGAAATATTCTTTTTGATGTACGGATCTCTCAGGATGCGGTTAACGGAGGGACGCTTTTCTGGTTCCTGATGTAACATATTTTTTATTATCTGGATTAATTCAGCACTGTATTGTTTTGGCATCAAAGGCATCTAAAAAGAATAAAAAGAGATTTTAAAAGAGATCCTAATATGCTATCTTGAAATTTATAATCTTCTATGCCTGGGACAAGCAGAAGAGAAAATGTAAATGATTTAAGACATATATTCATTAGTACATCATATTATATATGTAACTAGCATTCTCACCTTTCCCTTTAATATTTTATACACCAGTGAGTTCATGTCCTTTGCATTAAATGCATGTTTCAGAGTAGCCATTTCATACACACAGCATCCTAATGCCCACACATCAGACTGTCAATCAAGATATGTTTATTAACATAATTAATAAATCTTTAAATTTTTACACAAGTTTAAAAGAAAAACAATTCCCAATAATTCTGTTCAATCCAAAACTATATAAGGACTGTAAACAATTGTATACCTTCTCAACATAAAATGGCTTTTTACTTAGTACCTTTTAACATCATATACATTTGTATATCTAACCATGAAAGAATGTACATGTACTTTACAGGAAGATATACAATAATGAAAACAGCTATCAATAAGAGCTATACATTCGTGCCTCATTAATCAAGATGCTTGTGTTCTCAAGAATATTGTTTCGATTAAGGAAGCATCTAGGTATATATAAATTGTTCCCCATAAATTTTGTCTGGAGGGTAAAGTGTCCGGATTATTGGCATCTGAATTAACGAGGTTCCACTGTATATTGATTCAAAACTTATCTGTGGAATAAGCTTTTAGGCCCATGATTAAATCTTGAGCAGCATTTAGTGTTGCAAAATTGGGCCAAACTTACTATGGTATCAATTATCAAATTGAAATGGTACTACATGATTATAAAATCAATAGTTTGAACCTTATCAAATGACCTTGTTTTAAGGTTATGACACACCTACAGGTCATAAGCAATCTTGTATGAAGTCCAATGTTTCTCCAAAAAGAAGTAGTAAACCTAACAACAATTTTATACTTTTTCTGTCAGTGACCTAGAACTTGCTATAATGACCTCTGCGCAAGGTCATGACACATCTTGGGTCATAAACAATCTTTGTTCCAACTATGAGCCTCCAAAGATTCTCCATTAGAAAGTTATAGCCCAGAGAAGAATTTGATACTTTTTCAATACATAATCTGCAAAATCAACTTCAAAACATGCTTAGTTGGAAAGTCTGTCTGTTATTTGCATGAGAAATAGAAAAAAAATCCTTTGATAATGATAAAATGTTCAGTTAAAAGAAAAATTTCAGAATATTTAGCGACCATTGATGTTAAGATTTTCAATTGATTGTCACTGACAGTCTTCAGCGACAATTTTTTGATAGCTGGAGATTATCATAACAACAATAGTATCACTCATTATATAAACCAGTAGTATAATTCAAAACCCTTAAATCAATACAAATTTTTTTAAGTTTGAAATGAATATATTTTTCAGTGCATTGACACAATTAATTCAAACTAAATGTTACTCTTTAATCTTTTTTTATTAATCTATTTTTGTCCAGAGAGTTTAACACTATGTTCATGTGTTATGTCATAATAATGTTTTCTTTTGCATATGGAATGCAAGTTTTTAAATATGGTATTATAGAAGTAGAAACCTGTGCAGATGTGAATAAAAGTAAGCCTTCACCAACCCTTGCAGATTTACCTTGTGGTTGTAGGGTTTATTGGAGAAAAGTTCGGGACTCATATAGTATGGAGTTCCAATCAAAGTGGTGGCCATGTCACTAGATGAATCCAACACTCTACAAAAGCCTCAGAGTTTAACTTTCGCATATTTGTTTAAAATGAATCAAGTTCTTTCTTGGCACTTCAATATAAGTGTAATTGGGTTATGTTACAAAAATAAAATCTGCATTTCAATCTTATCCACTTTAGAGTTTTGTAAGTCCTTGTTGTTTAGTGATATATAACTGACACTAAAAAGAAAATGACTCTCCTGGAGAGAAAACTTCAAATTTTTCTGCTTGACATGAGGATACATGTATGATCTAATGTTGCTACAAATTCTCACCTAGCAATTCCCAAGTCTCCTACTTTGATTATTTTGCTCTTCGTTAGGAAAATATTTTGGGTTTTCAGATCTCTGTGAAGAATATTTCTTTCATGCATGTACTGAAAAATAAAATGTTTCTTTAAGTTTGTAATCAACAAGAATATGGTATTTTAACAAAAATTAACTTTTCACCATAACAATTATTATGTATTCATGCAATGAATGCAATATACAGTGAAATTAAAGTTACAGTTACAGTTAAAATACAGTTAAATCTCTAACTCGATGGGACCAAGAAAAAACTTCAAAATATTTGAGAGTTTAATATATTGAGGGTAAAATAATTAAAGTAAAAGAACTTCAGACTTCCAAATCACTTTGACATATTTCCATTATGATAGAGTTCGAAATACCAAAGTTTAGCTGTATAAACATGATAAACTGATCTATATCTATCTGCATAGATTAGTGAAATTTATCCATTTATCAGATTAAATGGAACTGTGAATAACTAAATCTATATTCAACAAATAAAATATGACAAAGGCTTTCAAGTACATTGTACATCATTGAACCAAGCATTCACATCATTTGCATACAACCATTTATCTTTTTCCATATCTCCAAAGGTTTTGCAACCTCATCACTCATAATCCATTCATGATAGTCCTTTATTCAACAACATGCAACAACAAAATTGAGAAATTTACATTAGGCCTAGAATAAATTTGTTTCCAAACAACCCTAATTTATAGTGCCACCCTAATTTATTTTAAATTCTTTTTTCAATGAATATCTTATTTTCATTTTCTGCCCCAAAATATATATATATTATATATGTGAAATAAGCATTTCATATATAACAAATTAGATACCTGCAGTGCCATAGCAATCTGCACAAACCATTCCACCACCTGTCTCTCCTCTAGAGGAACACCCTTCTGTTCCTTGAGTTTTGTGTACAAATCCCCGCCCTCACAGAACTGCATAGCTATGTGAAGGAAACCATCCTTTCCTTGAAAAGAATCTTTATACGTCACAATATTAGGATGCTTAAGTTTTGATAGAAGTTTAGCTTCTTGTTCTGCAGAATGTTGCTCTCTTTTGGAGGCTTTCTTTAAGTTTATTCGTTTCAAGACATACTGTGAAAAAAAAAATATTATGTTAAATAATTATAAATTTAATATGGTAAAGACATGGTAGTCATAAAATGTAAAACAGCAGATACCTTTGATGTTAATTCTCATGATTCTAGTCTATGTCTTACAAAAAGATGCAAAAAATTAAAGACATGATCAAAATCGAAAGAATGAATTCTCTTGAATGCAATCCATTTCTGAATCTCTTCTTAAAATATTTAATATGTTTAATGTAAGAAAACTGTTGATAACATTTATTAATAAGACTATCTTGAGTTAACCTTATGAACCATCAGCTCCTATGGGGCACATCCAAAATAGAAGGGAAATAAAATATACACTCCTTTTATGTTTAAAAAAATTAGGTTGCCATTGCCTTGATCTTAACCATGTATACTTACATATTGATCCTTATGAGCTACACCTTGTTCAAATGGTTTGGTCTGAGTTACGTAGCACTCTTAGTTTTAAGAAAACTTTGTGACATGTTTGAACTTCAGACCTTTCTCTTCAAAAAAGTTACAGCCCGAAAATATAATGGTACAGTGGGCAGATAAACAGACATCCCCCAAAAAACTTTCATTGGCAGTGGAATGTAAATATGAATACTAGTTAGTTAAACATGTTATTAATAAATGATTGACTTTTTTTCAACAAATGTTTATGATAGTTTTCTCATTATTAGCACGATTGATTAAAAAATACATCAAGGTCTTGCAGAATAAAAACAAACAAGTGGAAAAGACATATAAGAAATTTCAAACTAAATTTACAAAATGACCTATGAAATTTTCAGATGGTACTAAAACTCAATCCAGTTGAGCAAGATTGCAGAAAAGCAACCAGGCAAATCTCGTTATATGGTACAGCCAAAATATCTCTACCATAATACAATTTAAGTAACCACACATTTTCTTGTAAACACTCAAATAAATAATAAATATTTTAAAATGCAATTGTCCCACAATAGGATAAACATTATCGCAAAGAACTTTTTTTGTGATTTTTCTCTTTCCATCTGATTATAATTGCAGGGAATTTGTCTGTCAAAATTCATGTAAATATATATTGGTATGGATCGAGGCAATGTATTTTGCTTTGCTATCTTCCTTACAATCTGTATGTTATAAATAAGTCACATGTTCATGTAGTTGCAAAGTACACACATGTAGCCGACTACACATTTTCATTAGATTTAGTAATTGTTCTGTTCTTAACCATCTGGTCAAGTGCAGACAGAAAATGGACAAACACTGGTCAGCTACATTTGCTTCCATGGGCTACACTTATTAAAAAAGATATAAACTTATGCACAAGAATACCTGTTTTCTATCCTTCTTATGTCTTTGAAGTGTCACTTCTCCATAACTCCCTTTTCCAATATGTTTTATAAACTCAAATTGGTCCAATCCTGACATTTTTTTTCTATTTTATCACACATACAGTTCTATCTTTTCTTATTTCTTCGCTCAGTCAAATGATTCATTTTAACTTTGCCACTGATAATAAAGTTAACATATCCATTTTACAAATTTTTACAAACAACATTGAAATTTATTGAAACTGCACAAAATATACACTCCATACTATTTAAAGAGTTTGTAACAAAACAGTTGATTTGTAAAATAATCGTAAAACTGGTCGGAGTGGTATATTTGACTGACAGAGTGTCGATAAAAGGAGATGAGATACCGCGATGATGATAAATTACTTTCGCATATAATCAACGTATAGAGATCTATGTCTTTTCTGAGACACACTGATTCCAAAATCTCACATCATTGTAGTTTTTTTTGCCATGTATACATGACAATTACATCAAGTCCTCATGAGTTACAGATATATACAAACAACGTAGTGCTGTGCATTATTGAAAGCTTTCTTCACGACTGCAATTCAGGAAGTTACAAATCGTGGAATTGTGGGATTTGTTGTTTGACTTTCTTTACCTTTAACGTTGAAGAGTTGTCAACATAGACAGACGACACTCGATACTTCGTGACAACAAAACTTCTGTAAAACATTGATTATTTCAAGCAATTGATAACCCGTTTGGTTAGAAGATATAGTTTAAATTAGGAAATCTATCTTTTGATAAGTATATATTATAAGATCACCTATACAGGATACTTTTTCTCAGATTGGATAGTTTGAGGTCAAATATGGGGGGGGGGGGGGGGGGTAGGTCCGTAGAGACAAATATCATTTTTAATTTTTAATAGTTAAGAAAAAATATTTTTATGTAAGACCTAGTATAAAACTAATTGAAATGCTTATAATAATTCGATTCGACTCGGAAAATTATGCTTAAACAAAATCGGGAAATTTGTGTTTGAATGTTTTAGAAAGACGGAAAATTTTACTCTCAAGCAAGATTAATAATTCTCCTATATTGAGATCTTTTCTTTCTTTTTTTTTTTATTTTGTTGCTTTGAAGAAGATGGGCGAACAAGGCGAGCGCAATGCCTATAGTGCAACAAACATGAAGGTGAGAAATTATAAATCTCAAATAAAACAAAAATTTCTTTGATATTTCATCTAAAATTAAAGTATACTACTAACTTTATGTAAAATTTCCACAAGTTGCAAAAATCTCACTGAGAATGAAATTATTTGCCTATGAAATAGCATACACATACTAGAGAGGGCGAAACGGATCATTTTCTCATACCATAACCACAGGAGTCGGTAGTTTTATCAATATAAACGAGAAATAAAGTCAAAAATAAGTAAAAACCTAGCCATGAGCTTCGCTCACGAAAGCACTTCGTGAGCGAAGCTCATGGCTAGGTTTTTACTTATTTTGACTTTATTTCTCGTTTATTGATAAAACTGCCGACTCTTGTGCTATAACACAATTTTTTCAATATGAGTGGGTCTTCGCTCCATATATTTCAAAGTTTATCCTCAAAATTTGCGAAAAAATATACATTTTTTGGACAACAAAAACATGGAGCAAAGACCCACAATACATTAAGTTTAAAATACCTTTTATGACACAACATTCGCATCTTTTCGAAAATACTTGAAGTCCACATAGTCAAGGGTCATATCACAAACATGATTTAAATGCCGCAATTCACCAAGAGATGCGTATTATAGTGGTTAGCGTGTTAGTCTCGGAGGAAAATGATACTCGGGATTTTTATTACTAAGGGTTCGAACCCCACGAATACCACTTAATTTTTTTTAATTACAAAATAATTTTTGCAGAGAAAATTTTTCTCAGAAATGTAATTTCATAGATTTTAAAATACCTGAAGCTATAGGCATTCTGCGCGCCTTGTTCACCCATCTCCTTTAAAAAAAGCTTTTTTACCAAAATTAATTAATATTTCATTAATATAGCCTCTACTTATCTGTCTAGCACCTATTGATCAATGTTTATATAAATTGTTTTCCCTTTGTGGTATTATATGTAACTTATATGCCAATAAAGATACTACTGCTACTATTTGGTGATTGTTTCCAGAAAAAAAAATAACTTGAAAAATTAAAAAAAAAATGGGGGTGGGGGGGATTATTGGTACTATTTCGTGGGATGGGTTAACATGAAAATTTCTTTTCAACGCTAGGATATAGGATCACAGGCCTCTGAATTTCTATCAATATGCCGTTATATGATTGATCAGAGTGATATATATATATATCCCCTCTATGTATATTGAATGATTTATATTTAAAAATTTAAGGTCACGAAAGTGGGGAAGGTGGGTTCTAAATCGGCCCTATCCCCTCTTTATATAGAGTGGGTATATATATATCACTCTGATCAATCATATAACGGCTTATTGATAGAAATTCAGAGGCCTGTGATAGGATACAAAAAGTAAGGAAACTTAATTGATTTGTGATTTGAACATATTTTATTGCAATAAATATATACAATGGGATTGGGCACAAGTTCTAAAAACTTAATTCGCCCTCTCCCTACATGTTATATCACAAAAATTCAATCAGATGTGTCCAACAGCATGTACAAAGTAAATTAACTCACAACATAGAAACATATACTGCTAAATTATTATCTATACACATTTTTAGAAAAATCAATTAAATCTGCCTGAATGCTGAATATAAGATTGAACAATAGAGAAGAGATATTCATTTTCAGCAATACTGAGTGAGGTATCCCCCCAGAGTAAAGTATGAGTGTCAACAATATGAACTTTATTAAATCTCAAAAACTTATCGAAGAAATCTTTCCTGGCCTCAGTGTAATTAGGACATGAGAAAAAATAATGATGTGTGTCTTCTACCTTACCACAAGAGCATAATGGACTAGATATTATGTTACACCTATAAAGATCAATGTTTAGCACACAATTGTGTCGGAGTCTAGTGTGTAGTATATTGTAGCGTCTTTTTCCAAAACTGAAATAAGGCGGGGCTATTGTTATTTTTTGTGTGATTTTACTTTTAAAAGCAGATAAGGAGCTCGAGAGTCTGGTGTCTAGCGATAAAGAATTCCACTCGTTTACTACAGTTGGTACAAATGATGATTTGTATGTTTGCAGTCTACAGACGGGTATATTATAATTTTGAGAGTTTCTTGTTGTATACGCGGAAGCATTACATCGCATTTCAGGTATAATTTCACGTAGATAATCAGGAACTAAATTATTATGAATTTTATACATGGTATTCAATCTCTGAATCTTGCGTCTATCAATGAGCGGTTCCCAGCCTGTTTCAAAGTACAAAGAGTCTCTAGATGCAATTAAGGTCAAGCCAGTAACAATCCGTGCTGCGTGTAGTTGCAATTTCTCTAATTTTTCAGAGTCGATAGCTATAGACAACCACCCCATACAACTGAAGCGTATTCGAGCTGAGGGCGGATAAATGAAGTATACATGAGTGAAAGAGTCTTTCGATTTATTTTAAATTTAAGTTTTTTTAATAGACCAATTTTTTTGTATGCATTAGACAGTAAGATTTCAATGTGAGTTGACCAACTTAAGTTATATGAAAAAGTTACCCCTAAATGTTTATGAGTTTGAACATATTCTAATTGGCTATCTTGGAATAGGAGTTTGGGAGGTTCTATGTTTTTTCTTGTGCTAAAAAATACAACCTTAGTTTTGGATGGATTAAATTTTAGTAACCATTTGTTTGACCACTCTTCAAGAGATAAAAGATCATTATTCAGATTACTTTCTATAGATTTAACACATTTAGATGCGTACTGCAAACTGTTATCATCAGCGAATAATCTACAAAAGCTTGACATCTTGTCAGATACATCATTTACATAAATTAAAAATAATAATGGACCTAATACAGATCCTTGTGGAACGCCGGCATATAAGGAAGCCGAAGGGGATACCAAATTTTTGTAAATAACTCTTTGTGTTCTATTTTCTAAATAACTTTTTAACCAAAAGTACATATTACTCTCTATGCCATACATGTTTAGCTTAAACAAGAGCCCTTTGTGCCAGACATGGTCAAAGGCCTTAGATAAGTCACAAAAAATCATACAACTGGATTTACCATCATCAATATTTCTAACAATATTATCGTATGTTTCTAACAATTGATAAACCGTAGAATGACCAGGCAAGAAACCAGCCTGGTATTTGTAAAAAATATTATTACAATGAAAGTAGTTATACAAGTGTTTAAATACAATACGTTCCATGACTTTACCAACACAACTTAACAATGAAATAGGTCTATAGTTTGAAAAAACAGCTGGATCGTCTTTTTTAAAGAGAGGAATAACATTAGCTAATTTCCATTTTTGAGGAAAAACACAGTCTTTCAATGAGCGATTAAACAGTAAACATAGAGGTTTGACAACAGTAAGTTTTGTTGATTTTAACATTTTATGACTAATACAGTCTTCTCCAATGGCTTTGTTAACAGGTAATATAGATAAAATATCAAACACTTCTTGTTCACAAATAGAAATATTGTCAAAAACACTATCACACTTAGTAATTTCTTTAGGTAAATCATACTTATCATCATCAACACGGGTAACTGAAGCAAAATAATTGTTAAGTACTGTTATCTTATCTACATCAGAAAAAGCAAAATTGACATCACCAGATGCAGATGTGTATTGTAAAGGAGGAATATCTGTAGTTGATTTAGTTTTAAAAGTATCTTTAAGAAGTTTCCAATAAAGTTTAGGATTGTTTTTACTGGAATCAACGAGTTGTAACTCGAGAGTATTTTGATAATTTTCAATAGCATGTTTTTTCATGTTGTTAAACTTGTTTCTGATACGCTTAAAATTATCCCAATCGAGCTGTTTATTACTTTTTTGTGCTTTTCGTCTTAATCTATTTTTTTCTCGATGGGTTTTCCTTAATAATGAGTCAAACCAAGGTTTGTCTTTAGGTCTTATAATAACTGATTTTTCAGGTACACATTCCCTTACGAGATCTATATATTTGGTTGTAAACTTTTCGGTAGCTTCGTCAATTGATTCAGCATTACAGATAAGATTTTTCCAGTCAGTAGTTTCGATTAAAGTATTAAGTTTTTCCATATTAGCATTTTTATAATCCCATATTTTCCTTACATAAGATTGACTTTTAATGATACTTGATTTTAAGAAGACGTATGTCGCTTTGTGATCGGTTAGTGTATTGTCTGTGTCTATCACGCCTGAGTGGAGTGCTACAAGGTCTGGGCTGATCAAAACTGGGTCAATAAGTGTGTTCGAAGTGTTGGTAATTCGTGTTGCTTCGTGGATTGTGTTTGTCAGGTTATGATTCAGCATGATATCTTTAATAGGAAGTATCCGAGAATTGTCCAGAAAATCAACATTTAAATCTCCTACAATTATAAATTTGCTGGAAATATCCGATACTTTTTCAATTGACCACAAAAATTTGTCCCAGAAGGATTTTTCGCTGTTGGGTGGACGATATACGCAGCAAAGAAAAAGGTTACAGGTAGGTTCACTTATTTCTATCCAAACACATTCAATTGATATGGGTTCAAGGTCACTACGACGAATTGCACGGAGACATGAAGAAACATAGATAATAATGCCTCCCCCATTAGAGTTCCTATCTCTACGAAAAATTGTATCATAACCTTCAATCACGATATCGTTGTTACATACATTTGAGTCCAAATGTGTTTCAGTGAAACATAAAATATCGAAATCCGTGATTAATGTTGTTATCTTTTCAATCTTGTGACGTATACTTCTTATATTTAAATGAAAGACGTCCAGTGTGTGTATTTGATCGTTTTTAGGACCTGGATTTATTTCAATGTCTCCTGACAAAAGATGTAAGAAAAAAAGAATTTGAAACCAAAATTGTAGATGTAAAATGTTTTGTTGAAAAATACTGCATATTTGTAGTTGTTTAAAGCTTTTTTTGCTAAGATTTGTTAGATACAGATATAGATTTTTGACATTTAAGAGAGGGAAAAATACTGTTTTGGTTGTACATCTATTGCAGTAATATTTACCAATAGCGGCTCGATATTGCTCGATAGTATTACCTATCATTGGTTAAATAGAGGAATTTGATTTTCTTAAAAAACAAGTTGCTGCGCCGCAAGTAATATTTTGTGAGAGCAAAATCATAAGTTGGTTGGAATAGACATACAAAACTGTGAACACATGGAAATGAAAAAAAAGCAAACAACAAAAATAAAAAATGTGAAGAAAAAGACAAAAAATAAAGTATATACCAGAATGGTAACACTTGTGAATCAGTCATAATTGGCATATGTACAAAGGGACGACTGATCACCATGAAATAACCTGTTGACATAATTTAAGGAGAGCAAGTGGGTGAATAGTGCTGTATTTACGTAATAATACATGAACATATATAGGGCATATAAATATATAATAAAACTTGTTTTATGCTTTGAGGAATATTAGACAGTCATGATCAGTGCTGTACAACTGCAATGTGAATTTTAGTCTACCGTACAATTTACCCGTTAATCAGATTTCCAAGTTCCTCCAGTGAGGTGACTTCAAATCGGTCTCCATATTGTTCAAACTTAAGGAAGATTCTCCCATCATAAGTCCAGAAACTGTGGATGATTTTTGCGTTTTTTGCTTGTATAATTTTAGATACAATGGATTGTCTATACTTGGTCAAATCTTCTGTCACAAAAATTTTATTGGCATTGTTTTTCAATTGTTTTTTAGCGCTGTAAACTTTGTTTTTGACCTTCCAATTTTTAAATCTACAAATGATCTGAATTTTATTTTGTTTTGGACGACCAATGGGGTGAGATCTGTCTATGTCATCAGGAGTGATGGTAACACCCATTAACTTAATTAGAGAATGACTCACCAGTTGCAGTGGCCTATTTAGAACCCCCTTCCCCCTTTCGTGACCTTAAATTTTGTTAAAAATAAATCATTCAGTTTTTGTTGTTAGCGTTTGCATTTTTTTTAAATACAAAAATTATATATATAATATAACCAGGATAAGTCGCAAAACTGTTCTTATAAAAGACCTACAACCCGTGAGCTCCCGGGGCTTTGCCCCCCGGGCCCCCACCAGGACTTTGCCCTGGACCCACTGGGGACCTAAGGACGGCCCTCGGACTCGTTTGAACGTTTAATTGCACGTTACAAAACACACTGTTGATTTCTCTTACCTCCGTTGCTTAATTCTATATTGAGTGTTAAATAGTCTGAGTGCGTTGTCCTCTATCTAATTAGTATTACATGTCTGTCAGAAATTAATTATCGCTAGCTGATGTAACAGAAACGCAATCTTCGCAAGGATTTTTCTTACAGTATCCATATATATGACGTCATGAGAAAACTGACAATGCGATAATCATAGTTGAATAACTGTGATAATAAAGTGGGAGTGTACTGCATGTTAAAAACGCCTGTTCATGGGACAGTACATGTCATATAAAAACCATTGTTTCATTGTATTTAAATTAAAAGCTTGCAAGCAATGCTGGTGGCAAATTGAAGATGTTGTTAATTTTTGTTATATATGTGTGTGATTTTTCCGATAAGTCTGAAATCCACTCTATGTCAGGAAGATATTAAGCTACTGCTCACACGGAGGCAAATATCGATCTCCTTCGCCTTCGTGTCATCTACGAGTAAAGAGAACGGACGATCAGCACTCTACAGGAGAAAGGGGAGTATCCCCCCTGAGTCGGGACTATTAAGGTATGGAAGATCAACTTTCTGTACATCTGTGTTACTTTTTCCCTGAGTTTCTATTTATCTAATGTAGATTCGTATGAAAACGTTCTGAGTTATTCCATTTTCTTGCATCGTTTATCATTCTAATAGCCTATTGTTTACAAATTTCCATGCATGCAAAAATGCTTTGCTTTACATATCTATCGATTTTTTTAGAATCATATACGACATATAAGGCCTAGATAATGTCACCCTTTCATAGTTGAATGATCAACATTATAGTGCAGTTAATATATCCTGCTCTTATAAGCGAATTTTGCTGACAATAACTTAATTGAATAAGTACATTTTTATTTGAATGTTTAATTTTGAATTTTATTATGCTTAGTTTAAAATTGCCTGTACTTCACATTGACCATAGGATCAGAAGATAGTCCAAAGCGATGCAACAGAATTCATATATTTTTTTATCAATCCTTTTTCCCCTGTTCTTAAGGATACTTAACACAAACAAAAATTTTATGCATGGATTGATATATATTTTTTGACTGATTTTGATTAGAAATGACATAAATAATAAATCCCTAAAATATAAAGAAAATCAAATCATAAGTTTTCTTTGGTGCTTAGAAATGTGACTTTGTGTTGCTTTCTATATAATTCCATACAAAATTTTGCACAACTTTTTGACCTTATGACAAAATCATAAAATTCTTCCACTATACCTTACCTGGTAAAGATCATTCGGGTTACCAATTTAAAAGTAAATTTATGAGAAATATTTGCTGATTTCTGAAAAAAGTTTGTGATATTTATTCTTATGAGTCGCATTTCTTTCCTGATAAACATAATTCAAGCTATTATTTTTTATTCAAATGCATGACCATCGGCAAAACTGTTATTGAAACGTATTAGATGAAGTAAAATAATAATACACGTTCATACGTTCAGTGACTCACCGAGGATAGAAGAATATTTGTATTGGAGACAATAAGATGTGTGATATACAAATCTACATGTATTTACGATGTATGGCATGCGTACATAGATCTAAATCTTATAGTAATTATTTATTCTATACTGCATAAAAGCTTGATACTTTTCTTAAGTGTTTCCGTGTGCACTTCCGAATTTTTAAGCAGTTCTTTAAATTACGTAGAATACTACTACTTGTGTAAGTGGAGTTGAATTTTACACAGAAAACCAAAGACCCTTTCTTAACAAATTATCGAAAAAAATGAAAGATGTATTCAATATAAATATAAATATATATATATATATATATAATGGAAAAAAATTCAACGTTTAAAAATTTCAGACCAAGGAAAATCTCAAGATTGGTGAGATGTGACTTTGTTTAATGAAGATATTGTGATGGAAAACCATTTCCCCAGAGATCGTCACCAGTCTGTGGGGAAACGTTACCAGAGTCTGACAAATGACAGTAGTAGGTAAGACGCAATCTTGAGGGCGAGGTAGGGTTAGGCAATTGTAATAATTTTTTGTCTGCATCATTTTTGTCTGATCCCACGTGGTATGATATTGGAAACTTAAGAAATTATATATATTTGCAATTTGATAACGGCCTAACTTGCAGTTGCAATTACTTGAGTATGTATGTGTCTGAATCCATCAGCTATTTTGGTAAACTAATCCTCCAACACCCCTCCCCCATTTATAAACAGAGTTAATACATTTAAAAAAAACATTTTTGTAGTACAGCTATTGTTTTTCTCTTTGAGTTCATTTATTTTCTCAAAGCATATATTAAATCTCTATATACCTAGTACACGAGGACAATGTAAAATATTACGCATTAAGTACCGGTAGTACATAATTCAGGTCTGGGGTACAAGTACATGAAATCCTAATGCAGAAAACATAACAAGAGGACTATGAAATTCCATATTCGACAGCCAACTGCTGAATACCACTGCCGACTGCTCACTGTCACTGCTTATAGATGAAGATCCCGGGTATCATCAGCGGAAGTCAGTCGATTACTTTTTTTTTTTAAATAAAGAAGTACAACAACAACAAATGTGTTTATGAAACACTGATGCCCCCGTACTTATAGCAAAGGTTGAACTTTCTCAAATGCAAATCAAATATGTTGGTACCCAAAATAAGGTCTTGTCTCGAGGAATATTCTTGTGAAATATGAAAGCCCTAGCAGCAACCATTGAAAAGATATGGAAAAGGTCAAAATTAATGATGCCAACGGAATTGCCTTCTCACAAGAAATGCACATGTGAAATATGAAAGCGGTAGCACCAATCTTTTAAAAGTTATGGCCAAGATTAAAGTTTTTCAAAAGTAGGTCAAACTCCAAGGTCAATGGATTACAATTGTTGGCATCCAAAGGAAGGTCTTGTCACAAGGAATAGACATGTTAAATATGAAAACCCTAGCACTAACTGTTCAAAAGTTATGTCCAAGGTTAAAATTTTCCAAAAGTAGGTCAAACTCCAAGGTCAATGGATTACAATTGTTGGCATCCAAAGGAAGGTCTTGTCACAAGGAATAGACATGTTAAATATGAAAACCCTAGCACTAACTGTTCAAAAGTTATGTCCAAGGTTAAAATTTTCCAAAAGTAGGTCAAACTCCAAGGTCAAGGTAAATGGGTCAAATTCGATAGTATCCAAAGGAAGGTCTTATCACAAGGATGACATATGTGAAGTATGAAAGCCCTGGCACTAACCGTTCAAAAGATAAGGGCAATGTTAAAGTTTTTCAAAAGTAGGTCAAAATCCTAGGTCAAGGGTCAAAAGGTCAAAGTTGTTGGTATCCAACGAAAGGTCTTGTCACAAGTATTGCACATACGAAGTATGAAAGCCCCAGCACCAGTCGTTCAAAAGTTATGACTAAGGTTAACGTTCAGTAAAATTTTGCAAAACTGAGTCAAACTCCAAGGTCAAGGTCAAAAGGTCAAATTTGATGGTACCCAAAGAAAGGTCTTGTCACAAGGAATACACGTGTGAAATATGAAAGCCACAGCTTCAGCCAATCAAAAGTTATGGGCAATGTTAAAGTTTTTGTGGACAAACAGACAGACGGACGGACAGGGCAAAAACTGTATACCCCCGAATCTTCGATACGGGGCATAAAAATACCAAGGATAAAACATCGTGATAAATTTAATTTTAGCAAATTATTTTTCAGATATTGTATCATAAATCAAAAGGCAATTTATTGAAAAGTACATACACTTTGGAATTTTTATAAGTGTGTTTTTAAAATTTTAAATCAATATTTAATAGTTAATGTTAATATTAATGTTATGTAACCCAACCTCTTTTTATAAATGACCTTCCCTGTACTTTGACGATTTTCTTTTCCTCACATTTTATTCTATCACAACATTAGCGTGTACCCCCGCCCCCTTTTTCCCCGTCCAAAATAGGTTTTGGGGTAACTGTTACATCTGTAAATTGTGATCTTCCTTCTTTTTCACTATACAAACATTCCTGGATCCGCCCCTTTCATATTTTTTTTATGTTGTTACAATATAGGCATCGATAAGCAGTGGCAGTTAGCAGTTGGCTGTCGTATATATATGGAATTCGATAGAGGACAGATTTATCCATATATCTTAAAATATAATATTCTAATAAACATGCTAAGTTTTTTTCCCAAAGACTATTTTTGGGGCCATAAGATCAAAAACAACAAATGTACATTTGGTCTAAGAAGATGCATGGTGTTCGTTAACATACATATACTTCTTCCAAATGTGACAGTGCAATGCATTATACATTTTAGAGTATATAATGAATTCATTGGTTATTTGCCTCGTTTTACATTTCAATCATTTGTTTGTACATGTCCTCCTTCCCACCACAATTGGTAGACGGTGATTTGAGGTACGGGGTTTTACCAATATTTTTCTAAATTGAAGATATTTTTGAGGAGTGGATCGATCAATCGACACCACAGACACTTGTTTTTGTAATATTTTTTTCAACCTATAGTGAAACATGTAGTTTAATTTTTATATCTTGGGTTTAAAAATTATTACAGAAACAAGTGTCTGTGATCGACACGCCCTCCGTCGGTGGAAATGCTGATCGATCCATTGGATAAAAAAGTTTCATGCGTACAAAGTAGTTTCATGACTCTAGATGTCTCTCTCTCTCTCTCTCTCTCTCTCTCTCTCTCTCTCTCTCTTTGACAAATGCTATTGTTCGTGTCGTTGGTCATTTTATTGCTTTATATTTTCCATCCTTGATCTTTTATCTATTTAGTAGATCCGACATTTAGGATATACAGTGTTGGTTTTTAGTGCTCTCTCTCTCTCTCCCCAAAACAAAAATAAATGAATGAGTAAATAAACGAGAAAATAAAATAACAATGAAAAATAGGCGGGGGATATCTCATGAATTTTATATATATATATATATATATATATATATATATATATATATATATATATATATATATATATATATATATATATATATATATATATATATATATATATATATCTTTGTTAGTACGTACGTATTTCGGGGGGGGGGGGGCAACAAGTAAAAACTTTACCTCCTTCGATACTTTTTTCATTAATTTACCATGTTTACTTAGCATCTTTTAAAATGTAAGTTTGACTTTCAGTATTTTGTATTAAAGTCCAATGCAGCTGTAAAAGTATTTACAATTTCATAATATGATTATTAAATTTTTGTCAATATATTTGTTACGATTGGGGAATTTTAAACGTTTCCTTTCATTTTTTTCCCTGCTACAAGATCACTGGACATCTGTTAAAAAAATGCATATTTCTGAAAAAGTACGTTCAAATTTCTTCTTTGTTGTTTTTATATCAAATGTATTAACAAATGATTAACATTTTTATAAAATGAAGAGTTATTGCCCACAAGTTAGGGTTATTAACCTTAAATGTTCTTCGGAACACTTCTGTACTCATTATACATTGTTCATCAGACGAAACTCATTCTTCATTGGTAAACAGCATGGCAGATTATTTAATAACCGGAGGCACGGGGTACGTCCCAGACGACGGACTAACGGGTGCCCAGTTATTTGCCAATGGGGACGGACTCACATACAAGTAAGTTTGATAGTTTTCTTAAGGACACATCATTCAGTTTTGCACAAGATTCCCCTCTCAAGCACGTGTATACACGCAATACGTAGTCATATACAATAGACAGCGTTCAGGGGTATTAGGTATATTAAATGACTCAGATATGGGAAGGGATAGGTGGATACATTAAAAAGTTGCACAGGTACTTGGGTCATCCACTTGGTTTATAAATTAAATGTATATATACCTATTGATATGAGAAAAGAGTGCTCCTTAGAGGAACTACTTACTCTTTTTTTTATAAACCAAGTCCCTAGTTAAATAATACCTGGGAAAAGTTGTGTTTGTCATGGGCACTCCCCAGCTTAATTGTTAAAAAATATATATCTACTATACTATAAACATAGTATAGTAGATATATATTTTTTAACAATTAAGCTGGGGAGTGCCTATGGTGTTTGTAAGATAATATGAAGGGAAAGTATTGATAAGAAACTTATTCTAGAATTATAGAACTTGAATAATTATATTTATTGGAATTGATGTTTATATTTAACCTGATCCAGAGGTTCATACATGTCATATCTAGTGAATCCTCAGGGATAGAAATGGGGGGTGGGGTGGGGGGGGGGGGGGGGTTGGGGTGAATGGCCTTATGGGGTGTTAGGGTTAGGAGTCCAATGCATAAGGTACATAAATTAAGGAAGCTCTAAACACTGCTCACTGAAGAGTTCTAATTCTGTGCCAGGTAGTTTTATGCAGTTAGAGTGATCTTCCCTTTGATTTAAGGAATGAATTTAATAGCTACCCATTTTATACTGTATAAACTGTGTTGGGACAGTTTACCCTTTATAAACTGCGAAGCGGTTTATAAAAAAGTGTAAACTGTTCCAACCCAGTTTATACCGTATATTAAATTGGGTAGCTTTTAAATTCATTCCTTATAATTTAATTTTCATTCATTTGATGTAAGAAAAAAATGACTTCAATTTGTACAAAATTTGAATGTAACGTCAGGCGTATCGATATGTTTTTGATGCAATTCATTGTGACGTACTAGGCAACCCATTTTATACAATATAAAGTAAATTTTTTATCCAATCAACCAGAATTAGATTATGTTGAAATACAATTTCACAGTTTGATATAGATTTGATAATTTTTAACATTATATTGGACGGACCAAGATAAAGGTATTGAAAACATTATTTACATGTATTTTCCCATTGGATAAGATGGAAGCAAAGAACGTTCATTTGATTTAATTTTGTTTTCAATTTACAATTTACTTATGTAAACTTCATTGTCTTTGTACATTTTTCCTGGAGAAGTATGGCAGGTATACCCTATCTTGAAAAGAATAATAGGGTGAGTTAACCATGCATCGGACACATACCTTGCTTCGGACAACTTCAAGCAATAAACTTTCTTTAAATCTGAGTGTTCCCGTGTTTTTACTTGTTTCTGTCTTGAAGCTGAAGATTTAAACTTTTTATTGATGCCGATTTTTATTATCATGTTGCGATAAAAATATCCCGAGAATGGCCTTGAAATGACGTCATATTTTACATCACCAAAGGGGAGTAACCAGAATTTTATGATTTTGCAAATTTTAGAGTTGTTGTTCTTTAATTAGACTTCAATGGAGCGAGTCGGACTCAGGTGAAATTTGTCAATGATTGGTAATTTTACAGAACTTTTAAAAAAAATTCACTTCTATGTTTGTATAATTTTTTTTAGAGTTGTTTTTTACTAGTATGTTCATTTCACCATACATCGGACAGAAATTAACCATGCATCGGACACTTTCCGATGCATGGGTTATCACTTCCATTTTCATTCAAAACCTAACTGACATCTTTTTTTTGCGGAAATAGAAATTAAGAACTCTAAATTTTTGGTGAATATACAAGTTATGGATATATGACGTCTAGAAGTGGACTCGGTTTATTTTTACAAACCAGAGTATGATAACCCACAAGACAAAGGCGCGAGTTGACATATAAATAGCATTATAAAGCCTTTCTAATGCGATGTGATGCAACTAAAATATCTCCTCATTTGTGGATCGATGTAGTCAATCAAATTTAACTAGAAGGTTAATTTTTAAATAAAAGATAAATTTTTTTCAAGATCACTAATTTTAAAGCACTGAGATAAAGCTATGACATTTTTCTGGTTCAAATACCGTTTGTCCGATGCATGGTGAATATTGTCCGATCCATGGTGAAATCTGGCTCATTTAAAAAAAATCGGTTTTTAGTGATATTTTCTCAATAAATAGCATATATTTGTGTCAAAAATTTATATTTTAATCCCATATTACATGTTAAGCTCTGTTTTGATAATATTCGGCCGGTAGCGATATCGCTAGAACTTGTTGAGGTACGAGGGTGTCCGATGCATGGTGAATTCACCCTAACACCTTTATGTACGTGATACAATTTTCTCAGAGTCCAAACATCTTTCATTAGTGTTTCAGTAGTGTTTAGAGCTTTCTTAATTGAGATAGAAAAATTAATAGTCAGGCATGTACTAAAATTTTGAGGATCACAGTCTTTTCCCAGCAACCATCAACAAAGGGCAAGGGTGGTAGAGTGATCTTTATGAATTAATTATTGCATTTTTTAATCAAACTTTGTACATTATTCGGTATGTCGTAGGAAGGGGATTATATTTTTTCATTTTTTGTGTATTCTTAATCCATATCAAGCTGTTTCAGAAATTACTTTATACATAAGTATGACCTTTTCAGTCAGTAAGGAAATTTATAAATTACAGTTCTAGTTTATAGCACCTTTTGAGGGAAACACATTGTCAATGAAGAAAGCTCTTAATTTCCTTACATCTGTTAACATGGCTTACACTGCATTTATATAGTTACTATGGTTACCAGCATAGAATTAATATACCAGATTTTTTATCCCACCTTAGACATATATTTGACGTCAAAAGCTATAACTATGTATCATGTGACTATAGATATTCAATTGTATATATACTGGGTATATTAATTGTTTTGCATCAGGTTCTTAAATTTTAAAATCATGCAGGCATTTAATTTCTAATTGCCAATGTAGAGGACACTGATTCATTAAAGACTACCATGCAGTACGTGTTACATATTCCTATTGCATTTTTTCCTTAGAGTTTAATTTTATAAAGGTTTTCAGTTCAGTATATCAGCTAGATAGCAGTTGTATAGGGTCCTGGGATGTTGATGTGGATTCATAATCTTTTGTCAACAGCTTAATAAGAGCTATTCTGCTGCTTATTTTCCCTATGAAAAGGTTTTTGCTTGAGATCAATGAGATGAATTTGTTACATTGTTATAGCTGGTGAGATGATGCAGAAAACTCCTTGGTGAGAGAAGACAACCTTGAGTTGGCCTTGCCCTGTACAGATTCTTTTTCACAATATTTTTCTGTGTCTATTTATTTCACTATTTATTGTGTAACTAATATTATTTGTATTGGATCTAAAATAATTTTTTCATGCTTACCATGATTAACAGCAGGAGTGAGTAAACATGGTATTCTATATATTTTCTATCCCTACAAGTAAGAACCTCGAGTAACGCCCCTACGCTCCTTATATATTATGCTGCACCAAGTCAAAAGTATCCAATAAATCTAATTGTGAATTTGGAAAGGTAACACATGACACTAAGATTGGGAAATTTTGCAGCATTTTTTCTGGGGAAACTGAAGCTGAATACATGTATGTACATGCATACATTAATTGCTTCATGTATTTCACTTGTAAAATGATAATTAGCTGAAAATAATTAATTAATAGTGTACCAGTATTTCCCTTCTTTATTATATATATCTTCTCATCAAATAATGTAATGATTCAATTCAAACTAATTTTCCTAGGGTAAAAATTCTGTGCTTGAGAAATATGAATGTCATGATGATACATGTACATGTAATTTAAAATATAATTAAGCAATTAAATCAGGTAATTTATGCATGTAATATGTATATAAACCTTACTCATTTTATTTTCTGTTTACTAAACCTTGTCTTTTTTTGCAGTGATTTTCTCATATTGCCAGGGTTTATTGACTTCCCGGCAGATGAAGTGGTAAGGAATCTATTGTAGGAAGGTGCTTTAAGATTTGGTTAATTGTAACGACATTTAAAAAGTGCACTGAAACATGTTAAATGTATTGAAGCAGAGCAATGAAGAAATGTAGTATTTTAATGAAATGCTTTGATTCATATTTAGAGTGAGGTTAAACTATGTGGATGGAGTGATTATAGACTTAATGGGTTCTTTCAAAATGTTAAGAATGCATGGATTTAAGTTCAGATTCACCAAATAATGCAAACTAATCTGTTCATCAGACAAAGTGATTAAAATCAAAAACTTATTTCTTGTTTAAATTCTGACAGTTTGTCAATTTCAGAGTTAAAAATTTCTGACAGTTGCTATGTGAAAGAGAGCAACAGTATTTAAAAAGAAGCCCTGGCATTTACTTTGTTTTAGGATCTCACCTCAGCGCTGACCAGAAAAATCACCCTCAAGTCTCCTTTAGTCTCCTCCCCAATGGACACTGTCACAGAGTCTCAAATGGCTATTGGAATGGCAGTAAGTGTTTGATTCTCGTCAATTTCATCTACAAAGTGTATGTGAAATGTTGCATTTAGGGACAGTTTGATAGTATTGATTAAATCCATGTATGAAAATTGATTACAGAGTTATCATGGCTATAGGAAAAGATCCCAGAAATTTGTTGGCCATTGCTGACTACCCAGTGTTAGAGAACTCTGTATGTAATGACTACAATAGTTATAGTCACTGCATGGCTACCTGGGCTGAGTGCTCTTTTGTGTTTAGGTTCTGATGAGTAAGCAGGCTTACTAGAAGCTATTCTGTTTAGAGAAGTGGACAGGCTTTCACTTACCTCCATATTAGTGAAAGCCTGTCTACTTCTCTAAAGAGAATAACTAGAATCCTACTGATCTCTGGCTTGTGCAGGAATGGATATATCAAACTGTTTAGATTTAAGATACTGATGTAGACATGGTGATCAAGCTAGTGCCTCAGTATCATAATCAGCTGAACATACATGTATACACATGTATTAACAGGATTTTTAAACTTTTTTGATTGTGAATAAAAAACAGAACACCATAATGATTAAAGTTGTCCCTATATATCACTATGTGATACCATATACCATGAGTTGCAATATTTAAAGCTAGGAAAAGGTAAATTTGATTTGGATTTGTCAGTAAGTTCAGAAAACAAAATAATATGTGTCATTAGCTCCCTGTGTTTAATAAACAAGTTAACTAGGATAAACATGACAAGGCAAAAATCAATATACAGTCACAAAAGGTTGTGCATCCATCTATGTTTTCAAACATGCTTTGTCAATTGATTGTGCTTAGTTTTAGGAGACTTTCTAGCAAAACTGGCTTGCTTTTTATTAGATTTTCCCATACTAATCCCTTGGATAAAGCATAGTATTATCAGACCACTCAATTTTATAAGAAATATAGCCAGGCTTAGTGGTTCCCAGGTAATGAGTTTTATATTGATCTATAAATCAACCGACTTCTTCTTGATGGAAATTTTCGATCAGTATGTTTAAGAGGCAGAAAGCAGACTTTAATATCAATTAGCATGTCAGCAGGTTGGCAGTGTCTTAATTTGCTATCAATCTAATCTGAGATTTGATTAATTTTTTGGAAGCTGGCTTGCTACTCACTGAACACAATGTGACAATTGTACATACAATAGTCATACATTGAAAAGTGTGTACATTAGCAGCTAAAAGATTGCAATCATGAAAAATAACTGAAAAAAATTGCATTTAATTATGACTCTTTCTTAACACTGAGCATTGGCAGCTTTCCATTACTCAAAAAACAGTCGTAGATCTATATTGGCTAGTAAAACAGGCATAGATCAGGAGAGATTCTTCTACTGGTTAATGGGCTCACACATACTTTTATGCCTGATATGTTGATAATTGAGATATGTAAATAAAATTGCAATCAACACTCATTGCAGCTTTGTGGAGGAGTTGGGATCATTCATCACAATTGTACTCCAGAATTCCAGGCCAATGAGGTCAGAAAGGTCAAGGTCAGTTGGTTTAATTTATTTCACAATGTAATCAGCTCTTGTACTAGCTGGTATGTCTCAGCATTATGTCACTGTATGTAGTCACACTGGATTTTGAAAACTGTTAGAGAGCCATGCATGTAGAAGAGCAATAAATCTTGATCAAATGTCTATTAAGATAAACATTTATATGCAATTATTATTAAATAGATTTTCTGTAAATACACAGGTATTAATTTATGTATATATATGTACAATATATACGCATTATGCTAATTTGCATGTAATCTACGAGATTTTCACGCAATGTTTTTTGTAGAAATATGAACAAGGGTTCATCCTTGACCCTGTTGTTATGTCTCCCACACACACAGTTAAAGATGTAGTACAGGCAAAAAAGAAATTTGGATTTTCTGGAATTCCAATCACAGACAATGGACACATGGGGGAGAAGCTGGTGGGATTGGTCACTCAGAGAGACATTGACTTCCTGACTAATGATCAGATGGACACACCCATATCTGAGGTGCTAATATGACTTATATTTAATCAAGCTTAATGATTTTCAGTGTAAGAATGCTACACATACTTCTTATTGAATTCCAATTAATTTTTAAGTATTTTAAAAGTACTAAGCCTTTTCCTAAAAAAAAAAACTAAGGTCAATAAGGCTGGTTTACATCCCTTACAGAAAAGAGGTACATAGTTAACATTTCATTTTGTAAAATTCACAAACAGGGGAATTTTGTTTCTCTTTTGAATTCTGTTTTTATTGAAGAATATTACATAATTATGCTATGCTTTCATTAGATCTGACAATGGACTGATTTTCTGTAGATTCCTCATTGATACAAAAACAGTCCTGCATTTTTCAAGACACATAGCTAAAATCTCATTATTTTAATTATCTAATTCTATCATAATTATTACTTTTACTTGTAAAGCGCAGCTATTTATAAAACTATTGATTTAATCTTTAACAAGTCCAACATATATAACTTCATTATGTTGGACTTGTTAATACAGTTGTACAGAACATATATATCATAAGTCTTAGCTGTAACAACAGTGTGTTTTTATTGATAGGTCATGACAAAAGTTGAAGACTTGGTTGTGGCACACAATGGAGTTACACTAAAGGAAGCCAATTCCATTTTACAGAAAAGCAAAAAAGGTGCAGTTAAGATAAAAATTCAATCTTTTTAATAACATAAGCACCCCTATTTTCACTTTCCCCCAGTACTACTATTCAATGCCTTCAAAATTAAGATTCTATGATTGGTAGATCACTAGTTTTCTTTGCCCTTGTTGTCATACATGTATATTCTTAAGCTATAATTACATGAACCTATAATTGTGTCATTTTGTATTGTACAGGAAAACTGCCTATTATAAATGACGAAGGAGAACTAGTGGCATTGATAGCTAGGACAGATACAAAGAAGAATAGAGAATTCCCTTTGGCCTCTAAAGATGAAAAGTACATTCATTTTTTTTTTGACACCAAGTGCTGCAATTTCACAGTCACAAAAAAATATTGATAAAATTTTGAGAAAGTGAATTAAGTTGCAATAATGAATACATTCAAAATACTGCACACAGCTTTGATTTCATGGAGGGGTATTTTCATGTTTTCTGAAGGAATTCATTATCTCTTTGGGCTCCTTGTAGTGATCATTTGGTCAATCCATCTGTCTGTATAATATTTCTTGTATGATTTTCTCTCCCTTTGGTTGAATCTGGCTCATACTTCAAACACAGAATGCCCATGGGTAGCGAGCAGTGACCTTGATCCAAAGTTTTAAGTTAAAGGTCAGAACTGGTTTCTGTTTAAAATCCTTGTGGGGAGCAAGTATTTTCTCCCCTTGTCTCAATCTTGCTCATACTTAAGTAAAGAGTGCTCTTTGGTAAAGATTAATATTGGATTTTTTTTCTAGGACACTGGTTCCAATTAAGTTTCTAGGTCAAATGTCAAATAGATTTCTGTGGAAAGTCATTGCCCAAAGAATATTTTCTCTCCCTTTGGCCTAACCTGGCTCATATCTAACCTACAGAATGCTAAATTCCTTGGTTCAAAGCTCAAAGTAGAAGCATATCTCTATAAAAATCCTTGCTTAGAGTCTACATTGTCTGCCCTTGGACCAGTTTGGCTCACAAGCTATAAGATATCTTTGGTTAAGGTTATGCAGTGTTTGAACTGCGTTAAATGTCAAGGTCAAAGCAGAGTTTTGAGAATAAATAGTTAACTACTATACTAAAAGTGCATCTCCAGTTACAGCCCTTAATTTACAAGTCCCCTTTACCCTTATATCCTTTGTATTTGCTAAAAGAGGGGCCCTTTGAGATGGTCACCATTTCAATGATATATAAATAAATTTCATTTTAATTTGGCCATTTTCTTTCAAATACATTAATTCTGAATTATACAAGCTGAATTCATCACAGTTTATATAATTTTGTGTGTTTACGCTGCAATGGAAATGTAAAAAGACTGTTGCAGTATGAATTAACATATATTGTACCACATGCAAAAACATGCTTGTAAATTAAGGTGGTAGAGATACACAAATATAGCCAAACCTTGATGTCCCAGACATGATGGGACTTTTGATGAACTTCAAGATATCAGATGGTGAAAGATAATGATCAAAACTTGAATTCATGTTTAGACCAGTAACTTACTTGAACATACTGTACAAGATGAATTATTTTTGGCATTATTAGTGAGAGTTTTGAGGTGGTTAAAATTTAAAATAGCTAACAGTTCATTCTGCATTGGAGGGAACACATATTTTTCCTTGGATTGCAAAATTGCTGAAATTACCTCTCACTTAAAAATACCTAATTTTAAGGACAAATTTCTAAATTTGTGTTTAGCTAAAAATTCCACTCACAGTCAAACCTCGTTATCTCGAACTAGATGGGACCAAGAAAAAACTTCGAAATATCCGAGGATTTGAGATATCCAGGGTAAAATACTTAAAGAATAAGTGGTTATTAGGACTTCCAAATCACTTCGACGTATCCATGGTATTCGAGATATCAGTGTTCGAGATACCAGAGTTCAACTGTACAGAGGCTGCAACATTATTGTTGACAAACCAATTGTGTAGAATCGTTCGTGTAACATGCGTGATCGTTCGTGTAACGTGCGAGATCGTGCGTGTATCAGACTCAATCGTTTGTGGTTTTAATCGTGTGTGATCGTGCGTTAAGAAACGTGTAAATTTCGTTTTGTAAGTTTTTATCGGAATGTTATTTTGTTATACAAGCCTTTCACTTGTCTGTTTTTTTTTTTTAATCCAAATAAAATAAATGAAGCGCGATTTACATAATTAAAAGCAAAACGAACTAATTATCACTTGGAAATAAGCAATATATTATTATAAGTTGTGCAATATTGTGTTCTCGTCAAATAGCGTGATTTTTTGTGATAAACCGTACTTAGATGTTTAAGGAATTTTTCTCTGATATCAATAATGTTTACTGTTAATTATGGTCAAGATATTTTTAAAATCAATAGATCAAAAATAGATGTTTTTACAAATAAATAAATAAACAATTCTCAATGCTTACATAAATATTTAGTTGGTGAATGTACATGTACACGACATGATTGTCAGGATTTCGTTTATCAGTGTTTATCTCTGGAGCTTACTTTTAATTATTTTTATAATTTCTGCAAATAAATGATTTGTAAAATAATTGTTGACTTTAGAGATTCACAAATGGAAACATGGATATAACTTATAATTTAATTCATTTTCATGCCTTTTTTTTTTCAAGCTTATCCCTTTCTGCATATTATGAAATCCAATTCAATCAAAACTCATTGCCCACCTACATGTACATCTTCTGACAGAAGGAAAAAAATCCGTTTTCATAAGTCGGAGAATTACGTAAATAATTATTTGTAATCTAAAATATTTAATAAGTCTTACATGTATTTAGTTTCAGAAATATCCGGTTTTTTTTTTCATTTTTCAAAGTCGATGAAATAATATCAATAATTATTTGAAATCTACAATAAGGATTAAGCCTTATATCGTTTTGAAAATATATATTCCTATTTAGAATTTGAACTATTTTGCGTGAAGAATCGTGCATTTGTGTTAGCAATCGTGTAAGATCGTGTAACGTGTAGAATCGTGTGCGTGAAGGATCTTTCGTGTAATAGATTTTATCGAGCGTTAATCGTGCAGAATCGTTCGTGTAACATGATCGTTCGTGTAAGTTGTCAACAATAACGTTGCAGCCACTGTATATGGTAATTCCTGGTATTCAATGTATAGGTATATGAGATATAAAATTACAACTGTGCATTAATTTGTACCATGTATTCTAACAGGAAGCAGTTGTTGGTGGGGGCTGCAGTAAGTACACATGATGAAGACAAAAAACGCCTTGAGCTTCTGGTGCAGGCAGGGGTGGACTTTGTAGTCTTGGTGAGCTTTAATTTATACAGTGATAATAGCCTTAGGCCTAGATAAATAAATTGTGTTTCGGGTTCCCCGACCGACCCTAAAATATTTGAGTTGACCCTGAAATCCTAATCTCGATCATTTCTGTGTATGAGAAAATGCATATCCTATACAAATTAAGCAGAAATGTTTTGACAGGGATTTCCACAGTAAAAAATGACAGCGTGCTTTCCAATAAAATGTGGAAATAAAATGTTTTCCCTACCTACCTACCCTATTTTTTCTCAGGTTGGAATAGGAAACACACTATTTATTTATCTTGGCCTTATTGAAAATAACTTGATACCAAAATGTAGTAAATCACAATTTACGTGTTCTTAACAAAAGTTTAAAATTGAATTTTTTTTTCTAAATTTTTGTTTGTTTTATTCTCAGGACTCTTCACAAGGAAACTCTATTTACCAAATAAACATGATCAAATTTTTGAAGAAGTCATATCCAGATGTTCAGGTCATTGGTGGTAATGGTAAATATAGCATACATTTTATGTAAACACATGAATGATTAGCTTTAATTGTAGCCATTTAGAATTTTAACTAAATTAAAAATTGAGAATAGAAAAATTAGATTTCTTTGAACATGTAGACGTTACATATACATGTATGACAGTTTTTCAGAAATGGTCAGAATTTTGTATATAGTGTCAGTTATGAGAACAAACTTTATATTCCATGTATATTTTAACTATCATGGAATTGCCTCATCAGAGTTATTGTTTTAGTTGTGACAGCAGCACAAGCAAAGAACCTCATTGATGCTGGAGCGGATGCTCTCCGAGTGGGAATGGGGAGTGGATCTATCTGTATCACACAGGAAGGTTTGTTTGTTATCATGTATATCCCCCCTATCTAAATACTCCACTCATCGGCAGCAGCACAACTGCAGGTACATATCTTAAGATATGTTAAATAAATATCACTATCGTTGAGATACAGTATCGCAGTTCTGAGTTCTGGTACTTTGATATTATATCTGAGTCGGGTGCATTTCTATTTCGGTTAAGAAAAAAATATATTTGTTATTGAAAGTATATGAGATACCATACATACGTGTAAGAGATACTAAGTGTATAATTATAATCATTATAGAACATAATACTGAATAGGTAAGAGATGTTATGGTATTTAAGAATTCCTAATAAATGTGAATTTTCAGTGATGGCAGTAGGTAGACCTCAGGGGACAGCGGTGTATAAAGTCGCAGAGTATGCCCGGAGGTTTGGTGTCCCAGTTATTGCAGATGGTGGAATATCTTCTGTAGGTCATGTGATCAAAGCTCTGTCTCTTGGAGCATCAACTGGTTAGTGTACTGAATAATATTAGAAGTGTTTTACAACTGAACAAATGTTTTAATTTGTTTATTTTCCCAAGTACCCTGAGAGATAAAAAAGAGCATAAACAAACCATCAGCAGAGTACTCAGCTAGAGAAAATGAGTTTTAATTTCTTAAACAAAATTTTGATTTTATAGGAAAAGAATTTCGAATCTGAAATATTATCCTACATGTCTTATCAGTGATTAATAGATAAAATCTGTACAGTAACAGGTGCTGTTGGATAAATCAAAAATTTATAAATTCTGAGAATGAGTGCACTCGAGGGTATTTAATAGAGATGTACATGTATATCAATCTTTTACAGTGATGATGGGTTCCCTCCTTGCTGGGACATCTGAGGCCCCTGGGGAATATTTTTTTGCTGATGGGGTCAGGTTAAAAAAGTACAGAGGCATGGGGTCTCTAGATGCCATGGAAAAACATCGTAGTAGTCAAAGTAGATACTTCAGGTAAGTGTTCCAAATACACATCTTTAAAAACAGTCAAATATTTTTATGATCACTTTTACTTCACAAAGTTAATATGTAAACTGTAATAATGAGTTGATTCAGAAAATGTTAAATTTTATTGAAATATTAATGCTTGTATAAAAACTGTACACAAACCCATTACAGTCCCTGAAACGTTCTACTTTCCCACTTGAACGGTGAGCGAACGCTGAACAAACGGTGAACGAACGCTGAACCAATGCAGAGCGAACGGTGAGTGAACGATATGTGAACGCTGAACGCAACTTGGTGAACGATGTGTGAACGGTGAGCGAACGCAGAACGCGAACGGAGCGCAAACGCGAACGCAAAGTGAACGGTGAACGAACGGTGAACGCAAGTTGAACGATTTGTTCGGAATGCCTTTGATCTTTTCCTTACGTTGAAACTATTCTATTGTATGGATGCCTGGTGCTAAAAAATAAATGAATAATAAATAAATAAACAAATCAATGAAAAGTATCCTAAGAAAGACGATACATGCACATTAAGTAAAATTTTTAATTTAAGTTTTTAACAATATTTTCTGCGCATATGTACGATGTTTAAATTCAACTTTTTAATAACACGATTTTTATATCTGTAAAACATTGTAATTGTTGCCGAACGCTGTAGTATAAAAGATAAAATTAATCTAGTTGTAAAATAAATATGTTTATTCTTATTTGATATATAAAATCATTACAAATAATGTGGATTTTAGAAGAGCAAACTACGGACTTATAGAATGAATTACAACGGTTGTAACAACCATACATATATTTCCGTGCCAAGAGGATTCCGTGTAAAATAATGAGAAAAAAAAAATAAAATATTTTACAAAGGTATGTGGACGTATTGCATAAATACACCCGTATTTTAAAATTTTAATGCAATAATATATTTATCAGTCAGTTTTATTTTTTATGATGATTTATTGAGCAGACTTCTACATGTTCCCCGGCCATGATTATACTCGGACAAGATGATACAAAGAGGCATTCATATTATTTGTTATATATTAAGTTTTCACAACTTCATATTTAAGTAATATGCTGTCATAGTTTTTAATAAACAGACAAATGAGAGAGAGAGAGAGAGAGATTTGGTTTTAACCCCCCCCCTTCTTTCTCAAATGCTTGTACCTATATCAAATAAAATTTCTTAATTATTTTCTAAATATACCAAGCAATGAAAAAACTTTTTTTTATCACCAAACCTATTTGTGTTACAGTCATAATCGGTTTTTATTTTCCTGCTGCAAGTTCACACGAGGTCCACGTGCTTGACCTGTCAATCAAAATCATTCGACACTGTGCAGGTGTGAAAGTCTCGTCACACCGAAGGCGAAGTGTTAAGTTATCTCCAAGAAGTTTTAACATTTTTTCTTATCATTTCTAGATCTGACTCCAACATTTCTAAAAAAAAAAAAAATAATAATAAATGAATAAAATACATTGGGAATAAACACTTGGAATGATTAAGCCGCTTGAATTTGAAACCTACTCCCTGACAATTTAAAATATCACTGCCGGCACATGTATATTTTGAACTACATGTACTCTTGTTTAATGACTTTGTTTAGATGCATGTTTGTTTTGAGACTGAAATTTTTGTGCTACAAAACACATTAACTTCTTTTTAAATGTTAACTAAAATATACTGGAAATACTACCTAAGTAACAAATTTATGGGAAAGGGGGGGGGGGGGGGGGGCTCTTAATTATATCTAATGGCAAACATATAAAGTTAGGGTGAAAAATATCATTACTGGAGAATCACTTTGGTTATATTAATGATAATCATGTTATAAAGGCATTTCTCTCTAATTAAAGACTTTATATTTGTAACGTAGAAAAAAATTCTATAATGTATTACATTTTAAACAAATATTTTTTTCTCAAACCACACTATAAATTTAATTCCCTCTAAAGATATTTAATTAACTGGATAGCTGCAGTACTGTTTATAATCCTCAGAATTAGTTCTAACATGTATTTCTGTATTATTTGAAAAAAAAATGTGTTAGAAATAAATATTTTCGTATTTCTGCTGAAGTTGGTAAATTAATTGACTTCGGTTATTATCTATCTATTAATGATTTGTCGTCTTTAACATAACAACAAAATGTTGCAGTGCTTGAAGCATCTGTATATTGCCTGCATTTAAATTTAATTTTTCAGCATCGTTCTACATAGGTACATACATGTACTTATAAAAAACATTTATTTTCCAGAAAAATTTAATAAATAACCTAATAGCTAAGTTAGAATAATAAAAATAAATATTGTAGATAATGTTTTCTTTAAACACGATATGTTAATTATTAAATTTGTAAATCCTTACTTAAAAAAAGATAAGTCCACTCACTTTGGAGTTCCGAATGACAATAAAGACTGAACGATAAGTGAACGCTGAACGCAAGGTGAACACAAAGTGAACGAACGAAGAGCGATCGCTGAACGCTTTGTGAACGGTGAACGCGAGCGCACGGTGAACGCTGAACGCAAAACTGTGAACAGAGAGCGAACGGTGAACGCACGGTGAAGGAACGGTGAACGCACGCTGAACGAACGGTGAACGAACGGTGAGCGAACGGAAAAATGGGAAAGTAGAACGTTTCAGGGACTGTACCTCTCTCATTCTATAGATAAGCTTTTCTCTTTTAGTCTTTTGAACAGTATTCTTTAGACTTTATTCTGACTTTTGCAGTGAAAGTGATAAAATTAAAGTGGCTCAAGGTGTCTCAGGGTCCATTGTTGACAAAGGTTCCATCCACAAGTTTGTGCCATATCTTTATGCTGGAATCCAGCATGGTTGCCAGGACATAGGAGCAAGGTGTCTCTCCAATCTAAGGTATAGTCAATTATTCAGTAATTACAGGGGGAGTAGAGGAGTAGATTTAATATTGTACTGGGAGAGATAATACAGAAATAATACAACACTCTTTTCTGTATGTGTGGAAAATCTCAGTTTATTTGAGTTTTTTTTTAACCCTTACTAGATCTATGATGTACTCTGGGGAATTGAAATTTGAGCGTAGAACAGCATCGGCACAAGTTGAAGGAGGGGTCCATAATCTTCACAAGTAAGTCAGATGTCAATGGCATTTTAAAGGCCATGTACATGTACATGTATTTAAATGCCCTTGAGTTATATAATTTTATAAACAGGCTAGGTCATCCATTTGTACAAGTGACATGCAAAAGATTATAGTAATATACAACTGAAATTGTACATGTATATGTGTTACACTGTATATATTTAGAAAATTATAATTCTCACATTAAAGATAAAGAATACACTGTACATTTAAAAAAAAATAAAGTAAGTATTATAAACACATATATGCTTGAAATGATGGTGTATGCAAATGATTAATCAAACAGGTAGGACACATATATCACAATGCTTATTCTTTTTTCATTCAAATTCCTGTGTAAAGTGATTCTTTTATGAATCAGTTGATGAAATAAAAATTCATTTCAAAGGTTGCCCTTTCTTTTAGCTAAGTGCATTGGTGGTAAAATATAAAGTTTAAAATGACAAATTAATTTGCTTTGCTTGGTAGGATTCTTAGAATATGAGGTAAGAGAGAGAAGTGCCAAATTCTATCTTGATTGCAGTGAATCCACAAAGGCAACTTTGGATTTTTTTGATGCTTTTTTAAAATGTAATTGAGGATATTTAAGAGAGGTTTGGGACCCAACTGCTAACAGACAGTATCCTTATTCTGAAAAATATATCTCTAAGGTTAAAATTATTTTATTGTACAGGTATTGCCACAATTGAACTTGTGAAGAAAGCAGAAAAATTTGCTGAATTTCTCAATACCTGAGTATTAAATAAATAAAGAATTAAGTTAACAAAAATTTTTTTAAGCATTTTCACATTTTAAGCTGAAGCATTTTCACATTTTAAGCTGATCTTTAAAAATATATATAGAATTTAAATAAAATGAATACTGCAATGGTAGGTTTCCTCTGATGCCCAAGAACTGTTTCTATACCCCGGTAGTTTCAACCACTGCAGGTAAATGAGAACAACTTATATGTAACTAAAAAGTGCCTGTTGAAAGCACATTTATAGTCATGTACCTGTATCATAGTCAGTGAAAATGGCCTATATGAGAAAAATGTTCACTTTTTGCAAGAAGCAGTGAGGATAGAATTTAGCAGGGTTTTTTTTGATTGCCAGATCTCTGGGTGCTGCATTTGTAATCTACAGTGTTATTATGTATTAATGTGACAAACCACTGTTGAAAATTCCCTGACATACCCAGAAAATCATTTAGATTAATTTTACACCATCATTGTCATCGTGTCATCAAATAATAAAAATCAAACATGAGCAGCATTTGTGTTCAGAAATTATCTAATAACTGTTATATGTATTATTTCCCTAGACTAATTTTGTAAAAGGCTTAAGTAGTGCTTTGACTGAATATTAAAGACTGGTATTAACAGTCTTTTTTTTTTCAATTTTTATTTACTCTTTACCAAAATGATTTGCTTTTTTCAAGTTAGAGGTTTTTCACAGATGCTTTATATGACAACAAATTCTCTGCAAGATTTCTCTTGTTTCACATTTTAAAAAAGACAGAAAGAGAAGGAAAATATAGCAATAAATAAGTTTACAATATGTTTTAGTATTGTGTAAAATCTGACTTCATTGTACCTTGATCAGTTGTGCATTTTTTTTTTTTGAATAATGCATGAAGTAGGGTAATAAATGTATTATGTTTAACTAAATCAGTGAGTATGGTTCAATGTATTCTGAAATTAAAAAAAAAGACATCTCTTGGTAAAGGGACCTGTTTGAATAAATTACTGGAATGCAGCCCAGAAAAGTCTTCAGGTTTTTGCATATGCATTTCTACTATTTAACATTACTGTATTATTTATTCTTCATTTACTTGTAAAAATACAAAATGATAGATGAAATACAGAGGCTATATTAATGAAATCAATTTAGTTTAGTTTAAAAGCTTTTTTTTTTTTTTAATTCAAAGGTATAAAAATATTGTGAGATATTTGTACATGTTATTGCTGAAGACATGTCACTAGATATGTAACAAGTACTAACTATCACAAAGTTAAGTGTCTTTAAAAAGCTACATCATATTTTTAATCAAAGATTTCTGTATTTTTTCCAGCTATGAAAAGCGGTTGTACTGAGGAAATATGGACAAAAAGCTGTACCATCCAGTGTGTTCCTTTCAAATGATCTGTCTCGACAGCCAATAAAAAAATGTTCAAAGGGAGGTCACGGGTCAAAGTGCATAATTAATTCCAGTTCAGACATTTGACAAAGGTGCAATGTTTTTATTTTTCAGGTATTCTTATTTTGAGATGAATTTCCTCAGTACATTATTTTTTTATGTAATAGATGGTGCATTAAGAATTCTATATTAATTTTGCAATGTATGTATTTAATGTTTTGGTTTTTTTATTTGCTTTTTTTGCCTGATTTAATAGGTATTTATAATTGATTATAATTGTTTCAAAGAAGCATTTGAATTGATATACATAATGTGCCTGTAAATGTTTAAGCCAGTAACAAATTTATAAAATACCTGGCCCCAGGATCATAAAACATCTTTAATAAGCTTAAGTCAAAATCTTTTTTGTTGTACTGAAATTTTGTAGAACTCAAACAGTCCAAAACAAGTGCATGTACATTTCTCAGAATTACATCACCAGAATGCTGTTATCTGCAAATTTAGAGATGAAGTTGACCATGAACAAATGTTGCAGAGGTGACTGAAAATCTGAGCAAAGTCATAAGTTTGATTCAAAATCCTGGGGCCTGCTGTTTTGTAAGCAGACATATCCTGTTGTCTCTATACAACATTTTTTACGTCCCATAGGAATATTCTTGTTATATGAAATCTTATACTAAATAAATAATGCACCTAAATCTAATCAGTTTTTAATGATAAATTTCAACAAAAAAAGTTTTGGATTTGGCAAATATTTCCATGTTCTTAGATCAAAATGAATCATATCAAAATATCTTGTGTACATTATTTAGAACTCAGGTTTTACAAACTCTTTATAGATACATGATAAAGTGATTATTGTTAAAAAAAATTTTATTGAAACTCAAGTCTTTTTTAACAATTGGCAAGCTCTAAAAAGTTAAGTAATGAAAACATTATATTTTCACAGAAAACATTATAAATAAATTTCATTTTCTTTCTGAGAAAGTGCTTTATTAAACAGAGGGAGTTGTGTTGGTAATATATTTCCTTGCATAAAAAAAGCACTTTTTATAAAAAAAAAAAGGAATGTCCGTGTAAATTTATTACTGTGTTGAGCCTGATATTTTCGTTCTGTGTGTTGTACCATGACCATGCAAACACAGGGCCTCTATATCTCTAGTTGTTTGTTTGAAATATGTTCACATTCATGTAGATAGGATTAAAATGAAACATAGGAAATGAAAAATAATCTGAAGATATAAAAGTTAGTCACAGGCATTTCATGTATGAATTGCTCTGCAATATTCAATCTAATTAAAATTAGATGTTAGATCCGCTCGCATACTCGCTACACTAACATCGATGTTAGTGTGGCGAGTATGTGAGCGGATCTAACATCTAATTTTAATTAGATTGTGCAATATTGTACAACATTTAAGAATTCAAAATAAGATACAATATTTTGTTTTAAAATACAAAACTTTGTTGGTGTAACAAGTAAAGGTTAAAAAGTATGGATCTGATAAAACTCTGGAAGTCTTTTTATTACATGACCCTATTTACATTAGAAATCATAATATTTATGTTCTTTATTTTTTGCTTATTGAGAAATACTCATTTGTTGTGATGTTTTTGTGTAGTTAAGTATCTAATTTGAAAGTAGATTTGTTGATTTAGGGGGAAAAACTTATCAAATAGCCATATTTATGATCCAGTTACAGAATGAAGAAAGTTTGATAAATGACATTGAAATACACAGTCATGATCCTCATTTGTCCTAGTGAAAAGAAGTGTAAACATTTACGAAAAAGAAGTCAGTGAAAAGATTTGTCATTGGAAAAGGTAATAGTTGTAAGGAAAGCAATTTTTTTTGACAGTTTGTCCAAAGTATTATAATGTACAATTTCATGGAGTCAATGAAAAGATATTAAAATATATTATTATAAGTATGTAAATATGTGAATACACCCATAAATTCATTTATGGAATGGATTTAATAGCTACCCAAGATATACTGTATAATCTTGGTTGGGGAGAAACAATTCTTAAAAAAAACATTAATTGTTCAAACCCAGATTATACAAACTATTAAATATATTCCTTTATATTTAATTTTCTAATCTGTAGTGAAAAAAGAAAACAATTTCCCCTAAAATTGACTCCAAGAGAGAATAGATGACAATTATGATCTGTTAAATATTCTCTAATATAAACGTTAAGAAGTGTTGGATGAATGTTTCAATATTGTAATGTATTTATATGCCAAAATTTTGAAAGATGGCTAAGTAGTGTTTTTTTTTTGTATGAAATTTACAATGTAAAAAATAAATTGTTTCAATATTATGAATACGTGCTGTTCTCTTACTGCCAGCATTAATGGGAAAATAACAGCGTCTTTGATTAAGTATACATTTTATTAGTGGAGAATATTGGAGGAAAAGTTAAGTATTTTCTATAAGATATTGACGTTCGCTTCATGATTGAGAGGCCCTAGTTTGGTTCTCATTCGCCACGCCGTATCAAATACAAGACATTTATTACATTTTCAAGAGTGAAATACTGTGATTTATTTATTGAATAAAAGTGATATTCTCTCACAGTGTGAAAGGATACCAAAATGATATTCTCTCACAGTGTGAAAGGATATCAAAGTAAAAAATAATTTCTGGCCTGTTATAAGATAGAGATAGTAACTAACCATCTTGATAGAGCTAAAACTGCAAATTTCTTCCCAAATATGTTGCTAAAATCGTTTTCAATCACACAACTGCTAGGCTATGACGTCTCAACCGCCCATCTATGACGTCAAGCCTATGACACTGTGTTAAGAGAAGACAGATGCAAAGGGAAAATCAAAGAAAATGTAATAAAATAGAGGATATTCAATGTTTTGTAGATGAATATGGAATTTATTTCACTCGTGAGAAAGGATTTTTTGATATTTTCACTCGTGCTTCGCACTCGTGAAAATATCAAAAAATCCTGTCCCATTCGTGAAATAAATTCCATATTCATCTACAAAACATTGAATATCCTCTATTTTATTACATTTTCAACAGTGAAATACTGTAATTTATTTATTGAATAAAAGTGATATTTTGACACAGTGTAAAAGGATATCAAAAATGGTAGTCAAATATCAGAAGTGCGGCAAAACTCTCAATTTTCCTTCCCATCACTAAGAGTGTTTAAAAAAAACTGCCTGGCCTGTTATAAGATACAGGGAGTAAATGAACCATTCCGACAGACACAAAACTGCCAAAGTTTCTCCAAATATGTTGTCAATTTAAATCCGTGTTAACAACATTTTTCAATCTTGCAATCGCTTAGCTATGACGTCTCCACTGCTCAACTATGACGTCACAGCCTATGACACCGTGTTACGAAAAGACAAAGTCAAAGGGAAAATCAAAGAAAATGTAATAAACAGAAAATTCAATGTTTTGTAGATGAATATGGAATTTATTTCATTCGTGAGACAGGATATTTTGATATTTTCACTCGTGCTTCGCACTCGTGAAAATATCAAAAAATCCTGTCCCACTCGTGAAATAAATTCCATATTCATTGAATATCCTCTATATATTGGAAAAGGTTTTGTTTGATTGTTTGTTGTTTAACATCCCTCTCCAGAATAATTCACTCATATGGAGACGCCACCACTTGCCGGTTAAGGTATCTGATCCATAATAGCCTCAGATCCAATGAATCTGAATGCATAAAAGATATATGTCGGATGAATACTCAGTATATTTAGACATAATCTTCTTTTAGTATCAATATGTAAGAGTGGAATGTGTCCTAATTTTTGACCTTGTCCTGTGGCTGTCCGTGAAGAGTTACCCCCCTTTGCTTTTAATCAATAAAAATCAATTCTAAAAAAATCTATTTGTTAAAATAATAGTTTTCAATCATTTTTAGCTCACCTGAGCCGAAGGCTCAAGTGAGCTTTTCTGATCACATTTTGTCTGTAGTCCGTCTGTCCGTCTGTCTGTCTGTAAACTTTTCACATTTTCGACTTCTTCTCAAGAACCACTGGGCCAATTTCAACCAAACTTGCCACAAAGTATCCTTGGGTAAAGGGGATTCAAATTTGTTCAAATGAAGGGCCACGCCCTCTTTCAAGGGGAGATAATAAAGAATTAGTGAAAAATTAATAGCATCTTTTAAAAATCTTCTTCTCAAGAACCACAAAGCCAGGGAAGATGAAACTCATGTGGAAGCATCCTCAGGTAGTGTAGATTCAAGTTTGTTCAAATCATGACCCCCGGGGGTAGGGCGGGGCCACAATGGAGGATCAAAGTTTTACATAGAAATATATGGGGAAAAACCTTTAAAAATCTTCTTCTCAAGAACAACAAAGCCATGATGAGTCATATTTATATGGAAGCATCCTCAGGTAGTGTAGATTCAAGTTTGTTCAAATCATGACCCCCGGGGGTAGGGCGGGGCCATAATGGAGGATCAAAGTTTTACATAGAAATATATGGGAAAAACCTTTAAAAATCTTCTCCTCAAGAACAGCAAAGCCATGATGAGTCATATTTATATGGAAGCATCCTCAGGTAGTGTAAATTCAAGTTTGTTCAAGTCATGACCCCCGGGGTTAGGGCGGGGCCACAATGGAGGATCAAAGTTTTACATAGAAATATATGGGAAAAACCTTTAAAAATCTTCTCCTCAAGAACAGCAAAGCCATGATGAGTCATATTTATATGGAAGCATCCTCAGGTAGTGTAGATTCAAGTTTGTTCAAATCATGACCCCCGGGGGTAGGGCGGGGCCACAATGGAGGATCAAAGTTTTACATAGAAATATATATGAAAAACCTTTAAAAATCTTCTTCTCAAGAACAGCAAAGCCATGATTGGTCATATTTATATGGAAGCATCCTCAGGTAGTGTAGATTCAAGTTTGTTCAAATCATGACCCCCGGGGGTAGGGCGGGGCCACAATGGAGGATCAAAGTTTTACATAGAAATATATAGGAAAAATCTTTAAAAATCTTCTTCTCAATGACAGCAAAGCCCTAATTGATCATATTGATATTGAAGCATCCTAAGGTAGTATAGATTTAAATATGTCCAAATCATGACCCCTGGGGGTAGGGTGGGGCCCCAAAGGAGGATAAAAGTTTTACATAGAGATATATAGGAAAAATCTTTAAAAATCTTCTTCTCAAGAACAGCAAAGCCCTGATTGATCATATTTATGTGGAAGTATACTCAGGTAGTGTAGATTCAAGTTTGTTCAAATGTTGCCTCCCTGGGGTTGGGTGGGGCCACAATGGAGTATCAAAGTCTGAAATAGAAATATATAAGAATATTTCTTCTGATGAAGAACTGCAAAGCCATGATTAGTCATTTTGATATGGAAGCATCATCAGGTAGTGTAAATTCAATTCTGTTCAAATGATGACCCCCGAGGGTAGGGTGGGGCCCAATAGGGGGATAGAAAGTTTTACATAAGAACACATAGAAAAAATATTTCTTCTCAAGAACAGAAAAGCTATGTTTAGTCATATTGATATGGAAGCATCTTCAGGTAGTGTAGATTCAAGTTTGTTCAAATGATGACCCCCGAGAGTAGGACGGGGCCACAATGGAGGATCGAATGTTTCATAAGAACATATAGAAAAAATATTTCTTCTCAAGAACAAAAAAGCTATGTTTAGTCATATTGATATGGAAGCATCTTCAGGTAGTGTAAATTCCAGTTGTTCAAATGATGACCCCTGGGATAGGGAGGAGCCACAAGGGGGGATCAAATTTTTACAAAGGAATATATCAGAATTTTTTTTTAAAATCTTCTCAGGTACAACAAAGCCATTTGTTATTTTGACATGGAAGCATCATCAGGTAGTTTAAAATTCAAGCCCCCCCCCCCCCCCCGAAATCTTTTCAATACTGAACTGATTTGTGCTCTTGCCTATCCACTGTGCTCAGGTGAGCAATGTGGCCCATGGGCCTCTTGTTATATTCCTAATAATTCAATACATCTTTCCACCATAGCATTTATTGATATTCTTAGTATTTAATTTTTTTTTTTTCAAAAATTTGCGTGTCCCCATATACCTCAGTGCAATCTTCATTAATTAATTACTGCTTAGGTCATTATATTTTTGAAAATTTCTCTTGGTAAATCCTTTTCTACTCTAAAATGCCTTGAATTAATATCAGAGTATATAATACATGATGTATATTTAAAGTTAGAAAATTAGGTCCTAATATGGGACGGATACCTTAAGGGCTGCAAATTTAAACCTATACTCAGTACTCAGGACCATGGAGTAGTAAGGGATCTTTTTCGAGCCAGCACCTACTACGACACAGGGCCTCGGTTTATATGAACACGGTAAAAACACAGATCACTGGAAACGCTAGAGAGGTTCAGGAGAAGTAAGCATCCCCTTTCACTGGACTCGCTCTCTTGCAGCCTTCTGTATTGATCAGGTAAACGGGAGTTATTCGTAGCCAAAATTTGTTTAAAACATTATGGCGCGACATGATGAAAATACGTATACTACCAAAATAAACGTCTTTGCAAACAAGTTCGTTATAACGATAGTAGAATTTGCAAAATGCTTAAAATAGATTGTAGAAAGCCTTGTAAGATTAACTTAGATATAATTTTTATGAAATAGGTGAAGATTATGAACAATGATCGATCTCAAAAATATTCATACAATACAAATCTGAGAACAGGGCATGAACGTGCCCCCTGGATATCAGAGGTAGGATCTGGTGCCCAGGAGGAGAGGGCATCCCCTGTCGATCGGTCACAATCGCCATGATCAAAAAGTAATTTATTTGATATATATATATATATATATATATATATATATATATATATATATATATATATATATATATATATATATATATATATATATATGGAATAATCCGTAGTCAAATTTAGTATAAAAACAAAGGCCCAACAATTGGTATGTCGGTCAAAAACGACCCAATGTTGGATTGTATTTGCTAACAAGGTCATTATAAAACCATTTATAACAACCTTAAGGAGCTGACCCCTGTTTTATATTTCCATCAGCAGAGTTAATTAAACAAAAATCGTCTTTATGAGAAGAAGACACTTAATTGTTGTACATGTGGCCTTCAGCTCGACGACGTTTTATCAATTAACAATAGTTTCTTCCATTCACACGTCGACTCGATATATCCAAGTGAACTTGAAATAAAAGATACACAGATTCTGACACATCTGTTTCATACTTGGATATTTTACTAGAAAAAAACATTAATGGTAACCTAACAACAAAACTTTATGATAAACGTGACGATTCAATTTTTCTATCGTCAACTTCCCTTACTTATGTAGGAATATATCCTTATCACCTGCATATTGAGTTTATATTTCCCAGTTGATTCTATACGCGAGAGCATGCTCCACGTACAAAGAATTTCTAAAATGAAGCAAGCTATTGATAAAGAAGTTGATGAAACAAGGATATCAGCAGTCTCGTTTAAAGTCATCATTTTGCAAGTTTTATGGTTGATGCAATGACCTTGTCAGCAAATACAATCTATCATTAAGTCGAATGCAGACTGACATTTTCATACTAATTGATAGGCCATTTCTAGTATTTATACACTGAATTGTCTGTGGATTTTTCCTTTTTTTCCCGATCATGACAAGAAGCACATGGCGGGTGTGACCAGTCGGCTGGGGATGCTCACTCCTCCATGGCACCTGATCCCACCTCTGATGTTTTAGAGGTCCGTGCTCTCTGCTCCTGATTTGTATCGTTTGAATGGCCTTCAGAGCTTGAATACTGTTAGTTATCTCCATATTTCATTAAGCCATTATTTACCGTAAACACTGAATTGTCTACGGATTTTTCCGTTTGTCCAATCATGACAATGAGCACACGGCGGGTGCATGTGACTGGTCGACAGAGGATGCCCACTCCTCCATGGCACCTGATCCTAACTCGGATGTTTTATGTGTTTGCTCTGCTCCCGATTTGTATTGTTTCAATGGACTTTTATCTTGATTACTGTTCGTTATCTGAATAATTCAACGTTTTATTGCAGTTGCTTGGCTTGGTTTAAAAAAAGGATCGTACTCGGAACATGCTCTTGCATACCAAATCAGTTGCGAGATGTAAACACCATATACAGGTAATTCTGGAATATTACTAAATATGAAATAGAAGATGACAATGGAAGAGCAACTAAATGTTATCCCGTTAACTATTAGTTTATTGTTAAGTTTGTCATTAACATCTATAGTCAGTAAATCCTCCAAATATATAACAGATGTGGCAGACTTTATGATATGTCTTATTTCGATTTTGCTACGATATATCTATCGAGTCGACATATGAATGAGCTAGGATATATCTATCTATCCAGCCGACATATGAATGAAAGTAGCTATAAAAAGTAACTAAGAAAAAAAGTCTTGTGAATTGATAAAACGTCAATATAACCTTCTATATTCCGAAAATGTAAAAGAATATACATGTAATTAAAAATAAAGATCAATTGTATGAGTCATAAGAATTTTTTTCAATAAAATATTTAAGATAACGATTGTTTGTACTAGGCACATCATGATAAGCTTGTTTTAATGTATTTCATTAAGGCGATAAAACGATGTGGTAAACTTGTTTGAGACTAATGTGTCTCCTTTAAATATAGTTTTCCTAAATTTCTTTAAAAAATTATGTGATTTCCATATTGCTGTGTGAATGGTATCTTCATACCTGCTGTATTCTTAAGAATTTGCGGATTTCGGGGTGGGCAGATGCATTTAGAATACAGCATATAAAGGTTGGTATGACCTCATTTTATGTGTTGTTCACGAAAAATAAAAATCCTTCTTTCAAATATAGTTTTATCTTCCAGTTAGTGCTAAAAACCTATTGTATATAACTCTAGATCCTTCCTGTTAAAAGAATAACATTGCAGGAAGGAACACTTCATTTCTGGTTATTGCAGCAAACAATTAGTTCTGGAGGGATGTAATTAATGTAAGCCAGATAATGAGAAATTGGATTATTGGAAAGGAATAAGAAGTGCAGTATATGTACATATCACTGTTGCAATATGAAAAACCTATGAAATATAGTCTTACAAAAATATATGCTGAATAATGCAAAGTATACATGAGTGTTTTCCTCAAAACATTTTGAAAACCTTTAGTGACGTAGGTTAAATTTCATTCTCAGTTCATTATTCCACACACCTGCTTCTTATGACTTTGACATTTCATCTTGTAACTGACATTATTTATCGACAATATCCGTGCTTTCAATTTGGGGTCCATCACAATTTTTTTGTATTGGAATTGTTCTCTCCACTGAACTATGCTTTATGTTGTACATCATGTACATATGATCCCGATTATTTCATTTCTTGGGGTGACGGCGCTGGTGGTGGTGATGGTGCTGGTGGCGGTACTGGTGCTGGTGGCGCTACTGGTGCTGGTGGTGGTGGTGGTGGAGGAGGAGGAGGAAAGTTTTCATTCGTATGTTGAGAAGATTCATTAAGTTGTGTTGATGGCTTGTCCTCACTAATATCAATTAGAAGTTCAACAGGTGCCTCGGGTTCTTTCTTTTTATCCAATGACTCTACAGCAAGTTGTCCACCTTCACCACCTTTCTGTGCAAATGTTTCTGTATTTCTACTTATATGGTTTCCATCAGGATTGACTGAATCTTTATTTTGTGTGGTATTTTTACTATCATGATGTCCTCCAGGATTTGCTGGATCTGTATTTTGCTTCGTACCCTCATCCATGTTTTGGATTACTGTGACGTCAGCAAGAACTTCCGGATTAGAAGTGTAGCGGTCAGAGGTGGCCAATCCGTCTTTAATCATTTGTAACATACTCAGACGCTGTTTGTTTTCTTCTGCACGGGAGAATGTCTCCAACCTTTGGTTATCCTGTGGTGGACCATCCCCTAATGATGCAGTGCTTGGCCTGAAAATGGCTTCTTGTTTTATAACCGGCTCTCGTGTCTGAAAATGATTTCAAACCTGAAAAATATCTATTTTTCTCTTGCACAATCTGATTTTGTTTATTTCTTAATATTAGCATTTAATGAACTGAATTTTTCTTTAGATAAGGGAGCTACATGCTAGATTTTTTGAGTAGAAGGAATCAATGACCCTTTCTTCAGAAATAGTTGTGTAATACAATACGAAATACAGTCTGACTTGCCATATACGGACCGCCCACTACATCAATCTCAAACTGTTCATATGGAGTTCTCAATCTATTCCTGCTGTAAAAAAACATCGTTAATTTGAATCATATCTATCACCATGTCTATGAATAATAGAATCTAATATATTCGGTTGTATAAATGTTGAAAGATGAAAAAATAAAACTCACCGTTTTCTTACACAAACCACTAAAATAAGAAGCAACAAGATGCATAGAACGGATCCCAGAGCAATCACAGCTATCAAAAGATATCTTTTTTCTTCATCCAGATCTTAAAAGAAATATAGCTTTAGTAATAACGCTGCTTGTTTGTAAAGATGACATTTAAAAGACTAATATCTATACAAAGACAATAGATGCGATCAAATAAATTGTTCTTTTAAACGATAACACGAATTTTGGATGCGAAAGTCACACGTCAAACTTTACAAGTGTGTACCTGCAATCTGGTTTTTCAGTTTGTTTATCTGTCCCTCTAAAAGATTAATTGTCGATGACCCCATGGATTTCGAAGTGGCGGTATCTACTGAAATAGTGTAAATATGTAGAACTTAATGACAGGTCACCCAAGTCATTCAAATTAGCTACATCTTTCCATGCCTACCCTTTTTACAAAATCTATTGAATATTTTAACTATTAAATCAAAGGTTAAAATTTTATCAAACATTCTTTTATAGAAAAGAAGTTTGTATACTTGCTTACACTCACCTGTTGAGGAAACTGAGGGAGGTATCGGTGGAGAAGAGTGTTTTATAGGAATACTTGATGTACGTGCAATAGTTGTTGGGACTGATGTTGTTACAACTATCTTAGTGCCTTGTGATGAAAATGTGCTTGCCGACGATGAACTAGCTATAGTTGCTAATGACAAAGAGCATGCTCATGCAGATATAATTAATGACAGTGAATCAATGTTAATGAAGATAAGAATGCAACGGGATAAAAATTAGCAATTTCTGAAGATGAAGATACTAGCCATTGATGTGTGTGTAAATGATAGGTTTATGTGCTTTATGAAGTTGAATACTTAATGAAGTTGAATACTAGTATGTAAAATCGGTCGATTGATGTAATAACGTTAACGAAGGTGCATAGATACCTTGCAAAGTAGTTGAGGGATTTTTTGAAGTTGTTGATGAGAATGTACGACTAGTTGATTCTTGAGTAGAAATAGAAGAGCGACTTTTCTCTTTTGTATTAGTACTGTTGACTGTTGTTTGAATGTCTGTAACTGTTGGCATATCACTGCTCTTTTCAGATGTTGTTGATAATGTAGTTTTTGTATTGATTGAAGTTAAAAAGTCTGTGATGGCTTCTGATATAGGACTTAATGTTGAAGAAGATGGTGTTGATTCTGTTTCAGCAGACGCTGCTCTTGTAGTTGTTGTAAACATCCCTGATGTATTGAATGGTGATTCATCTGTTTCTGAACTCATCATTAGGACAGTTGTTGGTTCTGGAGATGTCGAAGCCATGATTGTACTTACAAAAGACATGCTCAAGTATGTAAAGAATAATCTTGCCATTTCCACGATGCCTGAGTCTAGATAAAAAATAAAAAAAATCAACATGTGTATAGTAATTCGTGTAAAATGAACATCATTCAGGTAACAAGTTTTTAAAAACAGTATCATTAGATGAAACGTGAGTAAGTATATGGAATATTATTGAAACCAATTGATAGTTTTGTTACCAAGCTTAAATCATTTAATTTGCATGAGGCAACGTGCATTCAAGAAAAAAAAAATCATATAACACTAGCATGAATATTGCTTCCTCACCTTTGATTTTTTTCATTAAAATTTATTTATAAATTTGACATACTTCCGTTTAATGTGCTTTAAGTCTTGTGGATAAACATTAAATTACCGGTAATATCATCAATAGAACCTTGTGTATCATTAATAAGTGATGTTTTATTTCCCTTTTATTGTAAATTGGTTTTCAATTCTTCATGGGTAGACCTTACCTATCGTACATACTCTTTACATGATTATTAACCCAATGTCATCTTTTGTTTCAAATTGTAAATATATTCTTTATTTTTTAAAAATGCAGTTGCTCATACATTAGCATTTTTACTGTTCCTTTTTTAACCCATGAATTAACTTTTGGGTGTGCAAATTATTCATTTATATTGCATCCCAGGGTCATTTTATAGCTTATGCAGCTTTTCTTCCGGAAAGAGGTATTTAGGAATGAGTAGGGAATTTCCATGATAATACATATGCAGATAAACTATAATTAAAAGTCAACGTATTTAGTAACACCATAACAGCGAAACAGCATTTTAAGTTTTTCTAAGGAAATTATTTTTGACGAATAACAGAAGCTCCCCTTGAATTCATTTACTGATTGATTTAAAAAAAAAATTTCGGAAACAACAGAGGAATTTTTAGTACTGTGCATGTATGTTATCATGGTCCGAAAATAATACAAAATGAAGAGCTATAGAAAACCTAAATAAAAAAGAAAATACGAAACGAATTTTTCATTGCAAGAAAGAAAAAAAGAAAAACAGAAAGAAAGAACCTTATCTGTACACGTTTCCTGATGATATCGGCTTTGCCATATATGATTCTAAGAAACTAAGCAGAAAATTATTCCAAAGCGACAACAAACATCGTGTAGTAATGTAACATTTCTGAACAACGTTAACAAACCATAGACGTTTTTGTTGTTGTTTTAAACAAAATGAGTAACAGTAAGGAGGAAGATTTACTCATATAATGTTGTCTGTTAACCGGTAGTGAATACTTGTCTATCTACATGTAGAAATCAAGATATTCTTTTCAACGATGACAACAAAATTTCTTTTCGAATTTCTTCTATTTAAAGATCCCTTTTCTTCATTCACTCGATTGCCTTTGAAATACAATATCCACTAAAATATATTCACGTACTTTAAAGAATGTAACAAAAAACCAAAATCTTCCTGGATATTTTTTAGCCACGATAACTAATTTTGTTATATTATTATTATTATTATATATATATATATATATATATATATATATATATATATATATATATATATATATATATACTGTATATGCGATGTTGATGATTTCCCTTTGTGCAATAAATAAGATTAAACACAATAAATGCAAGCACATATCTTTACTGTGTATACTTTAACGGAAAGCAAAGCAAAGGTTTTGTGTTTTTGATGTTCGGAAATTGCATTTAAATCTCTTTTTTTTTTTAATGTGAAAAAGACAGTTTACGTGGTGTATTCGCCATAAACAAGGCAATGACTATTGGATGACAGAACATCAACTCAATAGACTGTGAGGCTGAATAAAAATTGAGAAACTAATAGTATTGCATAACCAAAGTATAAAGGGAAGGTGTCGCTTAAAAAGTGTGGTACGTGATAACACATTGAACTTTTAACTTAATAAATGTATAATTTTAATTTCCGACAGAAAATTAAGATGTTAAAAATACCAAAAGTATTACATGTTCTCCATAAAATAAACACATGAGTGTAATATTGTGAAGGAAGACGCGTACACAGACAGCAAATGCATTCCCTTTTTACACCATGTATAGTTTAATTGAACAAAAGCATCTTAAGAAAAGACGTTTGTTTGTTTTCTTCGAAAAATGTACTACTCTTGTGGCCTGCATAACAGTTATTTTAGTGACAAATATAAAGTGCAAAATCTCAAAAGCGTTTTTCTTTGATTAACACAGATAATGATAATGAAGGAGACATAATTTTTATTTGATTTGTATTGTATAATGGACTTTTGAGCTTGAATACTGTTCGTTATCTTCATATATTTCATTACACTTACAAAAAACAAACACGTAGCGAATTAATATTAATTCAAATGTCCAAGTATTGAGTTAAAATATCTTCTACTTACCAAGATACTCCTACCGTTGAATTATTTCCTCATGGCTCGTTCTATTTTCTTCCTGATGAGTGTACATACACACATTATATTTACTAATTCAGTGATTCTCCATATCTGGTATGTACACCTGTGTACGTCCTTTCTTTTTGTATGTGTTTGTTGAAAAGGAAGTGATTTGGGATTCGTTCTTCGTTCATATGTAAAAAGAATCATGCAGGCTTGTTACAGTTTTCTTCCATAAGAGCAAGTGATAATGTTCATTTATTCATTTCCTTAAATGCATGAAAACGTATTAATCAAACTATTATTTAGCTTCTTCATTACTTGTTGCATTATAGAAGTTCTTGTGTTTTAAGCATACATCTTCCACAATTTGCGTTTTTCCTCAATGACAGTATATATATTTTATCACTCAAAAAGCTGAAAATAGATATCCTTCCTTCTAGATCGACATTTTGATTTTTTGAAACAAAACTTTAAGAGGACAGGCAAAATGAAAAGATTCAATGTCAATTAAGATAAAAAATCAATATTTTTTCAAGAATTTTTGCTTTGACCTCTTTTAAATATTGTTGCAACTTAAATGAAGCTTTTTCCTTCCTTTCTTATTTGTTTAAAAGTGACAACATCTTCTTCATTGACAGCTTGTTTTTGGAGTATACAGACACAAACCAAAAAATATGCTCTGTTAGACTTAAATGATATTCTTATCATAACTGCGGCACACTATTTCTTAAACTATAAATATACTAGGTAATTTTTCTGCTTCCTGTTGAATGCATAGAGAAAGTGAGCAAAATGCATTAAGTAAAGCACTACTGGCACGTAATAAAATTGAATGATATTATCAAAAGAGCGTACTTTAAATGAAAGAAGAAATATAAGATTACAGAGGTTCAACAATTTAAACAAAGCGTGCTCATTTTCTTTCCTTACTGAATATTCCTCAGAAATTAGTGTCAACAAAATTTTACTATAGTAAAATATGAAAATAAAGCATTCACTCCTTTTGCCAACGCTTCTATATTATATATAGCTAAATAAATATGAGCTTAACATTTGTTTAAAAAGGAAGCAAAAAAAAAAAAAAAGATATAAAATACACTCTTAACTTATCGTTGTTACGACTAATTTCACACCCAGTGTAACATCAAGGACCTGATAGCCTCAAGGATGTGATATAAAACAGATTGCTGTACCAACAGGATTGTAGAAGATGCTTGAGTACTTAAAAATTAGCAGAGCTCTCTTCGACTAAAAAGGACCTAGTGTTGTACTGGGTGGGGACAATCTAAGGTCAGGAATGACGGTGTACCAATTGGTTTATATCACGAGAAAAGGGTCCAAATAAGAGTTTTTACATGCTGTTATGAATATTAATTGTGTAAAAAAACAAAAAAAAAGGAAAAAAAAAACTCTACTTCTGATTCAGAGTCATAAATAGCATAATTATGTAGTGTGTCGAGAGAAAAAAAACATTTAAAAAAAACACGTCAAGTAACGAATGTAAATAATTAACTTTAGTCTCAACAGCAAAGTACTGGTATCACACTTTTGATATTGAATACCAATGAAATATTTATAATATTCTACAATAAAAAAGCTAAATTAAACACTAAATACTGTATACCTAGAACTAATCTTCTATATTGAACAACAAACAAAGATACAAACAACCTTGTTATGTACATATATTTTTAAGTTGTTTGACAACGCTTTTTAAAAAGATCTTTAGCCATCACAGGTACAGTGTGCTCACCAACGAGTGATTAGAGTTTACTGTCCCGGGCGACCATATCTTGATTTTGAATAACTGGTGAGGCAAAACTATTGTTAAGGCTATCATTAAGGGGTATTTCTTCCATGACTATCCCTTGTGAAGCATTGGCTCTCGCTTCTGCGTTTTCTTGAGGTTTAAAGGTTGCAGAGTAAGACGCAGGGATACTCTCATCCCCCAAAGACGCTGTGCTTTCTCTGTAAGGATTGTGTGCAATATTGAAGTATGGTCTTCTGGTCTATAAATCAGAAAAAAGAATAAATGATGTGTTAAGTTTTGCTTGCCAGTGTTACCTTAAACAGGTATGCTCATTCGGAAATTACATGTATAAAGTATTGAGTATGAAGTTTATATAATGCTTTTATTTTTTTGAAAATATTTTGAAGTCTTCTCCAGAGGGATATTCTTTCTTACCTTACATTGTTAAGTAATTAAAAAAAAATATACGAATTTTATACTTATAATTAAAACAGTTTTAACTAAATGAGTTTGATAACTATAAATAAAGCAGTTTAAATATAACTATTCATTTAATGATGACAACTCACCACCTCTTCTTTCGAACGCTCCACGTCAACTTTTTCTCCATGCATTTCTTCAAATGGAGATTTTACAGGACGCATTCTTAAATTAAGAAATAAAACTTGAATGAATTTTTGAAAAATCCTAAATCTTAAACTCATAACGTACCCTTCTCTAATTGAGATGATGTAATATGTGAATATTTTATGAAATATTTTATCACATCATATACATTATTTCTATGCTGAATTTTAAAGGATTGAACTCGTCAGAATCAAAATATTTTTTTTAAAAATTGTGATTACACAATTAACTTAAAAAACCCAAAACAATTACTGTAGTTTTCAGTTATATTGAAATGTAATAACAATGTACATCGTAGAAAAAAGAATAGATATTTTTATATTTTCTATATTAATATTTATCGAAAAATGATACTAAACACAAAAAACCTTTGTCTTATAAAGTAAAGAATACATGCGACCACAACCATTGCTAAAATCACACTCAGCACTGCAACCGCTGCTCTCAGTGATGTAATTCTGCCATTCAGTTCTGGTGTTTAAAAAGCAATTGAAAGAAATATGCTGATAAATTCCTCTAATCATATATCCAACTTTTTATCAGTACTGATGGTAAATAAATAAATTTACTTACTTTTATTGATTTAAATATTGCATTTTGAAGTTGTCTCACATATAGACGATGAAAACATATCAACATTGATTTTATAGATTGTTTCAAACCTCACCTGATATATTTGAGTAAAGGCTATCAATTTCATTGATATAGCGGTTGGTAGTCAAGTCTGTTGTCCCCTCTTTTGAGGATGACGCTAATGTGGTTGGCGATTTCGTAACTTCTAGTGTTGATGATTTTGTTGATATTGTAGTTGCTTGTGATTCCGTTGTTTTTAAAGTTGTTGATGATTCTGTTGTCATAGCTGATGAGGATTCTGTCAATTTCATAGTTGATGAATTTGTTGTAATAGCTGATGAGGAATCTGTCAGTTTCATAGTTGATGAATTTGTTGTAATAGCTGGTGAGGATGTTGTAGGTTCCATAGTTGATGATTCTGTTGGTGTCTTAGTTGATTGTGATTCTTCTGACGTCGTAGTTGGCGATGATGATTCTGAAAGTGTCATAGTTGAAGTTGATCCTACTGAAGTCAAAGTTATTGTTGATTCTACTGACGTCATATTTGGTGATATTTCTGTAGAAATACTTTCTGATGTTTTTGACTTTGTTGTCGGGGCAGTTGTAGCTGGTGGTGTTGTAGTATTTTGTGTTGTTGATGATGTTGTCGAAGTTGAAAATGTTTTTGATGATGTTCCCGAAGTTAAAGATGTACTTGCTATTGATGAAACATCCAACTTTGCAGTGTTGTTTTTCATATCAATGTTCGTGCTCATCGTGACTTTTTCTGTTGTTTGTTCTTGTGTTGTAATTGGTTCTATTGTTGTAGTTTCTGATGTTTGCATTGTTCTAGCATTTGTCGCTAAGCTATTTTGGTCTTCGCCTTTGGTAGATATCTCTGTTGTTGTTGTTGGTACATTAGTTGATGAAGTAGTTAAATCATTTTTTATTGATGACGAAAAAAGTGACGATGAATGTTCTGATGAGGAAGAAAAAGTACTTTGATCTTCCGAAGTTGTTGATGATAAATAGGAAGATAAAATGCAAATTACTGAAACAAGAAGAATCGACATTTACGGAGACAAAAACTGAATTAAATTAATAGATGAGTATATATCTTAATATTTACAAATCTTTTATTGATTGCACTTCATTTATGCGTCTTATTTTTAATTTACAATGAAACCCGTATATTACATGCAAGAGAAAAAGAGTCAGAGTATTTACCTAAAAGTGTCAGTTGTAATATTTCAGAGAGTCCACCCATCGTAGTAAGGTACTGTAAATTATACTAGTTCTGCCCTGTAAAGACAGTCGAATATAGAATATATACGCACAGGAATTTTTAAGTATGGATCATCTAAACTATTTAGCTTTGGGAGAATAAAATTGTTGTAGAATCCCCTTTTAGACCTTGAATTCGCAAGCCATAAATGTTTATACAGCATCTTGAAGAATTTCTTCTTTATGTGAAGCATTAAAACCCATCATAACGAGCGATATATATATATATATATATATATATATATATATATATATATATATATATATATATATATATATATATATATATATATATGTATATACTCTTATTATTTGCTTGACTTATCAACATTTTTTTTTTTACCGTACACTTCTCATGCTTCTTACAACCGTCTGTTCCTCCTCACATAGATAAAAATTTTGAATGTGTGCATAAAACAACAGGAAAAAGGTCACCATATGAAGTCATACATATGCAATTGGTAATATTAACCTCAATATAATGTCATAACCCCTTCCGTATATTAAGTAATTAATAAATACATGGTGAATTCGTCCGAGATAATCTCATTTACCGGATACTGTTCTGAAGTAAAGATGAGGTTCTGAATCATATGAATGGTCAGAATTTCATACTGCATTACAGTTGGTGTATGACAGGCTAAATATTGATGATGATGATGATGATAATAATTACAACGACCAAAAGCAAGATAATGTAAATACACTGTTTATACTGTATACATGTATATATTCATTGTTTAGTTTCAAAACTTTCTGAAAAATAATAAGGATTTAACTTAATTTATGGAGAAAGGCTAAATTAGGTAAATTAAGTAACTAAATATGCATTTAGTAAAGAGGAGGATGACTGTTTATTAAAATACCATCTTCAATAGCTCTTGAACATGCTTGAAATTTTATTATGCTATAAAATCGAAAGGCAAAATATTGAATTTATGATTTAAATTTAGTTTATTGTGCGACTTTGTGTAATAGACATGTACATGTAGGACAAATTAGGTAAAAAAAATATAACGAATTTTCTTTCCTTGAAATAAATAGACTTACGGAACAGGGGACGTGTTCCTTTAATTTTACTAATATATACTTTACAATGAAAAATAAAGCTAAGTTACAGCTGTGCCTTCTAAAAAATTCGCCTGTAAATCATGCATACTAAATCATAAAAAAGCAAAACTATTTAAGAGTGTGTCCCTTCCTTCAAAAATAAGGTCTGGTAACCTTTTTTTTTGCTTGTCAAAATATGTTAGGTTGTTGTCACCCCCCCCCCCCCCCCCGGCCCACGCCCTTCCCTGCCTGAATCAGACCTATTTATAGTTAAGAAATTAATCCATACAGGAAATAATACCTTATTCAGCAATGGCATCATTTTACTTGTAAACAGACTTTAAACAATTTATGAGAGTGTAAAAGATGCCCAATTTGTTGATGCCTAAACATTACCGCTATACCCAGCAAAGTGTGTCATGCCAGTAAGGGGTATCAATTTTTGTCACGGGGGATTGGCAGTGCATAGTTGAAGTCTATTGATCCGAACATTTTCTTGACATAGAATCAACTTTAAAAGGTGCATTAACATGTGTATTTGAAATAAACATGTTATTGCACCTTATTTTGTTAAATTAATATAGAACAAACATGTATTTACGGCAAGAGAGAGAGAGAAAGTTGCAGTAAAAATCCCTCTAAAACGAATCGATCGTAAAAAAAAAAATAAATGACTTTTGATTGCAACAGACCGCAATTAAATGATTTAAGATGCACATACCTTATTTTTTTTTTCCTGACTACTGACATTTATACCCCAGGAAATCCATTTCTCTTCCGGGATGTTTGAAGTACTAAGTACGCTGGTTTTTTTTTTTTTCCTTTTTTTCAATCTGATGCTAGAGACTAAAATCCGCTGTCAGAACGAGGAAGTTTAAATTCCTTTCTACGTGTTTTCTTTCTTTTTTTTACTTATAGATAGTGACCGGGTTAGAAAATGATATCTCCGAAATCGAAGCAATTTGAGGGATTTAAATCTAACAGAGCGTAAATTCTTCACGCTGGATATCTAATGCGTTAGTGGTGAATCTGTCGTTGTACATTTATAAGGACATATATCTAGGTTGACGATAGTGTATTATTCATGGGCGGTTATGTGCATTCGTAATATAAAACGTGACATAACAAACATTCGGATTTATCAGTACCTTATCACTGTTTTGTCATACTCCTATTGTTTTATAATACACCCATTGTTTCAAGCTTTATGTTTTATTTGTACCGTAATATGAAAATAGAAATAAAATAGATACGTATAAATCGAAGAGATACATGTGTTAAAGTAATAATAAAAGGAGAGAGAAAGAGAGAGAGTTCGAGTTCGCGTTCACTTCCATAATTTTCGAGTGTAACATTATTTTCAAAGGAAAATATTCAATATTATAATTCAATATTTGGTCAGGTTTGGAGAAATGATACTGTTCTTTTCCCGTCCCATTTATTATCAATATGTTTTATACATTTTGAGTACATCAACATTGCATTGGGATTGCTATTCCAAGCAATGTTTTGGTCATAAAACTAACTTAATAGATTGTTTTGTATAATTGCCAGTACCCTATCATGCTTTACAAAAAAAAAAAAAAATGTCTTTTGCAAAATCCGAATAAAATAATGAATTGTTGTTAACATATTTTGGTTGGAATAAAAAATATGATAACCATAAATCTTGTGAAGGACATTGGTATTTTTATTTTCTAATTTAATCCTGAAAGTTTCTTTTTCTTATTAAAACAAATATGCTTTTATTTATTTTATTTTTAACATTTCTTTTTATCCACAATTCAATTCTTTGGAGACAGTTTGCAATAGCTTCTTTGATTGGCTGCTGGCAAACACAGTTGATTCCATCCAAAGAATCCAGCAAATGGAACAATTTATGTTACATGCTGAACAATTGAACAAATATTCTACACGTTCTCACCTCCGACAATTTAGGAAAAAAGATTGTGCACCGAGAAAACAATTCGTACATGGATGCAAAGGGACCGACATTAGTGTAATTTTCTTGTTTTTTTCTCCTTACGCAATAGGAAGATGCGTAGGATACACTTACATTATAAGGAATACTTGTCAGTCTCTGTTGGTACTGCGTAATCTTGCGATAGAATTTCTATGATGTTGCATGCCTATTATGATAGTTTTTGAAGGACACAGAGACGAAACAGATTATTTTTTACCAGTTCTTTTGTTGATGTAACCCTGTTATTTTCCATGATCAAAATAATATTTTCTCGCAAATGGACTCAAAGTCATGTTTTTAAGTTCTAAACGTTTTCCCCTAAATTTGCATACATGTACTCTTCGAAACATGTACCTTGGGGATGAGATGTTTTTTTTTTCTTCTATTGTCAGCTCACGATGGTTGAAGGGCAGACCATAACCTTTAAATTTTCATTTATCTTTCTGGTGACAGTAAGAGAAAAACCTAAAAGTACTTGAGTATTGAGGTCACAACCACCCCTCACATACATGTACGAATGTAATGGCTAAATCCAGTTTTGCTACGGGAACCCCCTCATATCTGTCAGATCAGAACATAAATCTATCTAAGACTGACTGTCGAAGAGATAAGGTGTGTTTTTATGAGCTCTTATCTATACCCAGCTGATAAGAAAAAATGATGAAGAAATGATGGATCTTAATGTAAATTCCATTTTTTTACCTCAATTTTAAACTCATTTACCGGATTATCACAATCATTCAATGGAAAAGATAATGAACTGGACTTAACCCCTTCAGTTAGTATACCTGACTTTCTTCAGGTTAAGCTTAACAAAGAAAGTGTGACCATAAACTACGATGGCAAGAAGCATGAATTTGTTTTATCTGTGCTTCAGAAAATGCTTTTATTTCATGGGAATAATAAAAGAAATGGGTGCATCTAAAAATCTGCATGTGATTCAGTAACTGTAACGATTTACAGAAGCACTAATACCATTCTAATCCAAGAGGCTAGTGCTCTTGAATGGTACAGGAATGACTTTCTGAATGAAATAATGAGTCAACCTGATCTCGATAATGTAACTCAGGAAGCCAGTCATACTGATACAGAATGCAAGCTGGTTATTCAGCAACCACTTCCGTATTATGCATCCACTCCAAAATCTACCTGCAAACCCGAAAAAAATAACAAACTAGCTGTGGATCTTAATTGTGACCAATGCAGCAGTGCAGAGATCATCAAACAACTCTCTGAAATGGTGAAACTTTAACACAGGAAGTTGAAAATCTAAAAAAGCAGTTGCTTCCTAAAAGAGAGATATGTTAAAGTACTTCAACTCAAACATCAAATAAATCTCTGAAAAAGAAAGGAACAACTACTGAAGGTCTTCCTGTGTCAAACGGAGTCTCCAGACACACACAGTGCACCTTAACTGCCAAGAGGACAGATTCAAGCACATCCACGGATGCAGAATCGAGTCCATATTTACCACTGAGCCAAAAGACGAAGAAAGTACGGAGACAGTCAGAAGATGGGAAATCTGTGCTCTTGAATGGGAGTTCAATACTGCAGAGAATCAAAACCCGTGGATTACTGCCCTGTGTACAAGTTAGCACAAACAGTGGCGCCCAAGTCTCTCATATTCGGGCAAAATTAGCTGAGATGAATGTCTCTTCCTACAGTAATGTGGTTATTCTTGCGGGGGGAAATGATGTCGGAAACAACCGTGACATGGAGGCCATTGAAAATGATCTTGTGGAAATTATCACCGATCTCAAGTCCCAGAATTCTAGTCTACAAGTGTTTATTTGTGAAGTGTTGGCAAGGAAAGATATCAATGTGTGTGAGGAATATGGAGCTACAGTGATATGCACAACACAGGTGCTTAAGCAAGGGAAACCTCACCCGGAATTGTACTGGAAGGACGGAATCCATCTCTCTGACAAAGGAACATCTTCGTTACTCAGAATCAAGCAAGCTAGGACATGTGAATATTTTGAAATGCGACAGAGTACAAGACCGCCTAAATACATCCCGTAAATACACCAGTCCATTCTGTGGTGAACAGGGCCATTCCGCACGAAACTGCAGGCATGGGAGAAAAATTACTTGCTGGGAATGTGGCGAAGTTGGTCACAAAATTTTGTGCATATTAGGGAATCGGCGAAGAATGTACAGCCGTCATTACAAATAACAGTTATCCTAGTTGTAAAAACCATTATGAAGTGCTTACAAACTTATGTCCAAAATGCAATAACGTAAAATGTAAATGTTTATATACTGCCATGGGCCTTAATTCAAACAAGCCACATATCCTTAAAATTTCTGTAAATTCAATATAAAAAAAAAAAACGAAACTTCAGAAATTCATACATACAATGATGCATTCCAAAAATTCAAAGCTCCTCATAAAAAGTATACAAATTATCCCACCAAAAAATCTAGAAATTCACAATCACCATTTGACCTAAATAATAAGGGACTAAAATTTGGGAATTTAAATGTTTGTCACATTTTGCCGAAATTCGATCAAATCCAATTACTTTTAAATAGTGAACAACCATTGGATGTGATTGAGGTTTGTGAAACTTTTTTAAATGAAAAAACAGCTGATAATGAATTAAGTATAAATGGATATGTTTTTGAGAGGTTGAGGGCTTTTGGTCTATGTGTCTAACGATCTAAATTATAAGCGTCGAGGTGACTTTGAACAAAATAAAATAGAAACAATATGGCTTGAAATTATAATTCCCAATTCTAAGCCAATTTTCTATTGTTCTGCATATCGGCCTCCATCTGCTACTTCCAACTGGGTTGATGAATTGCCTAGGGAAATAAACTGTGCCTCCCGCTGTGATGAAAGTTAAATTATCTTAACTGGTGATTTTAATATTGACCTGCTCAAAGACCCCCCCCCCCCCACACGGTACTGGACCTCTGCTCTAGAGGAGTTTGATTTTACACATGTAGTTCAATTACCTACTAGAATTACAAACACATCAAGTACACTTATTGACCATGTTTACACTAATTTACCCGAAAACATGTGTGAAATTCAAGTGCCCCCTTGCTTTGTCAGACCACTACCCTGTGTGTTTCACAAGAAAAACAAATAAATTCTTTACTTAAAGGAAAGCACACTGAGATATCATATAGATGCTTTAAAAACTTCAATGAGATTGATTTCCTGAATGATTTAGATAGTGCTAATTTTACATCATTGGAAAGCATACGTGACACAAATGAAATTTTGAAAAACTTTTGTACCCTATTTAACAAAGTATTAGACAAACATGCAAAAATTAAAACTAAGCGAGTAAAAAACAATAATCGCCCTAAATGGTTAACACCAGAAATCACTAAGGAACAACATAATTATGCGTGACAGTTTCCATCAAAGTGGTGATTTTGAAAACTTCAGAATCTGGAGAAACAAGGTCACGGCACTTATAGACAGTGCAAAGGTCAACTATTATAGGTAAACCATACAGCAAAGCAAAAATCCACAATAAATGTGGAACACATTGAACATACTAGCATCAAAATCACATAATTTTGTACCAATGTCTATATCTGACAATGATAACACCGCTGAGGACACGCAAGAAATTGTTGAGATTTTTAACAATCATTTTACAGGTATATCGAACAAACTTATCTCGAATATCGCTGGGAAAAATTTTGATTATGAGAAATTATTGCAATTTACGCAAACCAAGCTTGAACATGACCCCCAAACAAAAACTTTTTTTTAACAAATCATGCCAAAATCACATAAAAATCATATCAAACTCACAAATTCATGATTTTGAACTATGATTTAGACATGATTTATTAAATGGATCATACAGAAATCATAGATGACAAATAAGGAAGTATGATCCTGATGTGGTTTGTTTCTTGGCTATGAGTCTGCTATGATTTTCTTGCGATTCTGGCATCCCGTACGAAATTTTAGTCACGTATTTTGAAAAAATATCCAGGCGTATTATAATCTTAAAATCCTGGTGGATTCTCCATTAAAAGG